AAACCATTTCAGGTGACTACCTCTTGAAGCTCATGGAGAGAATGCCAAGAGTGTGCAAAGCAGTAATCAGAGCAAAGGGTGGCTATTTTGAAGAAACTAGAATATAAAACATGTTTTCAGTTATTTCACCTTTTTTTGTTAAGTACATAACTCCACATGTGTTCATTCATAGTTTTGATGCCTTCAGTGAGAATCTACAATGTAAATAGTCATGAAAATAAAGAAAACGCATTGAATGAGAAGGTGTGTCCAAACTTTTGGCCTGTACTGTATATATAATGTTATTACTTTCCTAAAACATTCTCCAGGTCCTCTGAAACTCTGCAGGACTTAAGCCTCTTTCACACAGAGCTTTCGCGGCACCCACCGCGGGGTAGGGCGCAGAGGACAGGATTTGGGGGAGTACAGGCTCGTTCAGGAGCTACAGCTCCATGGTGACCGCTTTCTGGTCTACTTCAGGCTCTTCTCTGCTATTGGACACGCGGCGCCGAGGTGTCGTCACAGCGTGTTGCGGTAAAACACTCTTGCACCGCGGTAGCACATACACAATGAACGGGTTCGTCGGCGGAGGTCTGCGATTGCGCGCTCTGTGTGAAAAGGGCTTTATTTCCACCCTGCCCAGCAGCGGTACCGTGGTGAATGGTCCCTAAAGGCCTCTACACATGATCAGCTGTAAAACCACTTTGCGCTGGCTGTCCCATTCTTTGTCTATGGAGAGGGCAGCAACGCCTGACAAAGCGGCACCGCTACCCTTGGCGTCGCGCACGATATTCATTGTGCCGACAGTGGCTTGGAAAACTACCCATAACTGTGTCACACGGGGAAGAGGGCAGAGGGAAGGCGGCTGGAGTTCCTCCAACATTTGCGGTTAGATTATCATATTTTTTTATTGACAAAAATATAGGCTGCTTTGGCTGATTTTTTTTATGAGCACATGTGCCCCTAAATATTTTTTACAGTTCGCACACACCTATTTTTAGTCGCAAATGCGAGTGAAATGCTCGCACTGAGCCCTGATTGTGATAGTTCAGTCTAACTTTCAGTATGCTCATTTTATCAGCAGGTCTAGACAGCAGAGCATTTTGAGCAATCACACGAAAAATCAGACATTTTACTTGTCTTACACACCTGATAAAAAATCCAAACATGATACAGAGTTACAGTTGCCATTGCCATATTCTTTATAAATAGATATCAGCATATGTATGCAGTCCTAGTAGTAATGACCAATCATGTTTGATCACATTGGCTGATCTCTGAACTAGGAATGTCAGTTTTTTGTTTTACTATGTTAGCACCACTAGCCGTGCTGACACTACGAATGGCGGTAACATATCAACAATGCTAAAGGAGGTTTTACGGCTCAAAACTGAACTGATTACTCACTGGGGGAGACTGGAGGGTTGGCACATGCACGTTCTACAGCAATACTGTTGGGTCAGGACAGCGTAACTAGCCGTAGTGGCCAAATGAGCAGCACCAACAACAGCTAGCTCCTGCCAGACCTGGGTGGTGTGCAGTGCAGTGAAGTAAGGAGCAAAAAATCCAACCTGTAGACCAACATGTGTAACTGGTTTAAAATATTCTCATTGGTTAACCGATCAATGGTTAACCATTGACATCATGACCAGGAACCCATAGACTGTTGCCTCATGCTTGATTAGCTTTATATTAGCTTTTTTTAAATGTAGCTGCATTTGCAGAAATGACTGGCACACAAAAGAAGAAGTCTTGACTGGACTCACTGGATTTCTGCAGTGGCTACACCGGACCAGCCCAAAATATTGGTTGTTACCCCCAAAAGGCTTTATCTTCGTCAGACTGGGTTCCGAAATTGCCATGGTCATTAATCAGTCCAACTATTTATAAGTAACACAGTCACCGTGGTCTTTTGCCGTCTTGGTCTTTGAATTGAGTGAGGTGATAAGGAGCAAGATACAGCTGCTCAGAGTGTGAGTGACACTACGGACATGAAACCATTTGATAGAGCCCAAAAAAAACCCATTCCTACAAAAACCTTTCATTTGTGAAATAGGTGTGAAATTCTCATTTAGAGGAGCACTATATAGGAACATGAACTCACCAGTAAAACAGTCTACCTTGTTGTTTAAGCTGTTACTTATACTGTTACTTTCCTGTGTCGGCAGGGGACCAGAAGTAAGGGGAAAATGCGAGTCCACGTGCACACCAAGTTTTGTTTCCTGTGTGTGCTCACCTTCCTATTCCATCAGTGCAACCACTGCCATGGAGAAGGACATGACCATCAGCATGGCGGACATCACCATGCTGACCACAACCACGTCCACAGCGACCTGCAGATTTCCGAGGCTCTGTACGTGAAAGGAGCCACTTTGTCCCCAGAGTCCAACAATCCTCAAGGGCACGCTCTAGAAGAGGAGCAGCGCTTCTACATCCAGCAGCTCTTCAGACGCTACGGCCAAAAAGACCAGCTAGATTTCCAGGGATTTCAGAGTCTGCTGGTTAGTTTGGGTCTGGGTGAGGTGAAGGTGGTAGATCTAGATCACGAGGAGCTTGGCCATGACCATGTAGCTCACCTCGACTTGGTGGATTTGAAGGAGGGGCTTCATTCACACTCATCCACCAGTGAGGGCCGTGGTGCAGGTCACGGTCACGGGCATGGTCATCCACACCACAAGCCTGGCACCCACCATCCACACACAGAGCAAGTTCCGACAAGATGCACCCAGCACACCACTGCTGCCAGTCCAGCTGCTGGTGCACCTACAGGACATGACCATGATCATGACCACAGTCATGACCACGATCATGACCACGATCATGGGCATGATGCAGAACATAATCATGATCACACCAAAGCAGAGGGTAGTGACCATAAACATTCTGGTGGGCATGTGCAGGACACACATGATCATGCCCATTCCCATGATCACGCACATGACAAAGAGCACAAACATGAGCAGGCACAGGTGAACTCTAACAAGGACCTGTCCTCTCAGCCTCATGGTGATCATGACCACAGCGATCACGACCACAGTGACCATGACCACAATCATGTCCCCGAAGTGCAGCCAGGCACAGACATTCCTCCACTCGGCCAGGAACAGCAGCCCTCTACCCAGTCGGAGCCGTCCCAGGTCCCTCAAGTGCCGCAGTCCTCTCCTGCCAACACAGAAAGTCGGCCCAAGAAGCCGAGAAAGCCAGGCAGGAGCAGAGGACAGGGAGGGCGAAACAAAAGTCTTGCTTCTGATAGCCATGACCATCAATCTGAACACAGTCATGACCATGATCACGGTCATGGTCACAGCCATTCTCATAAAGATAAGAGAGAAGCACCAGGAGAGCCTGCCAACCCCACGTTGCCAATCCCCGCCTTGTCTGGCCACCCAGAAGGATCGGCTCACCAGCATGAAGAGGTAAGACATGTTTGAACTCACTGACTGATATTAGCTTTGGCAAGCGAGAAGCTCTATATCAAGAGCTTGTGTTTCAAATATGAACAGATTCATAGAAGTGGCAAGTGGCAAGAAGTGCAATTGGAGAGACCTTAACAAATCAGAGAAATGAAACGTGACATAGCGCTGATCACAGTCAAATGTGAATGTGACTACAGTGTGCAGGGACGATCTGTGATGGTGCATCAGTATTTGTGTGAAGGAGTGTTGCCGTTTTTGCCTTTAGAATTTAAAAATAGTTCTTCGACAGAAAGTTCCACATCAGCTGCAGCCATCTTGGTTGTTGTCACGTATTTTGAGTAAAGTGTGTCCTATATTTAGTAAACTGTTGTGATTAGCCCAACCAAGGCCAGTCGCCTGGAAATCTGTCTGAACGAGAGGGGGACCAGATGCATCTGCCAGAGCAAAAAAACAAACAAACAAAAAAACATGAGCTCCCAGATTCATCTGGTTCCAAGGCTCGGAAGTTTGTGTACAAACTGAATTGTGGAATTAAAAAGTTACTCTTTCTTGATTCTGCCTGTAAAGGTCTCAATGGGTTGGGTTTCATAGAAATTAGCCCTTTAAAAAGCTGTCGTATTGGAACTACCACTGAAAGTTTTCAGCCCATTTCTATAGCACAGTCTGCTTCTCCTCTCCAGTGTTCAAATGTCAGTATTGTTCAAACAGTTATGCATTCGCCCGAATACTTTGCTTTTACAGCCACGTTTCAAGTTTAGAGGTGAGTTTTACCTGTTAGTTTTTATGTTATTGTCTTGATAACTTTAATTACTTAAGTTTTAATAAAGCCAGTTGTTTCTTTCCCTTACACTGTTACTATCCCCTTCTCCTTCCAGTGTTTGAACCTGACTCAGCTCCTCACCTACTATGGCCTGAGTCCCGATTCACTCATCTCCCCCAGCCAGTTCACCTACCTGTGTCCTGCCCTGCTCTACCAGATAGACAGTCGCGTCTGCATCCGCCATTACCACCAGATGGACGTGGAGCAGGAAGCCTTGGAGCAAGCCAGTTCCAGTAAGTGCCGAGCGTCTTATTGATCCACTCCATTTTAATTGAAAAGACTTGTAATGCAGAAATAAACAAACTAATTTCAGATGGTGTGAACTCAACACTGCTGAGAGTGCCGTCCAATGTACTTGAGACCCCACTTGGGTTTTGAAGGATATGAGGGACATGGGGAAGGGTTTAATCTCATTATGGATGTTAGAGGTTTGTCCAAGCTGCATCAAGAGCCTGCAGCTCTTCACCAAACCATTGTTCTGCATGAAAGGGAAATGAAATTGCATTAAGAGCACGCAAACATCACAACACTCTCCTTCAGTGACACCATTTTCCTGTGATGTTTGTGCATCTTGGTGACAGTCATCAACTGCTTATATGGATCAAAAAGCTTGGGACAGAAGCATTCCTATACAAATGTTTTATATAATTTATTTACAGTAATCAAGTAGTCTGCTTACAGTGTTCATCTTAGGGCTTTTCATACATGACAACACATTGAAAACATTTTTTAAACTACGATAATTCTATTTTTTTAAAAATTTTTTTACTTTGCCTCGTCGTAACCTGTCTGCTTCCAGCTGGCTACCCGAGGCACATTGAAATCATGATGGAAAAAAGAGTTATTTCCTCTCAATGAAAAACATAGTCTCCTTGCAGCTTATGACAAACTGCCAAAAACGAGCCAACAGGATGCATGCACAGGATGATAGGCTACCTTCTGCAGTGCACTCAGACATCAAGAAACAAGTCTTGGCTGCTAGTGATGGAAACAGAAAATGTATCCCCATGCATATTCAGCTGCATTTTAAAACCAGTTCAGTAAACAGCCATGTAATAAATATACAAATATGGCTGTAATAATCATTCACTATTAGTGATCAATTTGACCGGCATAGACGTGATTGCTTAAAGTGCTTTCCACTGTAGTGAAAAATATGTAACTGGGCAGCCATAAGTTTAGACTGGAGAGCTCTGACACTGCTGAATAACATTCTGCTGTTCAGGAGATTTTTTTTACCCTTCATATGGATTTTAAACATCAATAGCTCACTGCACAGCAAAGCAACAAAAATGTAATGCATAGTTATCACTAGTCTTGGAAAACTGTAATCTTATCACTGATATTTTGGCCAAACAGAGTCACAATGAACTTTATTTGCACAGTGGATCAAGTAACAGACAGTACTGTCAAACCCATCAGTGCTTAATCACAGTTTATTTGTTTAGTAGATTGTTGTTTTGTAGTCGGAACCCAATAATCCAGTGATATCATCACGACTGTGAGCGTACCTCAGACAGTGACTTTACCTCAGAAAACAAAAGCCAGAAGGTGGACGAATAAAAATAAAATAAACATTGAATGAAATTCTATTCTGTTTAAATAATGGTTTAGTTTACAGGACAACTAATGTAACAGTGATAGAAATTTGGTCTATGAAAGTTTTAAAAAAAGTCAGCGGTAAGTTACTGTCTTTATCTGGTGCCATCGGCCAGAGAGAGCAGCTATCTTCGTAAGCAGGAAACCACAGGGACATCACTATAAACCACTGGGTTTAAAATGCGATGCTATCAGGATGTATAACCTGGAGCTGCTCTCTCTGGGAAGAGTGGCAGACCTGCATAATAGAACGTTTATTGAAATAATCAAGTCATATCAGGAATTATAACCATAATCTCCTGAGTATCCCGACCATTGTTTGCTCCATCTTTTCTCATTTTCAGTACAGAGATAGGGCAGGTTTTTTTTCCTCTAATTTTCTGCTCTCCAGAGCAGCAGTGAACACTCACCAGATCATAACTTATAACACTGACATTAAAAAGACAAGATATTAAAAAGTCTGTGCAAGTTTAAGAGCACAGCTCACAGACCTATGAGTAGGCTGCTGCTGACTCATCTCAAGCTTCTTGTATTTCTACAACACCAACGCTCGAGTAACTTTTATTTACAGATGAATAAAGCATAATGTCTAATGTCTTTGAATGTAAGATGGTGGGCTTGGAGAAACATCGGTGAAAGAATTAGGTCGAGTTTTACAGTCACACAAAACTGTGGCACGGTCTCAGAATAAAAGAGGTGTTTTTCCTGTTTGTTGTTAACTGAGCTCTTTAATCTCGATAATACTTTGCCAGTATGAAACCACACTACCACAGACTTATCTCAGCACAATCACCTTTGTTTAACCTTAACCAGTTATACTCAAAACCCACAGGCGTTTCTTTTCATGAAGTCGTGCTTCTTATTCATATTTGTACACTTCTAGAAACTGCTAAATGTAAGCGGTGTTCCTTCGTGCCCACTTTGTAGCTCAACAGGAGCAGCCTGTGACTCAATGACTTACTCATGGGCACACTGATAGACACAGAGGGACCACAGATGCTAACTTTTGCACTTACCCGCTCATTTTCTCATCTGGTCTTGCACTCAGACTGGTAACTGATACGTCAGAAACCTAGATTTCTAGTTTGCCCTGTCAGATAAACTGCAGGTAAATGCATCCGCTTGCAGATGTAGGCGTGAACGGTGTGGAAAAACACTGACATGACTCTCAGTTCAGACAGCTAGCACTGAGAATAACCCCTTAGCCACATTTTTAAGAAGAGTGATTGTGCTACTATCAACCACATAATGAGTGGAAAAGAAATGTCGGCTATTTTTAGATGTGATTGTGGACGCTGCAAGTATTTAGCATAATGATGAATTGATTAATTCTTTCAGTCAATCACAAGTCCCAGTGAGCATATGCATAAGTAATGGCCATCAGCAGGAGTTGATAGGCAGTAAATGTATTAAGAGCGCTGTAGAAAAATCAGCCTGGCATGTGTGTCTTGTGTCATATTAACTGGGAGAAAGTTAATGTTTGAATGAATGGGTGGAATTTGCCATATCACAGCCGGCTTTTAACTCAACTCTGAATCAGGATCATTCACTCACTTAATTGCTGCACTTTTTGTGTCGGGTGCTTTGTGTCTACGACAGTGCGTTCCCTTGTTAATAAGTAATTTTTGTCGCAAAGGAGTGGGCCGCAAAGGAGTGGGCTTATCATGTGCATGAACTCTGAAAAAGTCCAAAAGAGGCTGAAAGATCAGCTATAAAGAATGAAGGTCAGAGTTAAACCCTGCTCTGGGACCTCGCAGTGTTTCTCCGTTTATGAGAATGCAAATTATAAAATCACAGTTTTTTAAAGTTAATGAGTTACAGGTTGTGAAATAAAGGTCATAAAGCCATAAAAGCTGGCCACAAATCAAACCAGGACCAGTCATCACAGTTCCCACACACAAAAATAGCAGACCATAGAAAAGGCTGCTGCTTTCGTATGTTTTCTGGTACTGTGAATTTATGAGTCCACATGTAAATCTCTCGGAACAGATAACACATGGCCACCTAGAATGAAAATGCATAGTGATCTCTGTAGGATAATCAGTTTAACCATGCTGCATTTACGCCTGGTACATTTGTTCTCATGTGCTGTATTATGCCTGCAGTATAATTGGATTGTAGTTTTCATTTATGCAAAGTAGGCGAGGAGTTTGGGAGCTGTCACTGTAAACAACACAGAAAGTTTGGGGTCATGAGATGTTCAGCACAACCTGATTTATTTTTAATTAGAGGTAGAAAGTGCCGTTTTTATGACAAAAGAAAAAGCTGCAAAAGTTTTTAGGATGGAATAACACTGTCAAAGCAGCAGGCACTTAGGTTCAACCATGAGATTGGAGGAATTCCCTAACTGTACGCCCTCTTAAATCTTTAATTATTAAACACACACTCCCCTCTGCTGATACCTGTATCACATGTGCCTGAGGCAGCAGTGTGCCACCAATGAAAACAGTCATAAAAATGGTAATGACGACAAGGTGCACAGCGCGAACGAGTCAAAAGGGCAGGAATGGCTCCTCATTAGTGGAAAACAAGAGCGGCTAGATCGTCTGCGATTGTGCACAAAGAGTCAACCATAGGCATCACCACATGGTGCGAAGCTACCTCTCGTTTACCTCCTGCCAGCATCCGTGGGGGAGCTTGGAAAATTTTGCAGTTGGTTTCTCTCTGGTCCCCCACTCCCCTCTCTTTTTGCGCTGTGCCAATTAGGAGAGCCTAAGCGACACCCTGGGCCATTTTTTTTCTGAGCCGTGGCTCACAGGAGATGCGTAATTGGAGAAGACACAGACTGGTCGGTCTCCTTTTCCTATCTTGTGTTCCCTTATCGCTGCCTTCTGTCGCCCCTGCCGCAACCCTCTTGTACACCTCCACGTCTCCACACACACACACACACACACACACACACACGCACAAAACCACAACGGCATACAGGTAATGAGATAGAGAAGTAGATGAGCTGTGTGTGTGTGAAGGACCCGCAGTGATGTGCTGTCTGGCTGATGTACAGTTGCCTCTCAGGGTTACACGAAGTTCCGCTTGATGCGACAAATAAGAAAGCAGTCAGCTGTAGCACCTTTTACTTTTGTAAGGCACATTGAAAATGGTGGCAACAACAGAACGAGGAGGTGAGGGTTATTAAAGACATTTTCACTCATGATGAGGAAATGAATTCAGCCTGTTCAGTTTGTCCTTCCGAATGATGACATTGTCACTACAACACTCACAGTGGATTAACTGGTACTTTCTAATGTAGCTGCAGCAGAGAGTGATGGGTGTGGTCCACTGCACTACTTGTAAAGCATGGCTTTGCTCTTATGGAAAACTAGCTGTATCAGCTTATGATGCTTTCACATTTAATTAATGCTTGTCATATAAAATACTGTCACGTTATTGTTATTAGTATGTGGTCTAAGATATTTAACCTTTCTATTAACCTTCTGTCTAACCTCTATAAACAGATATCTTAATATGTATGGAGAATCTGTAGACACAGATCCTGCATCCACATTTTACTCAGTGTTAAGCGGGATTTATACTTCTGCGTCGAATTGACAGCATACGCACCATACGCTGTAGCCTGACGCCAGAAATGTAACTATATGTCGCAGCGACACAGACCTCCTGGCTATTTTTGTAAGCTGAAACAATTTCCCTCAGTGGAGACAAAGCTTTTATTTACTTTTATTTCACAGATAAGGCACAATAAATTGTGAAGACAATAAAGCATAAAAATAAATTTATGCTTTATTGTGCTTTATTTAATAAATAGCATTTTTTTTAAATCTTGTGTGATTCACTCTGGCTTCACGAAATCTCTGCTATTTGCTAGGCTAATTTATTCGATGTAAAACGCCATAGGCTTGTGCTAATAATCTTAGCATGTTGTATTTGTTAGGAAAACATGGTTAGTACAAGACAGTTGTTTTGTCAGTGAACCTTCTGAGCTGTAATGGAACTGAATTTTGTTACGTTAACTTTGTTAAATGTTTTCCCTGGCTTCATATGAGAAGAGGAAAAGTCCACTGGCTGCTAGGCTAATTTATACAATATACAATATACAATATACAATGCCATAGGCTTGTGCTAAAAACATTAGCATGTTGAATTTGTGAGGATAAAAGACAAATGCTTTGTCTAGAAATGCTGCGAGTTCTGGTGAAGCCAAATTGTGTACTTGTGTTAGACATTATCACTAGTAAGCCATGTTTACTGTGTGTTTTGGGTGTGTTTTGAATCAACTTAACTTTACAGCACTTCACAGAAACCTTACCACCAACTAGTGTTTTGGAGGTGTAATTGCACAAGTATAAATGCTCACAATGGCGTAGGCTACGCACAGAGCTGACGCATAAGCATAAATTCCACTTCAGTAATGCCTCACTATGGGGTTCTTTTTATTATGTACAGTGCCTGTGTTGTGGAATTTCCTTCAATTAAATAACTTAAAGAATAACATAAAAGCAGATCCTTTGTCTATGGCTAAGGGAGGAAGATAGATAAGACTGCCAGGTGCCCATGTATAAATACTGTATTGTTGGAACAGAGTCTCCTAATTTATCTGTGAGAGCAGAGAGAAAAAGACCTTCTCACAGGCAGGGAGAGGATGCTCGATTAAGGCCTCTGTATATCTAAGGCCAAACTAACCTGTGAGTGAACCAGCGCACGCTCACAGACGAGCTGAGACACCGGCCATAAATCACACATTGTGTACAGATATTATTAAAATATAATATAAAGGCAAAGAAGGGAATATTATGAGCAGTAATTATTCCAGTACAGACGGCCTTGTACTCAGAAAAGCACAAAACATCCTGTGTACATACATTATTAAAAAAGTACTGTAGCAGTAGTGCCCGAAATAAATGCACAAGGCGATAATAACAAACGTACATGATGATTTGTAAAGAAACAGTAAAGATCACAAATGCATTTGCTTTAAAATACAAAGAGATATCACCCAACCTAAATGAATCTCAGACAGTGCTGCAAATATAATCTACAAAAATACAAACCCAGCTTGGATATCTCATTTAAGTGCTTTGTGCATATTAAGAACGCTTTAAATGGCATATTTTGTATATTTGCTTCTTGTCAAAACAAATGTGTGTTGCATTAACATGCTGGTGGGGAGGTGCAAGAAAGCGGGCGTGAGAAAGCTGTCATCCGTGTTAAAATATTGTACCTTAAATTCAAAGTACAGAGAGTCCTGATTGTGTACAGTGATGAGTTGTGGCTTGTACACTGACTTTACTGCATAGTCAAGGGGTCTCTCTGGGACTCTGGGAAGAAAACTTGAAAGTGCCACTAGCAAGTAAATAAACACATACACAGGTGACAAAATGACAAAGGAAAAAACTGAATAAATAAGTGGAGACAAAACTACTGTAGGTGTTTCCATACAGGACACATGGGCTCACTGAAAAATCTGAGCCTGGCCTCCACAGTCTCCAGATCTCCACCCAACTGAAAGTTACAGGAGACTTTTGAGCGATGAACACCATCATCAAAACGCCAAATGCCTCAGATTTTTGGCTTCAGACGCCACATGGAAAGCGGCAATGAGAGTCAGGATTTGACTAGCTTCCCCAAAGCTAATGACAAGTGGCTGTAATCAGCACTTAAGCATCGGGGCCTTCCTCTTCAGTTAAAATATTTCCCCCAGGAGGAACTCCAGCCTCCTGTTTTCAGAGTGGAGAGACCGCTGGCAGGAGAGAGACTTTTTTTTTTTGTAATGTTTTTTAATCCTACAGCTGGGTAATGGGACAGTAACAGCTTGATCCAGTCTCTCTAAAGACCACTCTGTCAGACATAAGACATGTTTCAGATCATCTCCTCACAAGCGACACCACCTGGGGCCGATTAGATGAGGAGAGGAAGTGTGACTGCCAGTGTGATTTTTACTGTTATTAGTCATTTCTTCCCTCTGGCTGGATGGCAGCTTTGGTTCTTTTGTTTAGATGAATTAAGCTCCCTCAGTCCAGCAGTGGGGAGAAAACATATTCAGTGTTAAGTAGTGGTCAAATACTTTATCGGTGTCAAACCCTTTGACCTTGACAAACAGAGCAAATACATTTCATTTCAGTTCTATATTTACAGTTTGTTATGACATCCTCCTGAGATGCCTCTCTGGAGTCAATTGCCTGTAAGATGTGCATTACATGCACACTGTGTTCTAGTCAGTAGATGTCCTATAGCTGAATGTCAGCAGTGAGGCAGCCAGCATCATTTTAGCGAACACACCACCAGCTTTGGTGTGACATTGAATTTCATACGACATTAAACATTTCGTCCTGTGTGACGAAAGGATTGTGAAGTTTCTCCCACTCGGTCTTGTTTTGAAACGTGTCCTGCGCTGACAGGTGGACTGACAGTTTAAATGATAGTGTACCTTTCTGACTTTTTCTCCGCTTCTGCTTCACGTCTTATGTCTGCGGCCTCGAATGAAAAATGAGGCTGGTAGGATTCTGCTGAAATGTCACTTCACGTTTCTCGCTTTAGGCGTCATGTGTCATCACAAGGACACATGGATTGAAAACGTCTAGAGGATAGCTTTCTTCACATGTGAACAAAATACCTTCAGCCAGCAGCCGAGTGATGGTAAAGCTGTGGCTGTTAGCGTCTTTCCTCTAAAAGACGAAGTGAGCCGGCTGAAATCCTGACAGTCCTGTGTTGTGTTGAAATTTGAAGTTATCTTCTTTTTATGGCCCTTCACAGTTGAAGAGTCAGACTATATCTACAAAACACTGGATGCGGCTAACAAGCACCGGGCTCCTGACCCTTTCTAGAGAGTAAATAATACTTGTCTTTCATCCCTCTCCCTGTCTGTGTCTCTCTCCAGTGTGGGTGTGGCTGTGGGGGTTTGTATCCATCACCATCATCAGCCTGCTGTCTCTGCTGGGTGTTGTTCTCGTACCCATCCTCAAACAATCCTGCTTCAAGTTCCTGCTCACCTTCCTGGTGGCACTGGCAGTGGGCACGCTCAGTGGAGACGCTCTCCTTCATCTGCTGCCCCACGTGAGTACACCACAGACGGACAAACAGTGGAGACCTTTTGTAGAGCAGCCACTGAGTCTTTACAGCATGAAATGTGCTTTTGTCTTCTCCACCCACACTAATGGATGATATCAATACATTTGGGAGGACTGAATGTATGACAGAAATCAGGGATGGCATGTATAAAACCCTTAAAAAATTGTCTTGAAGGGGACCTATTATGCTCATTTTTAGGTTCATACTTGTGTTTAAGGTTTCTACTGTAACATGTTTACATGCTTTAATGTTTGAAACACTTAATTTTCCTTGTACTGTCTGTGCTGGAACACCTGTATTCACCCTCTGTCTAAGCGAGCTCTGTTTAGCACATCTGTAAGCTGACATCACTTCTGCGTGCATTAACCACATTTTGTGAAACTTTGGCCGCATTAAATATGATCAACCTTCATTGTCATTGTAACACTAAATACTGTTTAATGTTATGTTCACACAGTGAGTGACAATGCAGCAGTGTGACCAGCTACATTATCACAGAGCTGACGTTGAAGAGCTGCTCAAACGCTCATTGAAGTAGTTATGTCGTGACAGGCTTGTGTGCGTCTGCTACTTGTCACCAAGCATCTCGACCTAACGTTATCTTTAGTTTGTATTTTGTCAAAGCCCCATTTTAATATCACATGCTAGCATAGCATAGCTAGCATCAGCTAAGTAAGCTAAATAGAACAATACCACTGCTAGAAACAAAAACATGTGATTGGTTGATGCTTCACCGCATCGTTGGAGCACTTTGCGCGTCCTGCCAGTCCGCAGTGACAAGTGTTGGGCGTCAGTTTGAAGCTTCATGTCATCGGCTTTCATTGAAAATGACTTGTGGCCTGTTGCTGTATCGCTCATAGTGTGACGGCAGCATAAGACACAAAATACGGAAGAACATTATAGGTCCCCTTTAAAGTGGTCTAAACCTGACCTATGGGTCTAATGATTCGTATAAAACTGTAATGTAAATAGCAATATGGCAAAGTGTGATAACTAAACATCCATATTTTCTACGGAAGTGTCACACTTTTCATTTGGGAGTCATGCTGTTGACTGCTGACCTTGTTCCAGGTATTTAGCACTTAGCAATACTGAAACCATCAACTTCCTCTTCCTCTGACCAATTGTCAGTACACGTCTAACGCACCAAGTCGATCATGCGCCATGACAGTCACACAGTGTTTTTCAGTGCTCATCAACCATCTTCCGTTTCACCCACACTACTTATTCTGTTCTTTGTCTCAGCAGTAAGAGGCATCAGGGATTCGATTTGTGTGACTCCTGGAAATGAAATCTATGTACTGATGAATGTGTGATCCTCCTCCCTCGCTCCCATCCTTCTCTCAGTCGTCCTCTGTTTCTCTTCCTGTTTGCAGTCTCAAGGGCAGCACGACCACAGCGCATCTGAGAAGAGTCACAGCACTGATCTGGTAACAGCCTTTGATGGAGTATGGAAGGGCCTAACAGCACTGGCCGGCATCTACCTCCTCTTCATCATCGAACACTGTATCGGCATGTTTAAGCACTACAAAGACCACGGGGTAAGATGAACATGACCCAGCTGTGGATGATGGAGTAGGCTGAATCTTGCTGTTGCAAGACTGTGATCAGGACACTTTATTCTCACAAGCAGCTGCTTTTGTCTGCTGTGCTTCCCTGAGTTTGGTTCTTGTTGATACAGACAGGTATTGAATTTCTGTGGATAAAACATCAAATTTTGTCTGCTCACAGGGCATGAAGAAGACGAGTGAGGAGGGCAAGATTGGCAGGAAGTTGTCAGATCACAAGTTAAATCGGCGCTCAGATGCAGAGTGGCTGCACCTGAAGCCGCTCAGTGAGGGTAAGGAGTGTTCAGTCATGCAGTCTTTACAGCACTTTATTAGCCTCAGCTGTCACTGTAACATCTCCTCCATCCTCCAGACCCCGACAACACCGCCATCTCCTGCGACAATGGTCACAATGACACACAGCTCACAGAGCTCCAGACGCCTGACTCTCCCACCAACAAGACACCGCTGGCGCCAACAAACCCCCTACAAGACCCCCTGTCACCCACCAAGGAGAACGGACGCAAGGCCAAGAGGCACGGACACTCACACGGCCACGGCCACTCCCACGGTGGGAACTGCCACTCAGACCAGGAGATGAAGGACGCTGGTATAGCCAGCATTGCCTGGATGGTCATAATGGGCGATGGCATGCATAACTTCAGTGACGGCCTGGCTATAGGTTAGTAGGAGGTTCTGGTATTTTATCAGCACTGCGTCCACTTAAGATAAGTTTGACAAAAGTTCTCAGCTCAAGGTCACTTACTGGAATTCTTCCAAAGCTTTCAGCCTCACTTTGTTATCCCTAAGAAACTACTGTGTTAAGAGTTTATGTAGTAATCTTATGGATGTATAAAGACAACTGGATGCAGCATGGGAGGCAGGGCCCCATTTATTCCTATTATAGTTGCTCTGTGGCGCATGTAGCCGAAAAAGTTTGATTTCCTGGAAATTTCCCAGATCTTCTGTGAGGCTCATAGCGCAAGCACGCCAGAGACTTGCAGCAGCCGAGCAGCTAACTTCAGGTTTAGCCCTCCGCTAACTTGAATGGGGATAAAATGATTTAATCATGTAGCTCTGCTAGATGCTAACTGACTGAATGGATCAAATCCCAACAGTGAAACAGGTCATTTTGCGGGGGTTGTGACGCTCAAAAAAAATGTATCCACTGATGTACAGACATCTTTTTCACAGTGTAGGTCTAAGGGAAAAAGTCTTTTAGGGCCCAATGGCGTTACAAGATGGCCCTGGAAGTTGTAATTCCATTTTTTGCCACTATGTAAAATGGACATCAGAGCCCAGCGTTGTTCCTGGGGTCTTGGGTAAACTATATATAGACCTCACAAAATGACAAAGATACCCCAGGAAGTCATTGTGTGTGGCTTAGGCTAACTGTTTTCCCATGTCTCCAGCCATTGTGTTAACTGAATACTGGATCTAGCTTCACTTTAAATGAACAAACCATAGCCTGTATAAATAACTTTAGTTTAGTTTAGTTTAGTTTATAAGGATCCCCATTGGCTAACGCCTGAGTATCAGCTAGTCCAGTGGCCCTCCTGGGGTCCATTAATGAAGTGGTAAATGAAATGGGTGAAGTCACCATGACGTCACCTGTTGGTTTGTGGGCTACCATTTTGAAGCTTGGAGTTCGGCATTTTGGCCATCACTATCTTGGATTTTTTGGGAGTCAGAAATGTTTTTATGAGAGGGTGAAGTTGGCATGGATACACCTTGCTATGCCTATATGTGAGCTGTCAATCACAAGGTAGCCACGTCCTAAAGCATATCCTGCCTTATGGTCTATTTTACTCTAAAGGGGGACCATAATTTACAAAGTCAGCGTCATGCTATATTGAAGAAGACTTGAAACTGGCGATTGAGACCATAAACTCATTAGGTAAATATTTATTGAGGTAGGGTAGGGTAGGGTGAGAAGTAGGGTCCTTTTCTCATTGATTTCTATACAATCAGACTTCTTTATATGACCAGTGATTTGCCCCCTGCTGGCCATTAGAAAGAACGCAGACCTGGAGGCTGCCCCCACTTCTTAAATGCAGTCTATGACATGACATGAGAGTGGTATTAATATTTCAGTACGATAGCGAACAAACGTATTTCTCCTTCCTAAGATTTCTTCAACTTGTCTTTACAGGCGCAGCGTTCAGTGCAAACCTGACAGGAGGCATCAGTACATCAGTGGCTGTTTTCTGCCATGAATTACCTCATGAACTTGGTAAGTGGAGCGCAACAAAAGAAAGTGTCAAAAAACAGAAAAGAAACTAAACAAAACAAGTCATTTTCTCATTACACACTAGACGCTGCACACTTCATCTATTCAACAAGTATAACAAAGCTGTATTGTGAAGGCCTTGCAGTTAGCTCACATAATGATAACCAGTGTCTAAATCACTGCCTCATGCAAAACAGCTCTTTCTCTCAGTTGGACTGAAACTTTAATCCGAGGGAGTCTCACGACCCTCGGTCCCTTGGAACTTGTTAAAAACCCAGCGGTGTCAATAATCATCACTCTTTTCCTCACTCCGGAAAAAAATGCCCCTTTTTTCCCCGATTAATGGCTTTTTGTCTGACAGCGGCGAAATGGCTCGTCAACGTGTCTGTCAGTGAAGATGATGTACCGTGCCTGGCACACATTGTTCAATACAGTCAGGCTCAAAGACGGTACAGCTGCCGGTGCGTTCATTTGCATTCAAATCTGTTCTCTCCAAGGACCCATTTGATTCAGTTTGACTCAGCAACAATGAACATTTTTGTTGCGAGCAGTGGTTTTTTTTTCCGTTTTACTCCACAGTGCTCTCTTCCGCCTGTTTGTTTATAGTGTGAGGAAGAGGTGGCGAGAGCGGGGTGAAAAAGACAGACAATGGGGCCATCCACAGCAGATCAGTACTAATGATGTGTCTTGTCGTAGTGCAGTTTCCATGCCTCGTTTGTGAGCTTGATGAATAGAGCAGTGTCAATTACGGCAAGAGTATGAAGTAGTGAATAATGGCCTACGTTTGTCTGCCTGCTCCCCCTTGTGTTGACTCGCGGCATCCTGTCCTACTGTTATTGTTGTGTTTAAGGTAACGAAGAGAAAAATCTGCCTCTGTCAAAAGCATCTATATGATGGAGGCCGATGAAACACTCAGTGTTTAGCTGTTTTAAAGGGTTAGTTCAGATCTTTCAAAGTGGGCACTTGTTTATAGTCAGTGTATTACCTACTGTAGATGTTAGGAGCTTAGAGAAGCAGGCAGGAGCATCACCGCTGAAGCTAAGCAATGTACTGCAGTGGACGAGGGCAGCAGCTAAATGTATTTTAGCCACCTAAAAAAATCAATATCATTTTAAGTGTACGCTATATTTAGAATATTTTGACAGCTTTACCTTCCTGCAGGCAGCCCTTTTCACCAGGGAAACCATGAACTGCTCTAGTTCCTATCTATGCTCTCATCAAAACCACCAGACTCCATTGACAAAAACAGTATTTTTAGCTTGCTGGACATGGGAGCTGCTGGTCTACTGCTGCCTCAATCAGTTAGTTCATTTTTCACTAATTGTGTGACTTTGTTGAATCTGAACTTTCCACTTTAAATGCCAAAGTCGCACAATAATACAAACTAACTAAAAGATCAAGGCAGCAGTAGACCAGCAGCGCTCCTGTGTTCAGCAATATTAAATTACTGTTTTTCTCAATGGAGTCTGGCTATGTAGAGAGCAACATAATGGCTATAGTTCCCCGTTGGAAATTGCTGTCTGACAGCAAGGTAAAGCAGTGAAAGTACTCTAAATATAGCACACACTTAAACTGATTCTTTTAGATGGCTAAAATACATTTTGTTGCCGGCCCATCCACAGCAGTGCATTACTTAGCTTCTCGAGAGGTGCCCCAGCCTGCTTCTCCAAACTAAGGAGCGTGTCGACTGACATCTACTGCAGGCAAAACACTGACTATGGATAAGTACCTCATACAAGCCCACTTCAAATGATCTGAACTATCCCTTTAAGTGCTAAAAAATGCTGCAGTCATTGGCTGCCTCTGTGAGGCTTCAGTATAATAAAGAATAAGATGGCTAAGTGCTTTGATTCTGGTCCAACATTTTGTCTCTATTTTGACACAGTCATACTCGAGCTTCCAGATGGTTGACTGCCGCACAAGTCCTGTCTCAAGCTGCACGTGAAGATTTTCGAGATCAGTCTCTCCCGGAGTTATTTCACATTTCCTGTTGATTCGGCGCCCGCTCTTCAGGAGCACTTTGCTGTCATGCTTTCGCACCCATAGGGCTGCTTGTCAGACAAACCCAGCAGTTTGACAAGTGCACCTCTCAGCTCCTCCTGAACACAAAAGCCGTCCCCTGCCTGGCAGCTGGATGGCAAAGATGATGATTATGAGGGTTCTTTAACCACCCAGAGTGAAGCTAATTGGCAGTGATGGGTGTGTTAATTGCGGTAGATGAGGTGGCGGCAGGCGTGTCTGACTGTCGGACGCGTTGGAACCAGGAAGGCAGGAAACGGCAGTTGAAGAGGGGGAAAAAAAAAGAGGGCCATTGAAGTGAGGTGTGTGCAGACTGTCTCTTTTTAACTTCTCCCCCCCTTTTCTCTGGGTTTGATTGATGGATGAGAGCAGAGTGGTAATATATTCATTGAAGTAATTAGCAAGGAAAAGAGGCCGCTTGTTACACAGTGCAGGAAATGTAGGCCACCCCCTTCTCAGTATTCATCTCTCTCTCCAAATCCAGGGCGTTTCCGCTGAGACTTAGGCCTCTTCCCGCATTTGGCCCGGCAATGATTGAAGAGGGTAGAGAGGCTACGGCGTGCATGTGTAATCATAAGTGCATCAGAAGGGAGTTAAAGACATATTTCTTAGAAAGCAGCCGCTCCTGGTCTGTTTTCCACCTGCTTGAAGTCAGATAGCGGCGGCAGATGTACGGAGGGAGTTCACTTTGCCTTCGGTGATGAGGTGAACTCATTCAGAGTAGACTGAGAGAGTAAAAACAAAACACAGCATGACAAGCGCCGAGCTATACACCGAGGGGTTTACATGCAGCAAAGTGCACCACACTTTGCAAAGTGTAAACAGAAATTGGACACATTGCTGTTACTATTACTTTTACCTTTCATAAACAACTTATAAACGAATCGGAATCATTCACGGCGCCGAAGTTGGAAGACCTGAGCGTTAGTTGCTGGGATATGTGTGTCAGAATATGAGATGGGTGCATGGGAATTGCTTTAATGGTGTTTAAATGAGTGTGTGTCTCTCCTGGCTGACAGGTGACTTCGCCGTGCTGCTGAAAGCAGGGATGTCTGTGAAGCAGGCCATTGTCTACAATGTGCTGTCCGCCCTCATGGCCTACGTTGGCATGCTGATTGGCACAGCCGTGGGACAGTACACACACAATGTCACCAGCTGGATCTTCGCCATCACGGCTGGCATGTTCCTCTATGTGGCTCTGGTGGATATGGTAAGTTGGCACTCTGCACTCGACAGCCCCAGAGTGATAATTGTCAGCCCCCCACAACAACATCAGCTTAACTTTTGCTGTCTCCTCTCCCGCATGGGCAGTCAGTCCACTCCTCGCTTGCCTCCTGATCTGCAATGCTAATTCCAGGAAGTCAGTTTCTGATCCCAACTGCTTACTTTGTGTCTTTCATAGCTGCCAGAAATGCTTCACGGGGACAGTGAGGACCACAAGCGCTGCCAGCTGGGACACTTTATCCTGCAGAACCTGGGCATGCTGACCGGGTTCGGCATCATGCTGCTCATCGCCATCTTTGAAGACCGCATCGTTTTCGATTTTGGCTTTTAGTCGTGGAGAGGGGTTGGGGGGGGTGCTGGGAAGCGAAGGAGGGGAGAGTTGGATGTATCAATATTGTTCTTCTTGGCCTTAACATGCTTTGTTTGCAATGTAACGGCCCCGTCTTGCATGCAGTGTGGGTCTCGTTCATGGCCAGTGCCTCCATTCCAAACATGCAACGGTAGCTTAATGCATATCTCATGACTCTGCCAGTGATGTTTACACTCTGCTCCTCCATTACCTCTCCTCTGTCAGCTCCAATCTGTCTGCTCCCTGTGAAACAAAAAAAAAAAGAGAGAGAGAAAGAAGAGCGAGGCCGCACACCGACCAGAGAGCACCTCCTCTGCTCTGAACCAGTAACCTCCATCTAAAAAAGAGCTGTAGACGGTAAGGCGGCACAGGAGGCGCATTTCCTGCAGAGAGGCAGCTGCCACGGCCCAGCAGCTCACCGCCTATGCATCATCACCTGTTGTTAGTGTGTTGTCGTCATACACCCCCCTACGCCTCCCCGTCTCCTCTCCGCTCTGTGCTGTGTCCCATCATCCATGCCTCGTACATCTGTGGTGTGTTTTCCACCCGCCATCCATCATCAACCTCTGATGTCATCACGCTGTGTATCAAACATCTCGTGTCTCTCTGTGCCAAGCCCTGGCCACTGGAGCAGCACCACAGCAGTGATGCTCAGTTTAGCTAGCTATTACATCTGGAATAAACCCTTAGCTCACGTGGCTTCACCTCCAAAATGTGTTGACAGCTATAAACTGCGGTGTCAAAACAGAAAAGTGTTCCCCGACTTTGCGTGGGAGAGTCTAAATGGCTCAGTGTTGTTTTCGTGCTGCAACTTCCTCCATTAATTACGTCAGAGTTGTGTTTTATTGTCTAATTTGATCTTTGGGATTATTAAATCTTTGTAGTTCAGAGCTAACACAGCTGCCAAAGCCTTTACAAATAAGCATTTAAGACTTTAATGTTTTTGTTTAGATACTAGATGTCACAAATGTCTGACCAATTTTCTTTTTAAGGGTTTGACAATCTGTAGCCAGAGGAGACATATCCTTATTAGGCCTTTATATACTAGATTTCTTTGTAAGAATCAGCAGCTTCAAAATGTGAATTCAGAGAAAGACTAGCTGTTCTTGTCTTCTTGTTGTAGTTTACTAGATTTATTTAGGGTGCCTCTTTGAGTTCCTAAAAGGTGCTTTGTCCAGCTGGACTGCCCTGTAACGGACATTTAATTACAGTAGGAGGTCGAGATGTCACACAAACGCAGATTTTTTTTGATGTACTGTAAATATATGAGGTCTTTATAGTATCAGTAGCGGAGCAGCTAAAAGCTAACTTTTGTTGCTGCTAATAGTTTTAAAGGTACTTCTGTCAAGGAAACCTCCTGATCATCTGAGACAGACCTAGTAGAAGGCTGTGCTCTTGTACCACAGCAGAACAATATACTGTGTGACAGCATTCCCTGCATTTGTAATCCATGTTTAACTCGAGTTATCAAACCACAAAGACAAAGATTATTATTATTTTTTATACTTTGACAAACATTCCCAGTGTATGTTCCTGAGGGTGCACATTGTTGTCACTCTGCTGACTGTGCCAAAACTGGCCCCATTGGGGATTCTCAGTGGCTGGTGCTTGACACTGCCCCTCCCCCCTCTGCCCCCCTACATTCCATTGGCTGTCCTGCAGCTCACACGCTAAGCTAGCTAGCCTAGCTTCAGCTGCTGGAGCACACAGATAAATGTGTGTGGCTTCATTTATCCTGTCACTGTGTGACATCCATCATGCACGTCTCAGCTGGCTGTAAATCATCGTCAGTCACATTGAACTCGTGTTATTGACCTGACTGAATCATGCATGAAGCATGAGTGAAACGGTACAGACACTGTTGAGTGTACATTTGTTTTTTTCATTCTTTGTACTGCAAAGTTAAACTATTGACAACCTTTGTTACTTTTTAAATTAAATGTGTGTGAAGATCATGAGGGATTCTTTGGGGCGCAGTGAAACTGCATTACTTCTATCTTTTTACAGGCATTTTAAGACTTCATCTTATGTTCAATGAGACCCGAATGTATTTCATTTTGTTTTAACATCAAATACAGTTCATAATTTGATGTCTTTAAAATAATCATTTTACTTGGCATTCATTCAGTTTCCTACAATATTCATTTTGGTTGAGTTTTTTGTATTTAAAAAGATTAGGGGTCTTTTTTCTGAAACATGTATAAATACAATCTAATCTGTACTGTCAAGTGTGAGATACGAGTCAATTACACTTTGGACACTGCGCCCCAAAGAACACACGTCTTCACTGTTTATTGGGCAAAGAATTGTCTGTAAAATGAAGGTCCATGATTGTTCTCATTTTTGCTTTGTTGTCTGTATGTTTGTTCAGTAATCTGGATATAAAATGCAAAGTGTGACATCCTTGCTGTTTGCCTGTCTGTGCATTCTCCCCATTACGAAAGGAAAATAAACTCTGAAAAGATCTCTGATGGTTGTGGCATAATGTTACAGAGACGACTTGTGTGCGGCTGCAAGACCACAACAGCGTAACACATCTATCAGTAACATTATTCTGCCTCTCGCTGCTCCGCTTTCTGTTCGTCTCCTACTTCAGTTTGCGTCTTCAGATCAGCGGGTTTAGCAAAGCTGATTCTTAAATAAGCGTGGAGGCTCAAGGGACGATGTATACATTTAGAAACCAAACAAATGTATGAGGTGCAGCTGAGTTACTGTAGTACCATGGTGCTGTGGATGTATTTCTACCATCAGCAGTCGAGCTTAAACAAAGTACAACACAGTGAAATCAATTATCAGTAATGGCTGCTGTAATGTTTGGCCACATTACCGTTGTGTCCTCATATACCATTGCTCACATTCTAAGTACTAGCTAACATATACTTACAGGTAATCTACGCTCACCTGAATCATCACAACACTTAAATACTTCACCCACAAAATGACTATTTGTCTGTCAATTACCTTCCCTGTGTTACGTTAAATTTGTGTTTGTAAAACTTTGTTTTTCTGGCATGCCTACACAGGAAACGAAAAATCCAAAATCCTCCTTTTTCTCAAATTCTTCATGAATCTGAGAAAAAGGAGCCCATGTTTAACAATCGCAAAACTATATCAAAACATCCATTTACAAACTCTCACACAACTCTTGCAGTGTAATTCCAAGTCTCATTAATCCAGTCGTATGCTCATAAATTCACAAACACATGCATTTTGATAAAATCTTACTATTTAAAACACTTGAATTTCCATGACCAGTCACAACATGCAACATGAACAGAGCTGTTAACTCCAATGTTACTTATTATGTTATTATCATGATTATAGGAGGTCAGTGGACACGGAGCAGTAGAGCTCCTGCAGTGGAGGAGTGACAGCGGACATTTCAGTTGGCTCTCTGGTTAATTTAAAAAAATAACATAATACTAGTCCATACCCATTGAGTGCACAGTTGCCCATGTACAGTTTCACATGGTGTGTGTTTGGGATACAGGTCATAGGAAATTGCAGATTAAATAGTCAACTGAACCCATTAAGAAGAGCAATGTATTCAGACAGAGTTTTTGAAAAATGTGGGACAGACAGAATGACTGACTGACAGAATGACACACTGACAGTTTCCATGATTATGTACAGCATAGCATACCATGACTTAGTCATACCAAAACTTAGAAAAAAAACCCCCTAACATTGGTCCACAGGGGGGGCCACAGCGTTCGGTCACATTTTAGCCATTTAGCATTTTTCTGTTGTTATAGCACCACCCAGTTGCCAATTACAGTTAAATTTCTCCAGTCACCTTGAGGCATCCTGTTCAACATATCTACCAAGTTTAGTAAAAATCGATATGGCGGTTAGGCCTAGATAAGAAATCAGCTCTCTAGCACCCCTATTTTGTTTGATCAGGTCAATAATGGAGGGGGTCCCCTCAGATTATGTGTGGTCATATGCCTACAAAGTTGCATGGTGATCGCTGAAACCCTTGAGATGTTATACACCTTTATGTGATGAGCCACACCCTCCGCAATATTCATTGCCTTATAGAAGCTCAGTTTTAGTAAGTTTTCCAACTTTTGCCAAGAGGGAACTTTAGATATTGGTCCCTAGATTATGTTCACCGAGTTTCATGCAGATTGGTCAAATTTCCTAGGAAGAGATTGACTTTAAGTGTTTTTCAAAAAATTCAAAATGGCGGAAAATCTATATAATCATAAGTTGCGGGTTCTTGAGGCAGATTTGTTCCTCATGAGGAGAGGCATCTCTGTGCAAAGTGTCATGTCTCTACTACATACGGGGCATGAGATATGCCCATTCAAAGTTTGACATTTCAGTCGGTTGCTATAGCGCCCCCCTTTGGCCAATTGATGTAATATTGCTTCATTGGCATCCTCCCATGACCCTCTACCACTGTGCCAAATTTCACATGGATTGACCAAGTCAGTGAGGAGAAAAACATGGAACAGACACACAGACACACACACCCACTGACAGACAGAGTTTTCATCATTATATAGTAAGATAAATAACATGCTCCATACCTTCAAACTATCACACTCTACCTTTAGAGAAGTTAAAATCAAAGTGCAGATTGGTGCTCAGAGTGACAGATGAACGCCCAAAGATGCCCATGTCAACGCCCAAAGATGCCCATCTTAAAAAAGCAGCAGCGTTTTTGAATGGAAACATGTTAAACCCCACCATCCTACATCATTGTTCTCACCACACTTGACGGGCATCATTTGAACATCAGATTCAAACTGTGTTCTAATGTAATTCCAGCTTGCAAGCCTACAATAAGGAAAGGTACATGATGGTTAACAAACGTCATGTATCAACACATATTACAGCTACGTTACATCAACTGCTACGGTAAATAAATTTGCTGTTATGTTACATTATGTGAAAGATTGTCAACAAAGGATTACTGTAACAGTTTAATTACACACAACAAAACTCTGACTTTTACAAAACTGTCAAGAATTATAGGTTGTGGAATTCCCAGACTTTAAAGGTTTTCTATTACCATGGAAACCCTGTTAACAAATGTTTTGACACAGTTTTGCTATTGTGAAATGTGGCCCCCCTTATTCCAATCCATCAAGAATTTTCTCTGTTTTTGGATTCTCCGTTCACCATGGAGTCATGTAAGAAAAACAATTAATGTATATAAAATGATCATCTTGTGGGTGAAGTATTCCTTTAGGGTAACTGGAAATGCAAGAAGCCCAGTGACCTTTGACACTACTGCTTGTAATCCATAGTAGTCCATTCTCTGTGAAGACAGTAAAGACACAAGCAGTGCCAGTACTACTGTTTCATAACAGTACTCCAGTCGTCATTGTTACCTAATTGTTACTTCCTGTCACTGTTGTATTCATTTAGATTTTTATGTACAGTATAAAACAGAGACTGCGTGTTTTCTTTCCATTGGTTTTTAATGACATGTCAGTGTGAGACAAACAGACTAGGAGCTGAGCTGGCAGAGCAGTGCTACCCCTCGTCTGATCCAGTGCTCAGCGGGCACATTGGAGTTGAGCGTCATGGCGATGACATAATTTGTGGAGTGGCCTGTGGTGGACAGGGTGCCACGCCGCTCGCTGGTCTTGTAGACAGGCGCCATGTAGCACATCCTCTGGGGGATGTCCTGGCGTTTGATAGGCTTTAGCCACATCTGACAGAGAGAACGGGGACACAGAGGGGCAGACTGGGTCAAATGGTGTGATTTTAAAGTTTAAGCTGTGGCTGCCACATTTGCCTTATCTACCTCGTTTCGCTACTTTAGCAAATAGTCACTGTCATTTAGAGACTGTTTCCACTCAAAACATTTGACTGGTGAAATTATTAAACTGGAAAATTAAATTCAGTGTGCCTCTACTGACAAAAAACAAACTTAAAAGTCTTGATTATATGACAGATACATGATGATGGGAACGGTTGTTGTCAAAAAACCAAAAAGATCAGACTGTATTCATGGTTCAAAGGTCAGGACATGAAACACAGAGAAAATTAACCTGGCTCTCCATTTATCATCCGAACATTAACTAACAAATTTGAACTTTGGGGACATAAACTTATAAAACAATAACATTAACAAGGAAGAGCCCCCCCCTGGGCTATTAAGAAGTCTTGGTTATGCAAAAGGGATAAACTGGGCCACTCAAAAAAAAACAAATTTAAAAAAAAGAAAGGGAAAAGAAAAACAAAAACAGTTTGTTGAGTTGCAGCCAGAGAAGTACTCATCTGGTTCCATAACGGGCGCCTCTGTGAAGATTTACATTTCAAAGCCAGCCACGGCAGCCTCTGTTGTGATTTTTCCCCCCACATATAATAAACACATTTTTAATTAAGTTCCGCTCTTGTCAAAAACTGATTCTGTTAATAACTTGCCCTGAAATGTCTGAATATTAAAAAACTCAGTCTTGTGCATTATTCATAATCAGTGAATGCATTGTGAAGAGGAGAGAACAGAGGGAGAATTAAAAAAGAAAAAAAAGAAGGAGGAAAACTTGATCAGTCCTCGCTCTCTGCCACTGGCACTCTGTTCCATCACTCTGTCAGTCTGTTTTCATATACCATATCAAGCTCTGTTAATTAATAAAAGGATGAGAGAGCAAAGGAGCGAGGCTTCCTGCAGGCACAATGTAAAAAACAGAAGTGCTGAAGCTGCTGCTCAGCGTCGGGTCCAGAGAACACGGCGCTGTGAACATCCTCCAGCTACAGTTTGGTGGTTGTTGTTCACTTTCTCCTCGGAGACTCGCAATATTGGTCTCTGATAATTTTTTTTTTTTTTTTTTTTTTTTAAAAACAGCCAGCTCGTAGGAGTTTACAAGCTGAATAATGATGGAATCTGCCCCATTTTCATAATTTGATACGTGAACAGAGATTATTTTTCTTCTCTTTTGACACCCTGAAAGATTCACAGGAGCAGAATCAATAAACCTCCTCCCCTCAAACTTTATGTAACAATATGTTATGCAACAAGGATTTTTTTTCCACTTGACTGGTTGCCTGCAGTGTTTTTCACCATTAACTTCCATGCAATCTTACATTACATACATATTCAGACAAGAAAAGTTTGTCTCTGCATATTTGTACTTTCAGGCAGGTCAGAATGCACCAGATTCTTAAACCAATTCCATCCAGACTATTATCTTCACACAAGAGATATTAAAACACCAAAATCTGATAACCTTGTAACTTATAAAAAAAAAAAAAAAATAAAAAAATAAACTTCAAAGGAGGGATTCTGATTCTTGATTCCTCGAAGGATAAAAATGTGAGAACTGTAGATGTTGAAATTAAAAATGTTTGAGCACTTTAAGGACTTTATATCCACGTGAGCTTAAAAGTTGAGTTAAAAAAAGTCAACTTTGACTTCCAAAAGAAAATCCATTAACTTTGACGCCAATGGATGAGAAGTGATATGATCAAAAGCTACAGAAGAGCTACTAAATGGACCTTGAGGTGAGATTATTTGATCATCTATGTCTCAAATGTGTAAGTAAGTCTGTTTTTGTAGGTAGCCTGGTTCCAGGCCTTTCAGTTGCCACCCGAATCTCAGATTTCAGACATGAAACCCATGAAAGTCAAAGCTTGTGTGGATAAAAACTTCAGGAAAGAAGTTCAGTCTGACTCCCAAGATGCATTTCAGGCAGGTGAGAAAACTGATTTTTGCAATCTGCACCTTAAATCGCTTTAAGTTTGATGTCTGGGTCAATTTTGGATGAACTCAGCAATTAAAACACAGTGTTTCATTAAAAGGAAACTTCAGTATTTTTCTACCTGGACCCTATCTAAGGCTACATTCCTACTACACATTTCCTCATGTGCCACGGATATAATTTGCAGAGTAGTGTGAACACAGAAATCAATTTTTTTCCAATCAGATTTGGGACATTGTCATATGCGGTCCTAAACCTGACATAAATCCAATCACTGCCCATGCGACTGCTGTGTGAAAGGTCATATCTGAATCCATGTTTTTTTCAACTCATACTTGACTGTGCAGGCAAAAATCACTCACCATACAGTGATGGAGCGGTCTGTTGAAACTACAGAGGGCTGCTGTAACCATACCACTGCCTGATTCACAAAAAACACCTCAGTTCATCTTTTCACTTCTCTAGCAATCACCAATTCAAGTTTGGTTAAAATAAACCTTTAATTCACCCAGTTAGATGCAAAACTATCATTCGGTTTCTATGGAAATAATGCTGGCTCTATATATGCTAAAATTACTGTTTATTTAAATGGAATCTGGTATATTTGGGAGCAACTGACAGTGGCAACTGTTTCAGGTTAAACAAAGAGGATTTTACTCTCTAACAAAAAGGTCTATCTCTGTAGGGATCTTTTCCACAATGTTGGCAAACATTTAAGCCCCGTTTCCACCGAGCAGTACGGTATGGTACAGTTTGGTTCGGTACGCTTTTTTTTTTCGTTTCCACTGTGAAAAGTTGTGGATGGTACCGATGGAACCATTCCATACCGTTCCTATTTTTGGTCACCCTTCTGTTGGGGTACCTAGCACACAGATCTGGTACTAAAAGGTGGAGCTGTGAACACTGCAGTCCGTTGATTGGTCAATACCGGACAGTCACTCTGCTCAGGGCTGAGCTCTGGCTGGTTTTTACACTTATGTAACCACTGTTCATACTGTGGAGAGTTTTATGTAAGGGTTAATGCCCGACGAGGTGTCCATTATCAGGAATTAATGGACAACGAGGAGGCGTGAACTGCGAAGTCCATTAATTCCTGATAATGGACACCTCGTCGGGCATTAACCCGCTTATACCATGGTCATTTACCAAAGAAATGAATATTAAATCAATTATTTATGCTTTAATGTGTTTTACAGTTAAAATCATGAATTTTTCACAAGCCACAACTGAGCGGACTGTTTAATCTCTGTAGTTCACAGGCGTTGCCATGGAAACCCACTGTGGCCGCAGCATAGAGAGCATAGCGACTCTGATCAGTGAAGGGAAGTGAGATGATGGCTAAACGTTACGTGATATTATTCAGAAGATGATTATTTCAGAAAGCCAGTGCACTTCTTACCACTTGTGTGTTAGAGAGGATGATGTGCAAAAAAAACTTGAGATAGGCTATTACTTTCATGATTCATTGGCGTTCATTTATAGGCTAGGCCCAAGAAAATTTGTTTCAAATATTCAACATCCAAATAATAGCCTAGTCAAAATCGTTTTAAATTGCAACAAATAATTCATAAGCATATAGTAGTCGAGATTAAATCATATAAACACATTAACAAATTAACGATTGTTTCCTATTTATAATTAAATGCTACATTACCATTAATAGTGAAATTTGAAAGTGATATGGGTATGTCCATCATAGTGGCATTTGAAGGATGAAGATTGACAGATTGAGCATTGCTTGTTGGGACATTTGGAGACGACAAGATGTTGCTCCAGTCTTGTCTCTCCTGCGCTGACGGAGCCCAATAAGCCTGCAGGCTGCTCTCACACCGATGTCCCATGACAGTGTTGATCTGACGAGTTTCCAGGCTGGTGTCAGAGAGCCGACCTACAGCTGTGCTCCGGGGGCTGTGATTGGTGTAGACCCGTGACTCCTTGTGCCGTTTCTCCCTTTTCTTTTCATTCGCTAACCTCTCTTCTTCTGCATCCCAGTCATCAAAATGATCAAATTCACCAAATAAATTAAATGAAATGATAAAATCACTCATGATGCCTGTTGTAATCCGTTACCTCTGCTCTGAGTCTCCGTTGCTATGGTTACAAACTAGCAGTTGAGCCAGCGCAATAATTTAGAACCTGTCATCAGGCAATTTGAACGGAAAGTCTTTTTAGCTGTCCTATAACACCTTTTAAAGGACACCCTGCTCAGAATTGAGTATTCACCCAGACCATGGTATAAACATTAGTATACTATAGCTATAAAATGAAAGGATGTTTTGCTGCCTCTCGCAGCAGCTGTAGACTGAGAAAAAAGAACTTCATTCACTGGGCCGACTGCCGGTGACTTTTAAGGTGGAACGTTAACTTGTAACGTTACACAATGCATGAGGTGACAACATGAATCAGTCAACACATTAAATATATATAGTAATGAGTGGATCTTCAAGCATTTCTATATATTCATTTCGACCGAGTTATGCATTTATTCTAATCCTCAGCCTGTTTCGCTGCTGCCAGCTGGAGCCCTGTCGCTAATACTGGACCAGTTTCAAAAACTGTTGTCTCCATTAGTCACTTAAACACATAAACATGGGAAAATAACTCACTCAGTCACTCAGAGACCCCTCAGTCGACTGAGATTGCCTCAAGTCGAGCAGTCTTTTTTTCTGCTAGTCAGTGTGCTGTGCAGCGTACTTCTCGGGATGTTTTGGTTCCCAGATTTTGGTGTGGAGTGAGCACTCTTGACTTTCACACTACTTTTTGGTACAGATGGCTGCGGACATGATCTGCTTGGAAGTGGTGAGTTTACAGCTCACAGATACTTCATATGACACAGTCTCTGGCTTTTGTTGGATATCTAGTGTCTGCAAAAAATGTTGTTACACATTTCCGATTCATCATTAGCGCCGGGGGCTTGTTAATCATATTCCATGAATGCCACTGTCACACTGAATGTCCCGTTGAGCCATGTTCAAACTTTAGAACTTTATATGAGACCTCTGGCTGGCATCTTCAGCTCAGAGCAACAGCAGCTGAGTCTCAAACTGTCCACCATGCCTAACTGATGGATAAAACATGATTTCTCAGGAACAGAGTTGAAATAACTATAAACTTGTGGTCATAAACCTAAAGCAGAGTGCTTTGTTTTTATATTTTCTCTTATATATATATTTCCTCTTCCTCTTAAATATCTGTGTACTGTGTGTGCTCCTCACCACAGGCATGGGGTCATGCAGCACTTTGGGGTAGGACTCAGCAAGAAGTTTGGTCTTTCTGTCCCAGCGAGCGCCATCCAGAAACAGACCTCTAACGTACACACCTGAGTGCCACAAACACAAACAGGTACAATTCAGAAGAAGACAGGTTAGTGTTACTGTCAGTATTTCCAACTACCCTCTACTATCTTTACATTCCCTGCATATATGGATGAACCCTGTGAATATGATGCTTGTTGGCTCTTTAAGCAACCGTTAAACTTTATGAACCCAGCTGAACTGACCTCTGTGCTGTAATACTGTCTTCTCATAAAGCATGTGAGATCTCCTATTAATAGGGTGGGAATAAAGGCTGAGATGTGGAGATAACTGGCTGTTGGCATCCTATCAGTATCACACCCCCAAATGCACAAACACACTGTCAGTTTTGAGCTTGGCAGTATGGGCAGTGTTAGTGTGATGGGGCCCCAGCTGGGAACTGATTGAGGGTGAGGCTTTATGTGAGACTCTGACTGAGAATCTTACAGCAGAGCTGGAGGCACAGCGAGGGGCTGACACAGGCCTGCGTGTAGATGAGAGAGGGGAAGGCTTTGCTTTAACTTGCACTTTACACTGCCTCTCTTATATACAGTCAGTTTTTATCTAGTTGTTTCTTCTCTTCCACCCACTGCTTATGTTCTTCTTATTTCACTTTCTGCTTTGAAACCTCACTTTTCATCCCCTTGTAACCTTTTTAATCTCTTCTTTTCTCCTTCCCTCCACAAGTGCTCTCAGTCAAGTGCTCTGCTGGTGTTTATTCTCTATGGTTTGCTGAATAGGGCCAATATATTCTATCAGAAGCTGCTATTACACCATCACTTTTACTTCCCCCTGAACATACCCTTTCTCTCCCTATCTTCTCCACTACCCCTGTTAGTATCCTACCATCTTTTGGGGGCTGTTTGTACTGTTTGTCATCCAGGACCTCGAAGTCAAAGCCAAGCAAGTCAATTGGGACGGTGTGTTTCCTAGCGTAGTTCTGCTGGCTGCCTGTGAGGAAGGCCTGGGTGAAGAAGAATCCTGACACCCAGAATACAGCAGGCGTACCCTGATCATACCAGTCCTGAAAACACAGCAGGCCAGAGAAGAGAAGGACAGTTATAACTAAAACCAGCCACAACACAGATTCCACAGTAGTAATCATATCACATTTAAATGCAAAATTGTTTTGTCAAATTGCAATTCTTTACTTGATCCCATACGCATTTTTGTTTAGCATGTTAGCGGGCTAAAATGTGCTGATTAGCACAGAGTAGAGATGGGAATGTCTTTACTTTTGCAAATGTTTGGTCAAACAGTAGCCTACTGGACAAGCAAACAACAGCAGCAACAGAGACATAATCACAGATACTGATAGTGTGTTAATCACTATCTGTATTCTGTCCAGGAGGACTTAGTACTTAAATCCACACACCACAGCATGTGGATTAAAGTACCCACTTGCCCCCAACCGTACCAGCTGTTTGGACAGAGTAATGCAAGCTGTATGTAAAATTAATGAGGTTACAGTAATTGCCACATTCATTATATAGCTCACTTAAGTACAACAAGGATGGACCTGTGCTTCTCGTCTTTGTGCTACTGTAAACTACACCACAATGTCTTGGAATATTCAGTCTACTGAACACACTGAGAACAAACTGATGTTCCTCCTCTCAGCTCCCTTGAACACAGCAAACAATCATATACCCTAAAATGTCAAGGTATTCTGTTAGGTCAGCATGCTGTCTCGGATAAGAAACCCGTGACTTTTCAGTTCACCCTGTGGGGAGTCATGGGTGGACATTTCCATTGGATAACACACACACACACACACACACACACTGTACATTCTTTACACTCCACTGAGTAATGATGAGCAGGAGGAATACAGTGTGTCTCCAGTGGAAATAGGAAGGGAAGATGATTGTTGATGAAGGTGAAGAGGTTCACTTTGCAGTCTCACATGATAATGTCATGTGTCTGCCTGTGTTCCCTCTAGAACCCTACTCAGGAGTGCAAAGCATTCCTAAACCCCCTGACCTTCTGTGTGCTGACGAGGGAAATGAAGTGGTCTTGTGGAACTCAAGTATGACACAGCTTAAGGCAGGGTTTCAGCTCAAAGTATGCACAGTATGTTACTGTTATAACTTTTTCATGTGATACTACTGTAACTCCTGAGAGGCAAAACACTGGCGAAGTAAAATAACCCCAAACAAAGACAAAATCTGTTTGTGTGGTCCAACAGCATTTGAGCAGTGTTTTCCATGTAAGTGACCATGGTGATACACATTTGTGACAAACCCGAAATGCTTCTTAAGTTTAATAACATCTGATTTTAAATATTAAAGCCATGGGCGGATTATGACACAATGAGCCCCCTGACACTCTGGGCCCCTGGGCCTGTGCCTGTTGGGCCCGTTCAGTAATCCATCCATGATTACGGCAGGTCTTTGTACCTGTAAAAACTTGAGTCGTTCCAGGAAGTCATTGACGTAGCTTCCCAGCGGTTTAAGGCTGGGGTAGGACTTCTTCATCCACATGCCCGGGACACGACCCGTCAAAATGCCGCTAACCACCTCCTCCAGCTCTGCAGACATCACTACCTGCCCCTGCACATCAACACACACACACACACACACACACACAAATACACACATTCAGCCACAAACAAGTGATTAACTTCTGCACTGCTTGCGAAATTGTTTTAGCTCTGTTTAAGCACTGAATCGCATATCAGAGAAATTTCAGCTTGTCACTGAAATACCTCTCTGTAGAGATAGGTGACAGAGAGCCACATAATGGGAACTCTTATTTGCTCTGTAGGGGGTCTTTGATACAAGTATGAAAGACGATGTGCTCATTCCCCTTCCTGACTCTTTATGCTCTCTCCACTTCAATCCTCTGAGACTGGTGCATCGCAGGAGGAGAGGAAATGTGTGCGGAGTATGTTTATTAAATGGTATAAAGAGACACATGTGTGTGCTCAGGCATGTTTCTTTTTTTTGAATGTGGTGTAATTAAGAGTGCAATGCTACACATATTCATGCACATATGTTCAGATAATGTTCTGTTTTCAGCGCTCTGTGAACTAAATAATTACAGTGTCTTTAGTGTAATGCGGTCCAATTACAGGCCATGTGTGAAATCTCCAAACCTTTGGAAATACAAATTCAGTAACAATTTTGCCTGAGGACGTTATGGCTTAAGTAGATACTTTCACTTCCTCAAGTGTGTCTATTGGTGGCATTTTGAAAAAAATAAGAACAACAATAACACTGATTAAAATTATATTAAGGCTTTAAGACAGCTATATTTGTGAGTCTGCTAACTGCCTAATTGAATCTTAGCTCATCACATACAGCAGTGGTGTTACTGCCAACTACTTAGGCACCCTCCCTCATGTTCTTTTTGCCAAAATAAATGCAAAGACACAATCCAAGTATCAAACGAGTCCTTCAGAAATGTGACATCATATATATATGTTCATATTTTAAGCCATGCTAGCAGTGTCGCTCTAGGGATAGGAATGCCTGTCACCACTTTGGTCCGGACTGAAATGTCTCAACAACTATTGGATTCATTACCATTAAATCTGGTGCCGTGAGGATGAATAGTAATAGCATCGGGGATCTCAGCCTTAGCTGTATTAGCATGCTAACATGACAAATGATACATGATAAATGGTAGTCATCAGAATGTTAATGTCGATATTGTGTATGCGTTTACATTTTGAAGTTAGTATTTAACTCAAAACACTGCTGCTCCATAGTACAGCCTCAAAGAGCCGTTAGCACAGCTGTAGATTATACTGTACAGTCCGAAGCCTCCGCAAAAGGAAGTGAATTGAATATATAATGGCCCTGCAGGAATGGAGATACTGTATGTAGCAGGGTGAGCTCAGTTCCTTTCAATGCTGCAGAGGATAAGAGCACTTTCTGAAAGAATGTCAAGAGCAGTAGTTAATGATTTAGAGACTGGCTGCTTCATCCCTGTCAGTCCCAAAGGCTCAATAACATTCTATAATGTATCCATTTCAGTTTTTCTACAGTTCATTACCTAATACTTTAACCTTGTGCATACTCTAACAACACTGCTTTGAAGTACGAAATAGAGTAACATAACGTACATAGATTTTCAGGAGGTAGCAGTTCGTCCATACACTGGTTCATTTCCATAAATTGCCCTAAACTTTCACAATTACTGTCCGAGTGTTTCCTTATAATAGGAAATGATGGTGTTAGATTAGTGCATCTCGAAAGTTGTGCTGACTGCTTACAGTATCTGTTTTTCGGAGGATGTATTGCCGGAGTTTTCTCTGTAATCATTCAGCAGAGGTGAGCTTCCTCTGATGAAATATTGCCTTCACCGCACAAAAATGTGAAATCAATGATGATTCATCATTTGGCCTTACTGTTTATCTAAAACAAACACATTTAGTGTAATTACAGCACATTTGGCCATGCATCATGCTATAAGTATCCGAACAATAAGGATCCCTGAGAATGAGTTAAAAACTGAACAGCTCCTCACCGTTAATGCTGATATAAATATAAGGGGACACAGATCTGACGTGGACAATGTAATAATATAATAGCAACTTTTTGTTTTTGTTTTGTTTTTTTACATCCAAACCCTTGTCTACCTTTATGGCGTACCTTTATGGCCTTCTGAATGTTGACACAGGAGTTCCGGATGGTGCAGAGCAAGTTGTTGAAGCGGCCCATCTCCTGCACCAGCACTGTATTCATGCTCTGATTGTAGCTGGTGGGAAAGCGCCTCATCGCTGCCTCCAAGTCAAAGTCTCCAGGCAGCTTGCTCAGGACGTCAGCTGCCACATCAAAGACCATGTCATCTGAGGATTTGGCGTCTCCGCCTGAAGAGCGGGACTGATCAGAGACACAGAGCGACAGAGGACGGATGAGAAGGGGAGGCAGGACTTGTGGCTCGGATTGGTTTGACAGTTCATCATTTCTGGAGGAAATTATCTTTTGCTGTCTTTGACTTGTCAAATTATGTATTCCCTTTCAAGGACTCTTTCGCATTGGCGCTATTTTTTATCCTGAAAAGGCCCTGATGTTAAGAGGTTCTGACTTCTGACTTACTTATATTTCATCATCTCTGTGCCAGATTGATTTAAATTCATCCTTTTAAAGGGACACAAACTGACACAGAATATCATAGTCATATGATTTACCTCTTAATTTTACCTTTCCGTCCTTAATTTGTAGACATTTCCTAGGCTGGTCTACAGCTACCACTGTAACGCCACTGGTGATAAGATCTAAGCATACACTTACTGGTATCCCTCTGTGAACATACACACAGCTTCACACACACACATACACTCACACCCATACACACACAGAGCCTCAGAAGATGGGAGGTTTCACAACATTTCGTCCAATTTCTCCCACAGTCATCTGACACAATCTTATCAACAATTCTAATAATCATTCATGCTGATAATTATTCACTCTAATCTGTGATTCTTCCGCTTTCCTCTCCAACTTGCACCATTTACCTATTTGATGCTCACTCACTAGCCAACGGTAATGGATAATCATTGGCTAATGGCACCGAGGTTACAGTAGGGGAATGACAAATAGCTGTTTCATTCCATTTGAAGCGTCTCCCTGTTTATCGGTCATTGAGACTGATGGGACCGTATTAGATGCTAATAAAGTCCACACATGACTGAAGCCATTATTAATCTTGTTGAAAGGAGTTTATATGAATAAATGCCAGACTCCATTGAGCTCTAATTTTAACTTGAAGTGGCAATGCCCGTGGAAATTATTTTCTGTTTGCTTGTAGCGAGCCAGATCTGTTTTTCACTTTTGTGACGGTGTATGTACACTGTATATTATCAGATCAAACAGATTTAATCAGAGGAAGTGGGATGTATAGGATGCATATAAAGTAGGTGTGCACATTTGACACTCTGGTCTAGTTCTATATATAGATCACTTGCACTTGTTTATTATCAAGTTTAATTCCCACAGGAACATAGACAAGTTTCATCAATGTGAGAAATCTTTGCTAAGTGAGAGGCACTGCTCTGTTTCTTAAAATAAATAAATGGATATACGGCTAAATAAATATCCCTTCCCACTTTGTGGGAGAAGCTGTACTTCTGTCGTCTTCAAGTAGGTCTTCATGCCAAAATCTCTTAGATTTGATTTGCAGCAAACATTGACTGATATAATCCTCAACAAGCTAACCTAGTCTATCCCTACAGAGCTGAGATATAATGATGTGGGATCACACAGCTCCACCAAAGACACTGTGAGTCATACAGTGTCAAAGGAAGACAACTTAATAAGAGGGTCTTTTTTTTTCATTCTTTGAAAAGTCTCTCTACAAACAACTGAAATATTTATTTATATTTTTCTCTTTAATTAATGTTGCATACTTGCATACTACATGTTAAATGTAGGGCAATAAAATATTTAATGCTGGCAAGGACACTTATAAAAGACGCTGGAAACTCGAGGGAAGCATATTGATGCTGTGTGCGTTTATTTAAGACAGTATTTCAGTGTCTAGGTACACGTGTTTAAATGTGTGTACTCCAGTTTCGTGTGTATGTGTGTGTTGTGCATTTGTTGGGTGAGAGTGTTTGCACGCCATCTCCAATTTGAAAAGCAACCAGCTGAGTAGTGACAATCCAACTGAGCATCTGGGATGTTGGCCAAGAGGGGGCACATTGGATTTGGAAGCGAACCAGGGCTGCTGGCACTAAAGATCAGTGAACTTTTTTTTTTTTTTTTCTCACCAGTACCCATGCCAGGCCACAGTGCTGTTTCATGTCTATTTCTTGCCCAGTTTTACAGTCATAAACCTCCAGGTCATTTCATGGCATGATAATGAATTCAGGATCACACTGCTTCATGAAATTCTGTCCTTCTGTCGTCATTATTATAACAGATAGCATCAAAAAGAAATCTTAGCAGTAATGACTATATTTAGAAGTTGCAGTGGCTCAAATACAAAAGCTGAGAACTGCAGTGGTTGCACATATTTTTCATTTTTACTGGAGTTATCTTGAGATCACAAGTTCATTATTTTGTTATGTAAACTAAAGTCATTTTTTGGTGATAAATGATGTCATTATCTCAAGAAATCTGCCTTTTGTTTTCCCCAAAATTGACATAAGTTACAATGTTATCATGAGAAAACAAGCCTTGTTATCTTAAGATCATGGTATAATTATCCCATGATGTTGAAAAAAAAAAAAATCATAGTCTCTTGATAAATTATCTCATTATCTTGAGAAATCAGCCTTTTGTTTTTCTCGAGAATCGACATAAATTTACCCGTTTTGTGAAGTAAACAAGCTTTGTTTTTCGGGGATCAGTCGTGAAGAAGACGAGCAGTTTTCTTGTGATGAATTATCTTGAGAAAGTTATATTGAGAAATCGGTCTTCTGATTTCTTGAGAACAGTCATAAAGTAACCCATTACCACAAGAAAACAAGTTCTGTTATCTTGTGATAACAAAATATTTAACTTTTGATCTTGAGACAACGGCATTAAAACTATTTGCAAGCATGGACATTCTTGGCTTCCATACAAATTAAATACTTTACAAGTGATAGTACAATGTCTCAAAGTATAACTCTGAGTTTGTTTGCTTGTGTGTGTTTTAGCACTTGTACATGCTAGTTACTTAGTTCCTGACAAGCAGCCAATCAATATGATACTTGGTGTTTCACAGTTCCAGGTGGATTTACCTGTGTAAGCAGGATGCTGTCAAACAGTAGTTGTGTCTCAGCCTGATCCTTGGTGATATCTGCGTTGGCATTCATGCCAAAAATCTCTGGTGAGGGGTTGAGTGGCAGCGACTTGGTGTATTCTATGTAGCTGTTGTACTGCGACCGAGATGCAGGGAACAGAGGGAGAGGAGTGGAGTGAAGTAAGAGGACAATTTTTTAACGCAACATCAGGAAACATCTCGAGTAATAACACTCATTGAAAAACAAGTCGGCTCCTTAGATTGCTGACATTTATTACAATGACTATGTAAATGTGACTTCATGAATAAAAGATGTGGTTGGAGGGGGGTGCTGCACTGGAGAACAAAATGCCAAATAAAATGGAGCGCGCCATAGATTGCACTTGTGTTAACAAATATATCAACCCTCACTGATGGTGGCTGCCTGCTGTGCCTTGTTACACACATTTTATCTCCTAATGACTTTTTAAAGGTAGCTCAACAACAGTGCTAAGTAACTGAGTCCTGTAATATGCTTAGTTTAAAAACAAACACATTAAAGTAAGTTTAACTTTTCTTCTTAGTTTTCAAGGCAATGACACACCAGCAGCACATTTAGGTAACTGCTGGGTGCACGGTTAAGGAGCTGTTTCTGCTGTGCTGTCCTGACTGAAGGAAAGACACACTGTTTGAGAAATAGAGACTTTTCATGTTTATATATAAATAACAAGCTGCATAACATGCCTTTGCTGCAGTGTACCATATCACATAAAGGTCAAACTACTGAATGAATATACTGAGTAAATATAACAAACACAGTGTCACAGATGCAAAGCACACCTCTTACAAAACATACCCCTAGCGCTGTGCAACCGAGCCAGAATATAAAGCTTTGTGTAAAATAAAATATTTCTGCACCAGCAGCATATCACATAATAAGTCACCCTACTGTATGCAAGTAATCATTGACAGTACAAAATATAATCTGTATTTCTGAGATGAAAAAAAGTTAAAAAGAGCTAGTCAACAGTTTGCAAGTCCCACTAGCGGTAAATCTGCAGGCTGAGTGAATAACAAGTCAGTTCCGTTAGGTGCTTTCCATCTAAAAACAGACTTTGCACAACACTATGTTAAATATTGGATTCTTTTCCCTGGAAATATCATATGGCGTTTCCTCATTCCTATAAATCTTGTATGCATTTCTGTGCTTACAGCTAAATCCAAGCTAAAGTTGTGATTTATTTTTAAAAACCCTTCTTGATGCTAACACTGCTGTTTGCAATGATTTAACAGGAATATTGTGTGATTTTCTGCTCTTACATCTCCCTCAGCTGGTGCGTAGTAGAGCCCGCTGGGATCAAACTTGTAGTCGGGGTCGTCGATGATCTTTGAAGTGTAGAAGATAGAGAGGATCGTGCGCAGGGTCCGTCTGTCCCAGTCATCTGTCACACGGCCTCCATAGTTACACTCACCAGTCATATAGCGGAGGGCATCGAACGGCACTTCCTACAGCAAACAAGAAATCACGCATTTTAAACGGGAAACCAAGAATAACCATGTGTGAGGTTTGGATGTTATAAAAGGAGGTGAGCATTAAAAAATAGATCTCAGTGTGTGCATACATTCTTAGTTGTCTGCTTCTGAAACAAGAAACCTGGCTGAAATTCACTCCACGAGCTAGACTTGGAAAGGAAATTGACGTAATTGGAGGTGAAAGGGTAGGGGGTTGTGGCCATGGTGGCATTTTCTGGAGGAGGATTTCACTTACAAATTCAGCAAGCGATACTTGGTTACAAGATGAAAATGTCACGGCGTTCAAAAAAGATACCCTCAATAGTTTATTTCTGCCACTTTCTCTCAGCTACAGCAGAGGAACTGGGAATGGCGGAGGGCTGAAGTGCTATCTGTTTGTGGAAAAATGTCAAGAGGATTTTTGAATATGGCTGATGAAAGCGGATACTTGAGTGAAGAGGAACCCACTTGTAAAGCCAGAATTTCTATTATGGGCTTAGATGCGGCATATATATGTAGGAGTGGATGGTGTATGTGCATCTGCATGTGAGCTTTACTTTGTGCCAGAGATATATAGTCAGTTAATGGGAGTATATGTAAAGTATGTATGACAGAACAGTGCTGAGTTAGATTGCACCTGCCTGCATCCCACACTCTATGGAATTTTGTAATTTGAGAAATATCTGATAATGGTACAGATGACTAACTGCTGACAATCTTTAAGAGATGACATGAAAGTCGCTGTAACCAAAGTCCATTGTTGGTTTAACGGCCATTTTTGAGATATTTTACATTTAGATTAGATTTACATTAAAGTAGGTGGAATGAGATCATTTCTCTTTGACAGAGTTAATTTGGTCAACTCTTATTTCATAACTAAAACGTAACAAGAGAGGAAATGACAAAATTGACAACAAAAAATGCGGAAAAAAAATATCTGTTAGAACTAAGTTAGATCGCAGAAGCCATCTGCTTTTAGCTAACCAATCCCACCTTGCTCCATTAACATAATGTTCATTTTTACCGTCACTCAACTAGCTCCTAGAAGATGATTTATGATTTCTTACAACTTATAAACAGACACTAACTCATTTGGTAGATATTTAACATAATTCTGTATTACTTTAAGCTCCATGGAACCAACCTTGTAACCATTAACCATAAACGTGACGTTTTCCAGATAATGTTTGTCAGCCTTAACAACACACTTTACACATTTATGACCAAGTGAATCAGCACACTGAATTGAGTGGCAGACCTCAGTTATATATAAGTAATATAAAGTGGTAGTAATATAAATAACTAAGAAAGAAGTGCAGTCAGTCAGTAACACATTCTCAACCTAGGTGGAAATATAAGCAAAATATTTAAAATAACTACCTGGTACTGTTCAAGAAACATGTGTAGCTGTTGTACAGAGATGCGGAGGTCGGTCTCATTGAACTCATACGGAATGTTCCAACCCAAAGGTCCAAACTTCCTCCTCTCCTGGGTCAGGGCGTGGAAGAAACACAGGCCGTACAGTAGTTTCTTGAACACAGCCTGAGAGGTGGATAAGCATAAATGGAATGTACGGTCTTAGGTCGATAATCAGATAAATAGTGGTGGTCGTTTAGAATTTCCACAGCTAAAACAAACACACTCTGAAATGCACAGTAGGGGTGATAACAGACACAAAAGAGTTTAGGACACCAACTGATGAAGGTATGATAGATATGCACAGCAAGTCACCTAGACATACACAGAAATGTTTGAAGCACACACTGACCGGCTTGCTGCAGCTGCCAAAAAACTCCGGGTCAGAGATGGGGTCCATTAAGAAGGAGCGTGCAATGTTGGCACGCAGGCCCTTTGGAGCCTCATTGGTCATCTTTACCCCGTTCTGAAGCACTGCCACAGGGAAGGTGGGAGACGGGTAGCTAGTCAGCCAGAGCCTGAAGTCTGGGTGGGTAGTGTCTGGGTTCAACTCCTGCTCACAGCCACAAAGACCAGTAAAAATATAAATGTATTGGATGACACACATATATACGTTCCCATCTGGTGTATAGAAAGTATATGTGTGAGTGTGTTCTGACCTCACAGACTCTCTCCAGTGTTGACATCCATGAGGTGGCCAAGTGGCAGTTCTGAAGAACCACCCAGGTGCCCTCTTTAAGGCCCGTCTCGATCATACGCATAGCAATGGGACCCTGGCCTTGGCCCAGTGAGAGGGAAGCCAGCTTGTTACCCGTAAAGCCCTGAGGGATAACAACAACCGTACACACACATACACTCACTTATGTAGCTGCTTTCTGACCGAGTTGGAGCCAAAATAATTTTCAGTGCTTTTAAGACCTGTGTGGGAGCCTGGGAAAATCTAGAGGATCCAATTTCCCCTTTCATTTTGAGTTTGTACACACAGCAGGCTTCAAAGCTGCTGAATTTCCCCAGGTGTCTCTGTACCTTTTCATCTCCGAACTTGAGCAACGCAGCCATGGGGTCTGAGCCAGGGGAGAGGATAAAGATGAGGGGGGCACAGCAGTGGCTATCAACGAAGGCTTTACTCAGGTTGAAGGGCGGTGCTTCGATGAAGGGTCGACCCAAACTGTCAGAGACAAACTCCTGTACCATAGGAATAACCTGGGGAACGCATAAATGGAATGACTGTTTACTGATATATTTCCAGAAAAATCCGAAGAATGTTGAAAACAATATAGACGTCTTAAGAAATTGAGTTACAACTCAACATCCTTATAATTTCCTACCACCTCTTTGAAAACCACATTTCAACTGACCTTGTCTGGTCTGAGACAGCGGATCACCAGCATCCTCTGAAACTGGCTTAGCTTCTCCTGCCACTCATCAGGGAAGGGAGTCTGATGGGGGCTCTGCGAATGTGCACAACACAACTCATATTGACCTCTGACTGTACTTAAATATCTAGTAGTTAATTCAAATTCCACACCGGAGAGAAGATCTGTTGAATAAAGCTAAATTCCAGGGCCAACACTTAAGTGACTGGCCTAGAATACAATCAACCAGAGTATAAAGCCACACAGATGGCTTAATGGAATCTTTTAATGCTGGTTGGTAATGAGGAAATTCATTAATTGTTATTCATGCCCCTCATCAGGTTACAGAAAACATTCAGCTTTTTGTCAACTTTTCTTGGAGAGTACCAGGGAAGTTCTGGGGTGGGGTTGCATTGTATCGAGCTGTTGCAAGATGAAGCAATGTAATTAAGCAAAAAGAGGGGCGATCTGTAATGCAAATGGGGAGGAGAGTAATGCAGGGCAATAAATAAATATGTATGAAAAAGCAAAGACTGTAGAAAAGGAAAAAAGTGGAAGTAGAAAGAGGTGGGGAAAGAGAAAAGCCACTGGGTACTGGGTCAGAGCAATATGTTTGATTAATTTGTGGAACAAGTGTACCAGAGGAAGTGAGAAATGGTAGCGGGAACTTTTGGAATTATTTTCCCTAGGCCGTTTGTCGAGAGACTTCTGGCTATGTGCGTTGGCAGGTGCTTTGAGACGGATACACCTATTTAGAATCTCTAGGGGATTCTCTGTGTGTACAGGGGTGTGTGAGTGCCTGTGTGCTTGATTGAACAGCTGTTCTTGCATCAAGATTGAATAAATGTGAATTCTACAACTGGAACAAACTAGATTTAATTGGATAGAAGTGTTGTGGCTGATTCTGTTGATTATAAATCAAAGATGGTGTGTGTGTTTGAGTGTGTGACAGCAAAGAGACAAGCATGTGTGCTGCACACATGTTTGTGTGCACCACACATTGATTAAACAGCTGTTCTTGCGTCTAGATTGCATAGATGTGACTGGCACAACAGGAACAGAAAAGATTTAATTAGATAAAACTTCAATTTTAGATTCTTTATGATTCAAAGATGGAGATAGGGTGCTTGTGTGTATCATCCACACCTGACAGGCAAATTACTTTCCTCCCACTTTCTTTCTTGCCTGCCCTCTTCATCTATATGACATTTAAACTAATGAAACTCAGTTATCTGACATGAAATAAGAAGTTAAAACTTAAACTGCGGGAGGATTTGGTTCACTGAGTTAGCAAATAGTAAAAGGGATAGTTTGGATGTTTTGAAGCTGCATTGTATGAGGTACCTATCCATAGTCAGTGTATTAAACACAGTAGATGGTGAACGGCATGCTCACAGTCTGGAGAAGCAGACAAGACTACCACAGCAGAAGCTAAGCAATGTTTTGCTGTGGATTGGTGTAAGTAGCAAAACGTATTTTAGCCACCTAAAAGAAAATGTAAGTGTACACTACACCTTGTCACCAGACAGCCCTTTCTAACTGCAAATGGAGCCCATTATATGCAGCTATGCTGTCCTCAAATCCACCAGTCTCTCTTGACAAATACAGTAATTTTACCTCGCAGAACACGGGAGTTGTTGGTCTACCGCCGCCTTCACTGGTTAGTGTGTTTGTTTTATTGTGTGGCTTGGGTGAATCGAAATACACTGACTATGGATAAGAAACTCATGCAACCCCACTTCAAAAATTCTGAGCTTGTCCTTTAAAGGATGGAGTAAAGACTAGTAAAATGTGAACTGAAATAGGATTTTAACATAAAGAGTTAAACATTAGGATCATAATGTAGTAAACAAGCTAATACTAAGACCTGTTTGACAACTATTATGATGAGAACTGTATGTTTTCATATTTGGAGAAGTGCAAAATCAAGGCAGTAGTAGAAGCAAACTGTTTTGGGGAAGCTAAAATGTAATGTAAATGTAATGTTATAAGATTTACAATATAAAATTATGAAAGGTGTATTATGTTATTTAGCACAAAAAGCCGAAAAAGAATTGTTGTATGTGAGATAAATATAGGGCAGGCAAAGGGGCTAAGGTGTATTCAGCCACAGTGCTGTTAATTTTGCAAGGTGGGAGGGGTACTGAATGTGTTATGAGCTATCCTGCTGAGCTGCAGGGTGGGCGAGGCTGGCCTGTGGTTCATGTGCCAAACCCTCTGGGAAATAGGTTTAACCTTTTCACTCTAGCCCTGTTACCTTTCTCATCCCACCCCGCACCTTACTAACACTGTTTTGATGAGGTCACTGACCACTCTCTTTGATATTGGTGCGGAATTTAATTTTGTTTGTTTTCAGGGTTTATCAAAAAAGTTAGGTGCAGTCTTAGTGCAATTAGCTCAGCTTAACACCAACATATAAATATATATTGTATCTGCTGTATTTGAGAGAACATCTGAAGTCATGCTGAAGAAAAAAAAACACATTTAACAGTTACTTTTAAATGAGACCAATATTACATAAACTCAAGAGATGTTTTCTCCATATCTAAACCTGCTAGGATGGCAGTAATCTGACTGGGCACACCTTGAGTTTCTACAACAAGACACCAGCAGTGCCAGCTATGTTAATGTGTATAGCCACTCCATTTGCATTTCTGGGGCATTAAAGATTTTCCTCTCCCTCTAGTTCTGTTGGATATGTTGATTTCATGGTGCCTTTCTGTACATGCTGATTTAAAAAATGTGGACATTAACCCTAGTTCTCTGCTCAGGTATTCAACCGCACCAATCTTAAAGATGAGAGGAAAGACAGAAAACAACTAACTTTCCCCAGTTTGTCTTTACCATCACATATACGACACCTACAGACAGAGCCCCACCCAGACCACCCTGTCAGCATGATGACACTCACTGGGCAATCGTAGACCTTCTTCCACTCATTCCTGAGGCGAGCCATGTCACGACGCAGACCTTTGAAGAGCTCCATCTCATCCAAGCGGCAAATCTCATCCCAAGACTTCTTGGGGAGCCAGGTGCAGGGATTTGAGTGAGGGTTGTCCAGGCCCACACCACCCGTCAGAAGGAATCGCCACTCCCCCTCATCCACCTGCAACATCGGTTACCGTAATGTAACTACTGAAGTGTTAACACAGCAGACGATTTACCAGGGTTGTCTATTTACAGTGGCTTAAAGGTTGACCATTTTAGGGATTATCTTTGAACTAAAATTCTACACAAACTGAAAAGACAAGATACAGATTATTTATAAAATCATAAACAGGACTGGTAGTGAGAATATGAGGTGAACTAACTTGTTTGATTAGCTACAGTAACCACTTATTAACAAACCAATCAAAAACAACATTTAACATTCTCAAACATCTATGGTTTTTAAGTGAAGTTAGTCTCTATCTGTATATGTGTGCAGCATGTGTGTATTCCCACCAGCTTGTTGTGCATAAGCAGACTGACACTGAGGCAGAAGGAAAAGAGCAGCTTGTCCTTCTCAAACAGTGAGCGACACACATTGACGTACAGCGCATAGGTAAAGTGGTCTCTCAGGATCTGTAGTCTGAAGACGACATATGCTTGCATTTAATAATTTCATTCCAAACCAAAGAGAACTCACAAACTCATCCTCACTCATGCATTATTACTCAACATACATCCCTTTTTTAATGAGTTTTAAGTCAAATATGACCTGTTGAGTGGAAAGGAAGCTTGGTGGAATGACTTGAAGGAACATGTATTTGGCGAGTGCATTTGTCAGCCCTGCTCACCTCTGTTCCAAGTCGTCACTCTTGTCTGAATTGTCGATGGAGCTGATGAAGAGGTTAATGAACCAGGTGAGGGAGTACTGGTACATGGGCTCAATGTTAGCCAGGTCAGCAATGGAGAAGAACAAGATTGCTGAATGCAAGGCGATGGGTGTGTAGCCCATGCGGGTCTCATCAATCTTCTTCTCCGTCACCTCGGCCACAGCCTGCTTCTCCGTGATCTCATTGGCTAACACTTTGGAGCAGGAGAGGATCTCGACAGCTGTCTCATCCTCCAGGATGTTACCCTCGGAGGAGGACAGCACCTCTAAGATTTTGTCCTCAATCTCCTTCAGTTGTCTGACAAAAGTGTGAGGACAATTTGACAAGGCTGCAGTTTACACTTTGAAGAGGGATACATTTTGTTTGATTAGCTGAAATGAAACTGGTGTGTGCTACTGTACCTTTTGTTCTCCGCTCCTTGCAGGATGAGAGCTTGTTTCTCTTCCTCCAGGTCAGGCCTTTCACGGGCCACCACAATACCAAGCAGCTGGTCTTGGATGCCTTCTGGGGTGATCATGAAGTTCAGAAGGGTCACCTACAGCAGAGAGGAATAAAAATACAAAAGACATACAGTACAGTATATAGACATAAACATGCACAAATGAGTGTGTGTGTTTGTTATGACTTAAGTTAACTTTGGGGATACACACCAGAGTCAAGACTAGTTTACTTGGGACAGCTTGTCCAGCTGGGAACAAAAGCCATATCCCCAACTCCTAGATAAACATATGTGTGTGTGGGGGCAGGCCTGTCTTATCCCACCCTTGCTCTCAGACATTTAAGCGAGGTACTTTACAGTGCAGTGTTGACCATCTTGACTTCAGTGCTGTACTTCCCACGAACCTCCTATCCAATCAATTCCAATAACCACTCCAGCCTTGGCAAAGCACAGGTAGGATGCATTTACTTTTTTTTTTTCTTTTCCGTGAAAAGTGTGGAAGTGTGTCTTTTACCACACAGCCTTAGTCATTCTGCTCTGCACTTACCCGTAGGTTAAAAGCCTATATCTGCTATCTACTCTCTGCCCTAATAAACGAGTGCACTTCTCCGGGGCCTAATTTCATTTCTATTGATGCCGTGGACCCACTCAGCTGGTGGTAAAGACTCAGAGCCCACATAAATCTCCCATTTGGCCTTTTCACACATACACCCTCCTTCTTTGCCTCCCTTCGTCCCTTGAGCTCCTTAAGGGCTGGTTTACTCGATGCTTGCCCTCTTGTATTTGAAAGTATTGCATTTCAAATAGGGCTTAATGGATATAATGGAAGCCCCATAGTGTACTCTACTGTAGGCAAAAAAAAAAGACTTAAGCAAAAAGGAAAAAAAAAAGATTGAGCCAGTTTTGAAAAATGAGTTGAATCTATCTAATAGCTGCCCATAAAGAGCGGGGCCCTGCAAATAGATGCTTGAAATGTGATCTTCAGTAATGCTTTCCAACCCCTTGCCTCTCTGTAATACAGTTTCCTTTAATGCTCCTTTTCTTGGAATTCTTTTTTTTTTCTTTCATTTTGGAGACTGTGTTCCAAAGGGGAGGTTGTATCGGTGAATGATGATTCAGTGTTGCTGGGGTAAAAAACGTGCAGCTGTTTGAGTGATACGATGCAATAAGGGGGAACCAACAAGAAAAAGTAGGGCTCACCAATCTGTAGGGAAAATAAATCTTCCTTCGGAATGAAGGTCTAAAATAAGTCTCTAGTGCAACTAACAATCTGCTGCTGAGTTTAAACTTTAAAATAAACAAGACTAAAGGCCTTTGCACACCATGTCCATATGTTTTGTGTGTGTATTTTTTAATCCAACAAAAACTGCATTGCACAGAAACCTTGCACACTGAGTTCGATGTGTTTTATTGTTCTATGAGATGCGGAAATTTGCTTTAAGAGACAAAATAAAAGACACATTTGCTCATTTGCTTCTCCACACTGGAGTTACCTCCCTAGCTTTTGCCTCTCTCTCCCCTCATGCATTTGGCACCGTGGTTATCTAAAGGGGCTAAGCTGTCCTTCCTCTCTGTCTCCACACTGTTGCTCTCTGTCTGTGTATGGTCCACATCCTCCTCCTCATCATCATCATCCACCTGAATAGTACTATCTGACCTGTTGAAAGTAAGCTATCTGAGTTTTGAAATGATTCTGTGCACCCCGTTCCTCTCCCTTGTTGTACATGTATGTGTCCCGCAGGTAACGCCACATTTCCTTCACTGCTTCTTGGTCACACAACTCTCTACAGGCTTTTGACAGATGCAAAAAAATGCAGAAAATCAAACTTGAATGACGGAGGAGTGTTTCGGAGTCAGTGTGCATACATGGTGGACACAAAGTGAGGTCATATTTAATTTAAACATGCAACTTTTAGAACAAGAAATATGGACTTAGTGTGCAATGACCATAAGAGTCTATCCATTAAGCAAACTGCTTACATCATTGCTAACATGCACAAAATTACAACAATAACATGCCTTTATTTTGAAGATATAATATCTATCAGGTTATTGATCTTAGTTCAGCGTGTTACCTTGCTAAGATTTGCTAATTAGCGCAAAAAACTACGCAAAGCTGAAGCTGACAGGATTGTCTTTAGTTTTGCAGGTAATCTGGTCATAAACCAAAATATTGGATAAATCAGTCCAATTTTTAATTGATGATGCCGCTGAATGGAAAATAAATGGATTACCAACATGATTACAATTCACCCTAAAGGGGACATGAGTGTATGGAGCAAATTTTATGGCAATCCAGGGTTTTCCCTGGGTTTTTTCGAGACCAAGGTGGCAAAGGCCTCTGGCAGGGGGCATCTTGACAGCTGTACTTTTAGCTTGAGCTTTACACTGCTGACATGTATAATCATGTCCTGTGATTTTCAGCCTTCTATGATTATTTTTACCCTTTACAGCAGGCACATCCTGACAGCTGAGAATATTACTGTCAGGTATTGTCCCCCCTCTATTAAATATGAAAGGAGGCTGAAAATCACAGGAAAAGGTCTGTTCTGATGATACAAGTCAGCGGTCCTGAAATGTGTGTTTCTCTTCTATAATACACATTCTACATCTCAGAGGCAACGTCTTTCCACATACGGGCTTCCTTCGCCTTTCAAACAGGGCAGAGCTCTGTGGGAAGCAGTAGGAGAGAGACAGCCTGAGGGGGAATCGGGATCTGACACAACACCGGAGGGAGAAGCAGGTCTGTGGAGCTGTGTCAGGGGGTTACAAAAGTCATAGGGATACATCATCTGGGAACCATGAATATCTGTACAAGATTTTGTGCCTATCCATCCGGTAGATATTGATGTATTTCACTGAATATCTGACAGCTTTGACCTTCTGGAGGTATTAGAAGAAAAGTCAGAGGTTTCATCTGCTGACTTTGACCGTGAACGTCCATACAAAGTTTCAGGGCAATCCATCTAATGGTTATCGACATATTTCCCTGTGGATCAAAGCAGTAGACTGACCAATTGACCAGCTGACATTGCCATCCATTGCATGGCTAAAAATGCTTCCCAAACCACAGGAAACCCAACATTCTGACAAGCCAGACCTATCACATTAATAACCTTTCCCTCACAAAAAATGTTTCAGGTTGCATTCTACCAGCCAAAAATACAGTGCCCCATATAAACAGTTACACTTCAGCGATAAAAGAACTGCACTGTAAGTCAGCTCTATCATTTGGCTTAATAACAATCCCAAAACAAACTGGTTGGCTGTTGCTACTAAGTGTACTGGAAACAATATTTTTAAAGCAGAGGAATGCAGACACCTGGTGGCTCCTGCAAGAGCTTTTATTGTATTAAATTCTTCTATTAACTTCTGTTTTAGCAGCAGCTTTGTTGTGAAAGATACATCTAGCTAAGGTTCCAGCTCCATCTGCATGGAAGGGGTGGGTGGAGGAGGCGTGGAGGATTGCACACAAAAGGTTCATTGCGACAACACTGACACCTGCTGCAAACAGCTAAGGCATGTAGCAGACTGTCAGGAAATGCTCTGATTACTGTCACACCTAAAGGTGTGTGCAGGCTCTTGTCTGTCTGTCTGAGTATGTTTTTGTGTGTGAGACCAGGACCAGGTCTGTTTGTGTGTCTCAATTTTGTATAATGTATACAACAAAATTAAACAATAGGTGCTGTGGCAATGATATGCATTCATGTTACTGCAGTACTGAAAGCCCTGTTGCCCTATCACTCTTGTCAGCAAGCTGACCAGTTAAATTGGTGGCAGACCATTATAACATTTATCAAATGTTACCATTCGAATACAGCAAAAAACATCCCCAGTATAGTGTTTAAGTATCAGAGTCACTGATTTTTCATGTTAATAATAAAAAGAGTTACCTCAACTTAAAGTGAGTGAAAGTGTACCATGATACTAAAAAATATATAAGTGCCTGAGGCTGTTCCCCACTGCAGTACCTTGACAGAGGTCTCAGGCAGGTAGTGCGGGTTACGTAGCTTGGTAGTGATGTAGAAGCGAAAGTGGGGAGCATATTCAATGGTGGAGTCTCCCAGGCGAATACACATGGCACCACCTTGTTTAAAGGTCTGTCTCAGCAGCAGAGGCTCCAGGATAGGGTCCAGCTCCTCACCAACATTCTCCAACAACACTTAGGAGAAAAATGTTCAGTCTTTATCAAAATGTTCTAATCAGGGGAGGCTTACTCTTTTCAGGGCTTTTCTTTGTACTCACTTATTAACAAGCAATCTCGTATGGGAGCTAATTGGGCACATTTTGGCAGCCGAAAAACTAATCAACACAAAGCATTTTCCCCACATCATCCAAATCTTAGCATCATTGCACTGGTCCCAGATCTCCTTTAGAATACAGTTTTAATTATTAATATTTACTTACAAGGCTGTACACTGCATTCCATAAAATTATATTTCTAGCCCCTTACATCCTCAAACACCACTCAGATCTTTTAGCTGCTGCAGAGTCCAAGTTAATAGGGTAATCCCACTTTTGCTGCCCTGCCTCCTAGATCTTTAACAGCCTTCAATTTAGCATTACTATTCAAAACATAATAATGTATTTACACATATGAAATTTTATTATTTCTTTTTGTTTAGCTTGTCTTAATTTGTCTCTTTTACATGTTTTACTTCCTGTCATCGTTTACATGTTCCTGCCTCTGGGAAGCACTGAACGATGACCTCTGTGCAACACATGCGCAACACAAAGAAATCAGCGAAGCAAGATTACAACATTACCAGTTACATCATTATTAATGGGATTTCACATTAAGTATGATAATGCTGTTCTCATGTTAAGAGCATTAACCCATCTATAATTGACATTATGCCTGAGGTATTAACCAGGTTTTTATACAGCACTCAGAGCCACTGACAGCTGATGAACTTTCTCCCAGGATAGTGAACCAAATCAGGTCTGTTCCAAATTACTTTGGAGCATCATTTTGTCCTGGTGCATCCCTAATATTTCAGCAGATTAAACAGTGCTTTATATCATTTAATAAACATAAGTCTCGCCTATTAACAGACTTGGCAGGGAAACATTTGTTCACCCACGCTAAAATAAAGAATACTAGCACATAGTCAGGATTGTAGGCTGCAATACAAACAGCAAGAAACTGTAAAACTGTGAAGTTAGCGGATTGGCTGTGGAGGGTGGAACTGTAGCCTCTGGGGACTATTTTGCACCCTGCAAGGACGAGCTACTCTCTGAACTGTTAGCCTTGCAATCTGCCAGTAAGACCCAATGGCTGGCTGAGTTAGGTCATTATTTAGATGTCTTTTTAATGGCTGTGTAGCTGTCTCTGTCTGTTTCTTAGTCTAATTCCTCCCTTGCTGTTCCCTTTCAAACCCCCTAAAAATCTTACAAGACTAAAGTATGAGGAAACACACACTGAACAAAGGCAGCACAAAGGAAAGTCCCTTCTGCCTAAGCATGTAAATATGACCCTGATACTGAGCATGAAACAAATAACTTATTTATCCTGTGCTTTTGTATGATTTATAGTAATTTGATATACTAATGTTGCAGCAGACCTAAATAAAGGTTTATTGGAACATCTCACTCAGAAATATTGCTAATAAGAATTCTTCCTCAGCAGAACAGAGAACAAAGGAGACAAACAATCCTTGCACAGCAATAATTAGTGCCTGTGGTATAGAGAGACCTCAGCAGGCAGTAAGAGGAACTGCAACTATGTGAATGAGGCACAAACAGACTAGGCAGCCACAGCAGAGGCATCAAATCAGAGAGAGACTAATGCTTACCTGGCGTGCCAAACTGGATGCAGTTCTCCAGAGTGCGTACAAAGTCAGCGTCACTCAACTTAATGATACGCAGGCCATTGGCCTTCTCCATGTTTTTCACCCATTTGTTGGCCTGGCCCTGGGGATCAATCATTAGAGGCCACCGCCTTGCATTACTGCAAACACACACACACACACACATACAAAGAGTAGTCAGTTATCAAATGGTGCTGCCTTGTCAGAGTGACGGATCCTGTGACTGTTAACCATGAGACATCACAACAGCAGGGGGGGATGTTGGAGGATAAGAATTGAGATGTCGAGAGGAACGTGGGGGTGAACATTCACTCTGAACACAGTTAGCTAGATAGCTCACAGTTGGGTATCACACCAGGGGCCATAGTATTGTGATTAAAAAGCAATGTTGCTGCTTCATTTACACAAACAAGCTGATGCCTTGTGACTTTTTTTTTTAACTTTACTTAAAGGGACACTTCACCTCAAAATCAAAAATTCCTCCTTTCCCTCTTACCTGTAGTGATATCTATCAACTTAGAATGTTTTGGTGTGAATTGCACAGTGTTGGAGATATCGGCCGTAGAGATGTCTGCCTGAACTAGATGGCACATGGCTTGTGAGTGATCAAGACTCAGTAAAAAAAAGAAAATACATTTGAAAAACTCAACAGCAGCATCTCTTTCCAGAAATCATGACCTGGTTACTCAAGACAATCCACAGACCTTGTTGTGAGCAGTTCACATAGGAACTATTTTCTTTCAACCATGTCACCATGCAGAAGAAAAAGTGTATCAACTCATGGATGAGAGGCGTGTCCTTGCGACAGCACGAGATGTAAACATTGATGGCATCCTTCATGGCTGAACTGTAACGTTAGCAAGCTCAGTGGTGCTAGGTGAGCTAGCAGTAAATGCACACTTCCTTCTGTGTGATGATACGGCCGGCAGGTGTAGTTCAGTAGAAAGAAAGTAGTTCCTACAAGGTCTGTGGATTATCTTGAGTAACTGGGTCATGACGCCTGCAAAGAGATATTGCTGTTGAGGGTTACAAATGGATTTTTTTGGTGCTCTGAGCACCACTAGCCAAGTGCCATCTTATGCCGATATCTCCAACACTCAGCAACTCACACCAAAACAATCTAAATTGACAAACAGCAATGTAGGTAAGAGGAAACATATGTATTTTCAAATTTTCGGTGAACTGTCCTGTTAAGGTTGAATCAGACAATGTTACATGGACTTCCTATAAAGGTTACAAAGTTCTGTTGTACAGTTTTTTATTGGAGTGCATGGATCTGTAGTGGGCAAACCAATCTTGAGCCTTTAATAAAAGGTAAACTATTGTGATCCAGATACACCAGCTGTCAAACACAAAACTGCTTTTTGTTAAAACACTGGAATCTGTTCCTTTTGCACAGCAAGTGAAAATTGATGTGGCATAAAAAATAAATAGCAGCCAGCACTTTCATTTAAGATATTCACGCTCAGAGTAAGCAGAGGCCCTTTGGGTATTAAAAAAAAAAAGATCGATTGCTTTACCTCTATTCCAGCAACAATTTGCTGTGGTACCACGCCTCGAAAAGGCTGCTTTTATGAAAGGTACATTTGAAAGCCAGTTTTCAGTTTGTGTTCATGTCATTATGTAATTTTGAGACCCTGTCCAAATCTTGTCCAGACTTTTCTGACACAACAATTCAAGTACAACTTCATTATAAACTGCACTGTACAGCGTTATTTTATAGGAAAATATAAATTTTGTATTAACACTGGCTGTCGGCAGATGCTCAATATTAGATGTCCCACAACAGGAGCAATAAAACAGTGGCTGGAGACATCCACAGTTGGTGTGTTTAACTCTTGGCAATACAACTAAGGAAGCATTAATATATATTCCTCCCCAGCGAATGGTTATGCCTTAAATACTCACCTGATTATGATACCGTTGTCTATGGAGAAGCTGTCTGATGGTAGGCCAGCGATAGTCCATGCACGAATTTTTACTGGATCACCCAGAGAGTTCATCAGAGACATGTTGGGGGAGCAGGGAATCTCTTTGCTCCTGCAAAGGTTCATCCACTCCTCTGTCTGATCCTGGAGAGATGAGGACATCTACAGGTGATGACTTAATTTTAACTTAACTTTTAACTTACTGCATGTGGAGAATAGAACACGTGCACTAACTTTCAAACAAATAAGAGCATATGCTTGTAAATAATAAAGCTTTGCATATAAATGATAACTGATTCACTCTGCCCCTTGCTGTTGTCCAGCATCACAATGGCCCTCCATGTGACAAAGTATAAACGATGACCTTTAAACACTGGCTTGGTCTTGGAGACATGAGGCTCAGCAAAAGGAAAAGGCAAAGCGCCTCGGTACCTCCAGGGTTCACTTTGCACTAAACTGCTCTCAAGCATTTGGCTGTTATTGATCTGAAAATTGTCTCAGAGTATGTTAAAGAGGCCTAAATTAACTATGATCTAAAACCCTTAAAAAGACTTTATATAAACACAGGCAGAAGGAAAACACAGTACTGTACACTTATCAAGTGTGTACCAAGTCATATTATGTAGTGGTGATACAAAAATCTATGCAGCTGCAGGTCTTTAAATAGTGGAAGTAATACATACTTACGATCCACTTCCAAGTATGCACTACCTGCTCCCTTAACTTACCTGTCTGTAGCTGGAGGTGAAAGCTCCCAGGTAAGCCACTATGCCCGCTGAGATGAGGATGTCCCCAGTCAGGTTGTTGTAAAGCTCTCCAAGATTAACGGCCATTTCGCTCCAGCGTGTCTTCTCTCCACCCAGGCCTCCAATAAGCTGCTCAGCTCGCTCCAGCTTCTTACTGCACAGATCCACCTGGAGGACATCAGAGGAGGAGGCGAAGAAGGAAAGCACAAATGTGTCACACTGTGGCCGTTTTTTCCAGCTCAAGGAGCAGAATGAAGGCCACGCTTGCCAGAGCAAGTAATAAACAAAATGTTAAACCATATTCAATCACACAAACAGATGTAAAAAGCACAAACCTGACTCTCCAGGTCAGCTTTCTTGTTTTTGTTTGCTTCCAAAGTCTCCTGAAGCTTTGAGAGTTTATCTTGGACCTCTTTGAGGGCAGCCTGCTTTTTCTGGAGGCTCTCCGTGGCCACCTTCAGCTCCCCCTCGGCCTGTGCCAGCTTTTCCTTCTTTGGTGCCACCACCTTGGCCACTCTGAAGGATGGTGTAGTAATTAGACATTTACAAGATAAGGAACCTCCTAAGAGGTGTGGGTTCTTAAATCATTAAGATGCACAAATTTGAGCCAACAGTAAAATGAAAAATCTTGCCAAAATTGCCAAAATACAGAAAACAAACTTAAGTGCTTTCTATGAACTTCACTGTATGCAGAATTTTGTTGGCACATACAACCTTTAGCTTCAATCAATGCATGTAACATTTAAGACTGTCACAACAATAATGAACATTTCCCTTTAAATAATCTGCATCTTGATTTGGCTTACTTGGCATATGCATGGTACACTTGCTGCAGGAAAATGATTATTCCCAGGAAGTTACCGATAGCCAAGCTTCATGTTCCTCACTTAGACGAATGAAAAGCTCTCTCAAGCTTTGTGAATATGCATCAGTTTTTATAAATGATAACACAGGAGGAAAAGAACATCACTTACTTGTCATACTTGTCCATGGCGCACACCCACTTACACATGCCTTCAGCTGCAGTGGAAGCAGTTCGAATCTTCTCTGGTACAAAGTCTGGGTTGGTGATGTACTTGTTGCGAATGATAGCCATGAGATTTGGTGGGATGTTGTCCTTGTCATACTCATGGAGGCTTTGGAGAAACCTCATGTCTCCCAGAAGCTTTTTGGCCGGGCCCCAAAAGTCCTCCACTTTTTTACCGGGGCCTGAGGGGTCAGGCACACGATCTGGCTTGATGCCTTTGAGAATACAGATTGCCTCCATCACCAGCTTAACAGCTGGAGGTGGGCTTTTCATGGACTTTACCACTGTGATATCCTGTTTATAAAAAGAACCACATTTATTTGTTGCCGTCTTAACAATTCTATTCCAGTACAGCTAGCCTTTGAGTCAGAAAAAAGTAAAAAAAAACTTTGCTCCTTTTACCTGATTGGTGAGAGTATTCAACGCAGACAGGGCTGACTCCAGGATGGGCATGGCCTCAGCCAGGTCAGCATCACACTCATCCTTGATGGCCTTGGCAGCCATGGCTTGTTCGTTGGCCACGGCCTCATCTTCTTTCACCACCTTCTCTGTCTCAGCCACCTCCACAGATTCATGCTCAATCACCACCATCATCTCATCTACCTCCTTGCTGGCAACAAGCAGCTGTGGTTGTAAAGCCTCCAGCTCAACTTGCATAGTGGCCACCTGGTTTGCTGCTGACTCTAGCTTCTCAAGGCCCACCTCATAACGACGTTTCAGCTTCATTACCTCACTGGGCAAAGGAAAAAGAGAGAGGAGGAAGCCCTGATTTTACACATGGAAACTGGATTTTGTCTTTTGTTTGTTATACCTGACCTGGAGTTATGCATCTGAAATCACAATGTACACACACAGTTTATCTTAAATCTTACGCTCTTTTTGTCTTCAGCAGGGCCTTGAAGGTGGAAATGAGCTCCAGGTATGAGGTTGGGGTGACATAGTTGTGGCGCTGCAGCTCAGCCAAAAAGCGAACTGATAGTTCTATGGTTGAGGTGTGGAAACTCTTGCACATGTTGATGCAGCCTTCTCGAGACTCATCTGTCATCTCAACATCCTCCAGGAAGCGACAGGCCACCGCCTGCAGAGCATCCTCTGGCCAAGTCTGATAAAGAAGGAAATATGCTGTACTGCCACTGTGCTACCATACATAGAGTGTCTTTTCATCTCTGCTATGGTTTTCTTTGGAAGCCCTGGGAGGGGATTGAAAAAAATATGGTGATCCATTTTCTATGTCTGATCTACACTGTTTTCTTTCTGTGTATATGACTTAAGATCAACTTTCTAAGTTACTTTTTTCACCTGTAAAAACAGGTGCACCACTACCCCATGTTTAAATAGGACTAATACCATTATTTTTTTTCAAGGTGCATTTTAATTTCTCCATGCACTAAACACATAGTACATGTATTGTGTGTTAGCAAGTCATGTAACATTACTGTTGCGTCTTTCTTTCTGCTAGAAATGTTTTTATTACCACAATACATTTCTAGCCAAAGGAAGGACACAACAGTAATGTTACATACCTTGCAAACAGTGAATATACTGTTATGTGCCTTACATTAAGAGATCACACAGTAATTAAAACTCACCTGGAAGAAAACATGAATGTCTTTAGTCCTATTTAGAACATGGGGAAGTGGTGCACTTCAGTCTGTTGTGGCTGAAATGAGTATTACAACAATAAAAACTTAACAGAACTTTTTTTCCATCTGTTTTCACAGATGAAAAAAGGGAACTTCGAAAAACTATCCTTGAAAAACCTTTTCTTCACCTGTTCTCAAGTCGTAAAGCACAGGAGAGAAAAAAAAGCAGACCAGACTAAGAAAATGAATCACTAGAATTTCTTTTCTCACTTGCCTTGCCTTGGGCTTCTTTAGTTTTCTAATGATTCCAAGAATTTACTTAATTTTGATTTACAAGTGGCATCTTATGACTATGCACTGACATTCTCCCACACTATATTGCCCCTGTTTTTTGATTAAGTACCCAGGTCATCTTTAGCTGCTACGGGCAGCAAACTAGAACTCATGCAACATACATATACACACCTGGAACCAGTTAATGGTGCAGCAGTTAATGAGGGCCGGGAAACGTCTCAAACGGTTCCTAAAGGCGTCTCCGATGGGACTCATGGCCAACACCACATGCAGCTGTGTGCGACAACGCTCTAAAAACATGTTGAAAAGGGACAGGGGGCTGCCATCCGTCTGCTTGTCACGGTCACGCTGGCGGTCCAACACGCGCATTTGCTCACAGATTTCCTGCTTCTCGTCAACTGCAAATAGATTAGGCACCTAGAAAAAAAAATAGATTACAGGATGTTCTGTGTTAGGCACTGGATTCTTCTATCTCTGTATCCCTGTGTTTATATCCATATTTACTGTTTTTGCCTAACCATCTATCCACACACCCATTTTTATTTCATCCAAACCTTCAATTGCTAATCAATCTTCCTATAGTTTGTGCATGTTCAACTCAACTATCAATCCCTATGTGTCCGCTCTCATCCACCTTACCTCACCAGTGTTGAGCAGGTTGCCAATGTCCTCCAGGAATGACTCCATTTTGATTTGAGTGTCTGTAAAGAGGAAAACTCCATGAGCTTCACCCTGCGTGGACTTCCTCATGATAAGCTTCAGGTCATCATGCCATTCAGTGGTTCCGTAGGTCTTGGAGATTTCCACCTGGAAGAGTTCTGCTTCTGCCATGTAGGCAGCCAACCTGGTTAGAGACTGTCTCCCGCTTCCACCAACGCCTACCAGCAGGGCGTGGCCACTCGGCTGCTTGAGGATGCGAGAAATGCGGCACACGTGTTCAATGGCAAAACGGAAGAGCACCAGATTCATGGGCGCTTTGCTGATATTGTTGTATTCCTCCAGGTGCGACTCCACCACCTGCCGGAGCTGGTTGAGGTCATGAACCTCGCGGTAGTTGCGGTCCTCGCCCTTGGGATCATGAAAGTCACAGAACATGAGACTGCGCAGATCGTCCTCAGTGACCTTTCCATTATGGTCCTGGTCCAGATGCTGGAAGAGCTGATGGAAGTTTTCCTTCATGTGACTCTGAGACACCGCCTGTAAATGGTTTATAAGCCACGATCGATCTGTGTCGTGAACCAGTCGATCATAGTATACCCTCAAAACCTGAAGATCAACAAGACATAAAGAGAGTGAGTGTAAGAGACAGACAGAGAGAAAGCTAGATAGATGGCAACACAGGAAGTTCCACAGGAATTCTGTGTCTAACTTCACTGAAGCTTTATCTATTTCCACATATTTACGCTCCACTTTCTTTATTATATTTGCATATTTATGCTACTTTAGTTACACAGCTGCCAGGTATTTTTTGCTGATTTGTTGTATGCAACTTTACCTCATGCACCCAGAGCCGTTTGATGACAGATGGTTCATCTGCAGTTTCTGGCCGTGACAGGCAGATGCCCTGAATGACCCGGGAGACGTCGCGCAGATTGAACAAGTAATGGGACTTTGTGGGGGTTGGTAGCAGGTTCTTGGTGGCCTCTCGGTACACTGACATGGTGCTATTAACGATCTGAGAGGTCAAAGCTGCAAACGGTTTGGGGAAAGCAAACCTGTAGATGGAATGGTTCATTCATTGTTGAGATCCCATTTGGATTATTTTCTACAGCTTAGTTAAGAAACTGAATAATTCATTGTTGTAATTTTTTGTTTCATTAATGAAACACTCATAAAATGAATAAATTAAATATATATGATCAAGGATGTTTCTTCTATCATTAGCATTAATAATGTATTTACAAAAAGCCCCAAACTGCCAAAGTGTGACATTGCTGTCTTGTTAAAATGCAAGTAATACTTGTGTTTGCAGGAGTGGTTGGGGAGATCTGAAACCTTTTCCAACAGATTTGATTGCTTTAGGACTTGTGGTCTCTGAGGTAAACACAGAAGCAGTGCAGTAAGAGTGGGGGAAGAAGAACACCTTTAATCCTCTAATTATTGAAACAGAAAGTGATGAACAGAATAACTGTATAATAACTTCCATTTATCCTCCTAACTTTATGTACAACATTGCCGTTTTAGCTGCCCAAGGCACGATCAGACAGTGTGTGTTTAAGCAGCCTGGGGCTGTCTTTTGTAATTGTTTTCAATGATAGGTAAGTGTTTTGCTTGCTGCTTTTGTGTTGCTAAGTGCCTTGTGCTTTTACAGGAGCACCCTAACCACCTTGAGTTGAAAAACTTCAACTCCAAGCAGAAAAAGCATCCAACGTCATCAGCATTTTTTCCCACAGTCCAATCAGATGCATTGAAAGGTGGGCCTTCTGTGATGGTGATGGTGCTCCATTAGTGGTTTGCATTATGCTAACTTTAGCTCATTTTCATCATAGTCCTAGGCAAACTGCAACATATATCTGAACAAAATGTCGCTTCAGCTACTTTCTGTCTCTCACAGTCTCTGACTCATCCTAAAATAAACCTTGAATCAACCATCATCCAAGTGAAGCTCCTGGATCAGCTGGTGGTACTACCTGTGATTTCTCCTCTGTCTGATGGTTTCATATACCCACACAAATCTCTTTTTCCCTGTGAACACATCTTTTTGGGGACAGCCTCTCAACCTCACTCAAAGCCAGAACAGGTTCACCTCTGCATGTCCATTTTAATGCAGATTTTAAGGTATCTTCTAGTTTGCTTTTCAGCAGAACTGAATAAAAAAGCACTCTGCCTGATCAGGGCGGCCTTCAACAAAAAAGGCAGTGCAGTGAGCCTGTCTAATCAGGGCCTAATGATCTTTTGTTAGTAATAATTTACAATTCGATCTGTTGCCAAAAGTGGTGGGAAACTATCCCTGACTTGTTGGGGAAAAGCTGTGGGTCAGTTGTGTGTGCTGGAGTCATTCAGAGGTTACATGTTGAGGTTTGGTTATAGACATTTCTACACCTATGCATCCATTCTGTGATAATTTGGGAAAAAGGGCACCTAAGAAATTACATGTTGCATAGATACCTTATGGAGAAATGCCAATCTGAGATTCTGGAAAAGATTGTATACATGGTCTTCTCATCAAAATCGTTGATGGTAATCATGTTGAAGTGGCGCAGGTACCGAGGTGTGATGGGGTTCCGCCCTCCACCTAAACAAGCAGGATAAAAAAAACAGAAAAACTGCAATCTTTGATAGAGATAACACCTCTGATAGGTATGATTCAACTGAGTGTTTCTGCTACGATAATCAGTGCCGAGTTTATTATGGTGCACAGTTACTATTTGTTCAGTACATTCGTAAGTCTGTTTTATGTGTTTATGAGCCAAAGACAATTTTCTACACTGGTAGACTGCATAGTTCAACTCTTTTTTTCTATTACAATACTTTTTCTGTGCACACATGTATTAAAAGATGACCTACATCCGTAACATTTTTTAGAGTTGATGTACAGTGCTACATATTGCAAGTGTTGTAACCTCATTCAACATTTATGTACATTTTTCTGGACCTACAGTACCTCACTACAGTGACAGGTAAACCAGTCATATCTCAGGGTGTAACCAACTTGCAGAACTCATCATGATTGCCAGGCGATATGAGTCGATAGAGCGCACTAAGGGGATGTTTTCTATTGAGTGCTTACTGCTGGTTCTATAGTGTGGTGATGTTTGAGACACAAGTTGACATGGCACATTTACAGTGTTGGTTTTATACTAGCCATTTTATAGCATAAACACAATAAAGCAACTCTGTTGAAGTCATTATTACTAAAAAGGTTTAATATAATTCAAAAAACATGGACACCTGTAAAAAATGCTCCTCCATTGTTTCCCTGGTGTGGGTTCAGTGTTTGCCATATTCAGCAGCAGCTTAGAAAAGCTAAACAACTGTCAGCACAGGTACCAGGAGCAGATACTGTAGCTGTGTGGGCACCTGAGTGTGGCACCCATCCTCTTTCTCTTGCAGCTGTCACTGCCAGCTGCCTCAGTGGACAGGGATGCTTTTGTGTTTACACCGGTAGTTGTAACGGAGGTGGTAAACACTTGCTGTTTGTAAGCACCTTAAGGCAGTGAGCAGTTTCACAAAACAGCAGCTTGTGGCTTGCGACATTGACTCAACAGCACTTCAGCAGCAGTTTAGCGACAGAGAGGAGGGGGTCGTATTAACTTACAGCTGGGGTAGGCAGTTTTTTTTTGGCAAAAATCCCATAATAAACACTGAGCTTATTGTAATTCAAGTGGTCTAAGAGAAAACTAGACTTCTGCACCTCCTCTTGCTTCTGTTTACAGGCTTCAGAAAATTCGGTCCGTGGTGGGGGACTGTGGCCAATCACAGGTAATTTCAGAGGGCGAGTGTTCCTATTACAGATGTGCGTGCATGTTCTTTAGTGACAGCCTGATTTAATGATGAAGATTCCTGCAAAGAAAGTTGCAATTCATACATTGCCAACAACTGCCTACACTGCACAGCAACCCAAAAAAAGAAAGACACACTTCTCAAAATGAGTCTAAAAGAGAGTATCAAAACGAAACACGTGTCTATATTGGCAAAGTGTTTCAGAGATGGAAAGAAAATGTTGCTCATAGTTTAGTCTTCTGCTAACTGGAGCCAAGGGCCCACAGCTGCAGCTTCATGTTCACATTTATGGAGCTGACGTAGCTAATGTTAGCACCTCGAATCATGGTGTGTCCTCCGTCTCACTCCCCGCTGCTACAGACCACCTCGCCATGAGGAGAGTGGACAGCAGCTCCGAAATGGACCCCCAGTAGACAGCCGGAGTAACTTGAATGCAGTGAGTAAAAAACCCAAAATATGGGGGACGTGACAGCCCCAATTCTCTGCTGGCCAACAGCCCATTGTAACACCACCCGCTGGCTGCTACAGCCACTGACCAATGGTCAAAACACTGGAACTGCTGCTGGCTCTCCGGCAGACAAAGCAGTCCGCAGCAGTGGGGAGCGAGGCGGAGGGACTGTGGGGTTGCTAGCTAGTTAATTCTTGTCTCATTTGTGGTCTAACGACGAGTGTGTGTGTGTGTGAGAGAGAGAGAGAGAGAGAAAGAGAGAGAGAGAGAGAGAGAGAGAGAGAGACGGATAAGAAGGGGCTGAGCAAATGAGCTACGTCCATCTCTACAATGAAATAAGATTAATTAAATCATTGTATGAAAACACTGGGTAATTGTATTAAGTGTATGCATATGCCAGTGGTTGTCTGGTGAGAGGGGCTTAGGACAGATCAGATTTCTACCTACCCTAGCTTCAACCCACCTAACAACCTTCATTTGCTAAATAACCCATGGCTTGGGTATAACAACTGTAATAATACACTTCTAAACTTTGGGGTACTTCTGTTTCCACTCACCGGGTGGTCCCATAGCACACATGACCTGGATGTCCACTAGGTTGATCATGGAGCAGTCCTTCATGTCATACCAGTTCCAGTGGTCCAACCACTGGCGCAGCAGCTCCACAGGGGGCTGGGCACCATAAACCTCCCGGGCTGGCATGTTTACATCATCCACAAACACCACCTGTTGAGATATAATAATTGGAATAAGATTGAATACTGCTAAACTACAATGTATGTTATTTAAAACTTAACTGTTTTATTAAGATGCATACTTTTTTACAGATGCATCTCAATATAAAATGTATATAACATGGACCACAAATCTTTACAGCTGCCAACATTTTAGGGACTGACTTCACAGATATGATTACAAATGGAAAATCACGTCATACCATCATAAAAAATTATATGAACATAATAAAGACACTGTACCATTTTCTTTCCCAATGGGGGGCCGAACACTCCTTTGCGTCGCTTATCAAGCTTGGACATAATAATGTTTTGGGTCTGGGCAGCTGTGGTCTGGGCTGAAAAGTTGATGAATAATGGGCTGTACACATCCTTCTGCAGCTTATTCAATAGGAAGTCCTGGGCAAGAGATATTGGCAATATGAACATAGATTATCATCAAATCTCATAGTATGGAAGTTTATTGTATGCCATCACTATGATATCTATATATGTACAACACAATAATGCAAAATGGCAACAAAGTGCACAATCAGAGAGATATAATCAGGAAAAGTGACACTTTGAAAATAAGTTCTGTATGACAAACAATGGAATAATTAGTTTGGCTTTACTAATGAAGTGCACACTATGTTGTTGTACAGTACAAAGTTTGCACTGTATGTGTGCTTTTTATAGGATATACAGAATGCCTAAAATGACCAATAAAGATCTGGGGATGTCATGGATCTAATTCAATGAATAAATTGAATCAAGGTACTGACTTAGCTGATATCTGCATACTTATAAAAAGGAAATGCTCATTTGGTTGAAATGTTTTTAGTATTTCACTCACTATCCTGAATTAGCATGCCAAAGAGCCTGTGCAGGTAGAGTACAAATAAAATGATAATTTCCAGTTTGATCCTGGCAAATGGTTATGATAAGCTTTGTAATCTAATTAAATGTGGCATTTAGTGAGTATTTCATTAGATAAAAACTGGATTGCAGTTAATCCCTGAAAATGACTTTGAAATGAAGTAGGGAATTAGTTGCCCTCTGAGGACACGATCTAAAGTAGTGCTGCAGGTCAAAAGGGTAAAATCAATGAATTTTTGATTTTGCATGAGGGTTTACAAAAGGGCATTTTACTAAAAGCTAAAAGAGGCATTTATGAAAGGCCATTTTGATAAATTGACTTTTTGGACAAATAACCCTCTCTGTTTATGTGAACAAACAACATAAATCACATTTGATCTATTTTTTTTATTATGAACTGTTTGTTCAGAGCATGTGCTCTAGCTTCCACTGTGCACATGTGCATAAGCATGCACACAGTGCTCTTACACATGCTTGTGAAATAATGTGAGTAACGACCTGCATCATTAAGGGGGACTTGTGATATGAATGATCACAGGGTGCAGCCAAGGTGCATCATCATCATCCTCTTGTCTAAATTATAAACCAGCAGCACAGCCTCTCTCTGTCTCACTCAAGAGCAGAACGGGGCAGGTGAAGGAGGCTTGTGTACAGCTGTCTGATGGCGCTGGTGCCGGCACCATGCCAGTCATGTTCTTATGGTCCTTAGTGCTGGTGCTCCTTTATCACTCCTGCCAGATTTGGGATTCAGCCACGGTCTGCTAGTTGCGGAACAGGACAGAGCTGCTCCACCACACAGACAGACAGGAAGTGGGGAACAAGGCAGGCTCCCCAGTGAGATGATCTCTATTCACCCCAGAGTCCCAGGTTTGAGCACACTAATGGATGAACTAATGAAGCAAAGGGAAGGAGGGGGGATTAGTCCTTGATATAAATAGCTGAAGGTCTGCTGAGAGATACTCAGTATTCCTCCAAGGTGGCCAATTCACACCTGGTGTTTGTGGCTTTGTTGCCTCCAAATGATCTGTGCATTCAGAGCACTTACTCCAGTTTGGAAGATGGGACTTTACTGCTTCTTGGAAATGAATGCTCACTCGTCCTACAGAATGATATTATTGGTAGCATAGACAGGTTTTTTATTAAAAAAAAAAAAAAAAAATTCTGCTCATAAAAATGGCTTAAAGTCCAATCCCTGACTCCCTTGGAGAACAGACGGAAACAGGAAAACAGAGCTCAAAACAAAATATGAAAAATACACATATATATGAATTTACATGTATCAAATATGGGTGTATAATCACCAAAATAAGAATGGTTGTGTTTTTGTGTTAGCTTAGAATGAGGTTGAGGTTTGGGGCATTTTTTTAAACTAGTCAGGCAGAGAAACAAGCCAGTGTACTTCTTGTATATACACTGCAAACAAACTTAACAAAATGGGACCAATTTAGCGCATGCTTATTACAGTTACCCCGTGGAGTTTTTGAACGTGTGTAGCACAGTGGGGCAAAATTTTAATTGACTAATCAAAGTTTTATTTGTATCCTGTGCACATGCTCAATGATTCACATGCATGAGCATACAGGTGACCAGATTCCCATTCCTGCTGATGGTTTCCCACTATTCCACTGATTGACAATTCATGACAGTGAAGGCACTAACACCACATTGCAAACACAGCATATGTAGGAAGAAGAACACTGTTAGCTATCAAATATTTTAACAATGATCATCTCGTTATAATTCAGTGTTCTGCTGAGAGACATTTGGCCCTGGTATTCATGGAGATGACACTTGACACACACCACCCACCCAAACACTGTTGCACACCAAATACACCCTGCTGCAGATGGTTCTTACCTCACATTCCTTTCTACTAAATGTAAAATACCTCAGTGCTTTCCAAGCATTATGTTAATAAAATCATACATTGCAGCTGACTCACTGTAATGTAGACACTTTTGCCAGTGCCAGTGGGGCCGATGAATATGGTTGGCTTCTGGTGGGTGATGAGGAGCTCCATCAGTGCCATGTAGCGTACCGTGTTCTCAGTGGGCACGATGATCTCATTGAACTGCATGTCTTTGCCTATTGGGGGAGCAGTCTTTAGCTCATCTGTCCATAGCTCCCATCTGCCTGGGCCCTGAAGAGGAATTTGGGAAGATTAAGAGTTGTGTTTGAGATATTAAAGGCCTCTCAACCAAAACACACCAAGGGGACCATATAACATTGGACACAAAATATCTAGTCTTTGATTGTAGGTTAGGACATATGACAACATGGGGTACATGAATGGATTTGTCTATATTGTGAGACATAAACAATACAAATGTTTGCACATAGAAGGTCTCTAATCTTATGCTTTTCTTTTGTTCAGAATGAATTCATATCAATAGCCTACAAAAGTATCAACAATCAAATCCATAGCAGTCTCTGTGTAGTCAGATAACTGACAACTCCTAAACAATGTGCCGATAAACTTTCTTATGAGACTTTCCGTTCACAGTTATCTTGGCCAAATGTACCTTGTATACAGTCTGACCTTGATATTACAAAGATATAATGTAATATAACTACAGAAATGTCACACGGTTCAAATGTACCATACATTTCTTTGTCTATCTGTGTCGAAACAAATTCTAAATTGTTTTCTATCAATATTCTTCTTTCATAACAGAATATGTTAAATCTGCTTATATGAGGAAAGCAGATTATATTTATTTTCTTTGCCAAGAAAAAATTGCTCTGTCCCTCATCATCCATGATAAAATTAAAATTTACTGGCAGCAAAGTCAAGGCGGGTGGAGCCATGTGACAGCGACTGAAACACAGCACTTTCTAAAGGTCACATAAAGAAAAAAAAAAAAAGTGAATCTCTTCCCCCACTGTCTGAGGTAAGGTAAAATTTAATACAGGTATGTCACTCTGTCTATTCTACAAGTGCTTGATGTAGAATGTAGCGGGGGGCTCTATTATGTGTTTGTTGTCAGTCATTGTGGCAATGGTGTTAACAAAACCACTGAATGATATAACCACTTGTATTCTGTTTGGTTTTCATGCCATTCTTAACTCCTAATGTGTAAACCACAACTCAGCTGCACAATGAGCAGCCCTACCTCTTTAATGAAGCGATACTGGTAGACTGTTTCCTCAGTGGGCAGAGGCACTGTGAGCTGTTTAGGCGGAGCCTCGACTGTAGCCAGAATGCTGTGGCAGGCTCGGGTCTCCTCACTTAAAGGGCCGTTCAGTACCTCCCTGACCACAGCGTCAAACTTGACCCGGCTCGAATCATCACAGCTGGCACCCACTGACCATACCAGACAGAACACAAAAATGCCCTGTGTAAAAGGAGAGGACAACCATCACAGTGTTTGTTTTGATTTGAGAATATAATGTGTGAGAATTGGTCTGTGAAGGCAATGGTTGAAAAAGCCCCTCAATTCTGATGGTTAAAGGGAAAAAACAAATGTGAAAAAACAAAGACATCTTTACAGATTTTATGTAACACAGGGTGAGTAACTGATCATTTTGGTTGTAAAGTATACCTTTGAAATAGCGTTTGAATTTTTTATTTGAATACAAATATATGCTTTTACTCATTCTAGGTAGTCTAAATGGTACGATGACTTGCTATACCATACACTTTTGGGCTCTTGCATCATATTTATGAGCCTTTAACAAAGACTTAAGATATACTTTACAAGATTTTCCCAAAAACAAAATGTATAGACTCAGAAGCAATCTCTCTCAATCATCACTTATAAACCACTAGAAATGTGTGGCTGCGTATTTTCTAAAGAGACTCTGCCCTCTGCCTGGATTTTATTCTATTTTTTCTTATTTTCTGTGTTTTGGATGTTTATGGGCGTGTACCCCCACAGTGAGGTCTTAATAAAAAGGTGCCAGACTGTAAGCAGCAGGCATCCAAGAGAGACAGCACCGAAAAAAAAAACTCGCAAATATAGAGAGATGAATCACCAAACGAGAGTTAATCTAGGGTCGACTTTTACTTTCACTGGCAAATGTTTACAAGCCATAGCCAACAATCCTGCATAGAATACCTTTAAGTTAACTGTCATAAAATAAAAGCACTGAAGTACAGCGCCGGTCCATCAAAATTGTATCTCTAAATCATACTTAAATGTTTTATGATATAGTATCATAAAGCATCACTTCCTTTCCAGCTGCATTTTTTGTATTTCCTTGGTTTATTTTATGTAGTTCACTTTCTAGTCTTGCGACCAATCAAAGCACTTTTACACTACTTGTCACATTCACCCATTCACACACAAATTCATACACTGTTGGCTGAGGCTACCAAACAACGCGCCACCTGCTACTTCGTTAAACATCCACACGCACTCACACACTGATGGCACAGTCTCTTTCCAATTAGCAGACAACCCGCTCTACCTCCTGAGCCACAGCCAACCCCTTATTTCCTCATGTTTCATCATTTTCTACAGTACTCACCTGTGGACCATAACCCAAAAAATGAACTGAATCATTTTCAAGATGGTGTTTGTAGGGTGAAATATGTAAGTAAGAAACTACATAGATACTATCCAACTGTAATCAAAGTCAAACATTAAAAATCCCTGTGCAGAGAGAGTTTGCAGTCAAAAATCTCACTGCACATACAGGGCTTGAACTTACTGAATTGATTAAAATGTAAGTTAACCACGTAAATGCTTCAACCAATGTACAGCTTACTTTCTGAGACAAACACCAGAATTCACAAAGGAGAGATGTCTTTGTTGGAAAAAACAGCAGGAGTACTGTAGGAATTGGAAATGGCCTATCATGAGGCTTAGCTGCCTCGTGATAGCTCCTGCTGTTAAAAGGCTGATTAATTCAACACTTTGATAATGACTGGCTGAGAAACATGGGAGAGAGGGTTGAAAGGCATTCATCAGTGCAGCGTGCCACAGGGGGATAATAGCAGTGCTTTCAAAAAGACAAGATTCAGAGGCAAAAAAAATCAATTGGAACTCAGGCAGGGGGCAGAGGAAAGGGCTCATCTGCTAAAACTTTTCCACTCTTTGTGGGCCTGTGTGGAGGCAGAGTGGGACAGTGTGTGTGTAAAAAGAAAAAGGCAGGCTCTTTGGTGTACACTGTATCTGAATTTACTGTTTGCTCAAAGAAATCTTTTTTTTTGGATGTGCGTTTGGGGAGCAAAGCAACGGGTACCACAAGGGCCAATGCCAAGGTTCATTCTTTTGTTTTCAGTTCACAACTTGAGCTGTGAACTCATTGCTTTGATGTAAGAATGTAGAGGTAACAGCAGTCTGAATCAAGCTGAAAATAACACAATCAAGCTACAGATAATAGGAATGTGTCCAAGCTTCCCTTTCGAATATTTGTACTTCAGACCGTAGTCTGATACTGAACCATATTTTTACCTCACAACATGACAATTTCATGAAATTTGCAGCAGCATTTGCTCTAGCTGTTTGTAAATTATGCATTTGCACAATTTGGAAACTGGTAAATAAGAAAAATACAAGCTAAAAAGTTTACCCCTCCTTATTTTTATATTAAATAAACTTGGGCAGAATTGCTGTTATTGGACTATCAGTGTGTTGTAATGTTTTGTAAGCCTTCTTTGGATCATGCTCGGGTATGTCCCCTGTAGTTTTGCAGTGTACCTGGCACCATTGGCTCTTGTCAGTCCCTATCATGATAGAAAGCAGCCTTCATTCACTGATTGCCTTTCAGTCTAGCAAACCTCTGATTTTTACTCTATTAGTGTAGTTTCTCTTTTGGCCTCACCATGTATTTCTTCTTCCGCTAGCAAAACCACAGGATTATAACATCAATGAAAGGCCAAACAAAACTTGACAGTGCCAGTTGCATCTTTTGTGTTTCATCTGTCATATTCTCAATTTGTATCCTGACAATATGACAAAGCTGTTTATTCAGATTCACAGTGGCATGAAAATTGGATAGTTTGTTTTGCTTATTTAACTGCAATGTTATTTGGAGGAAAAAGACAGACTACTTAATAGTTACGTCCTCTCACCAAAGCACAGAACACAACGTGCTGGTCAGCTTTAGACACTTTACAGTGTGTTCAAGTGCAACTTTTAAACAACATGACGATGTGATGAAATGTGAAGTGACACATCGGTTTGTCTTGGAGGTGTTAGATGTCGGCTTGGTGTTTCTAAGCTCTTGTGGACTGGATTGGAAAGAAAGCTGCATGTTGCATCATGCAAGCAGACATTTAACACTTCAGATCTCATGAAACAGAGGCATATTTGTGTTGAGGCTAGTGAGAGTGGGAAGTGGACATTATATGTGGTGGATTGCTTCTAGGACATTGGGCTGCACTGTGAAAACTTCTTGTAGGGCTGTGAGTCCACAGTAACTACATAATGCTGTCTGATAACACAACATGCTCTTTTTATGATGCTGCAGGCACTTGTTGGTTTACATATTTCAATTAATATCTAATTATTGTTCGTGATCATACTATCAATAATAATTAACTGCAATAGCAGTGGTGGGTGTGTACACAAACCTCTAACCAGGAGCAAATATCTTTTTCATTCATGCTCTTCATCTTTGCTTCATCATGAAACTCATCCATCATACAGTCCATGAGATTCATCAGGGACTTGACTAGATTGGTGTCAGAGGTTGGAGACAGCTCCTGAAAGCAAAAAGAAACAACACACATTTAAAACTCGATAAGAAGAGATGTCTGAATATACTGTTAGACTCAGAAGTCAATAAAAAAGTTTGTACAGCTGACTAAACTTGGCAATCTAGCAAAACTATTTTAAAAAGCCTAAAACTTTGCTTCTCAAAGATGTAATGTGCAATATTACAGCATTAAAATGTCCAAAAACAACTTGACCTATGTTATATACCCATTTTATTACCACTAATGCACTTCTGGTTAGATGCAATCTGCATTTCAATGCTCTGTACTTGTGACGTCCAATGACAATAAAGTTGAATCTAATCTAATCTAATGGCGTCATATCCCCTTTACCCCCTCTAGTTGCTCTAACTGTCGGGGATATACTACCCCTCAAGGCAACCCCTTGATTGAATTCACCACATAACATCAGCTACAGTAGCTGTGCAAGTAGTTGACTCATCTAATGCTAAGTTAGCGAGTTAACATTACGTTAGCTGAATGAAACGGCATAACATCAGTGTTGTGCATGAATGAGCTAAAAGAGCACTCTCATTGAATGTGCTCGTATTTCTGGTAAATGGTAGTGGTAAACTGAACACATTAGTTTGTAACTTATGAACTTTAACCTGAGCGTTGTTCATTCTCTCGACAGTTAACGATGCTTGTTTGACGGCAACCAAGCATTTACAGCAACCGGTATACCGACACAACACGCAGCACAGCATCGGCAGACAATGCAGTTATTCCTACTGCTGAAGCCAGTCACATATTATATTTGAAGGACTTTTATAAACAAATCAGTAAGTTACAGATTACAACAGAAAATTACACATTTCTATACAAATTATGTCCACCGGGTCTGAAAAAACAAGTCCAACCAGCTGTCACATCGGCAACAAATTTGAAATGACACATTGAGTTGAAGTTGGAAAATATTTGTGAGTGAATGATGATCACAAGATTTTATTTTATTAAAAAAACAGAATAGATGAACATAAACTAGTTTGTTTTTTAGGACTTTTAACACAGTTCAAAATTCAAATTGTGAAAAATGAACATGATCTTTGAGCTAGCTAGATTGATTTTGGTGGTTGTTAAACAATGGAGACAACAACTCCCAAAATTCCACACTACTTCACAACTTCACAAAACTCAAAGTTTCTATTGAGAGACCCCTAGCTGTAGAAATTACACACTGTGTTAAAACACGCCGGAAGATATATACAAATATCGCTGTCATATTTATGCATTTTTGCAGATGTAGAGTGAAAAAAATCCCCTTTGAATAAAAAGCTAGACCATAAACTGTATTTCCTGAGGACGGCTCAGCACCTTGGTGGCCTTGCGAATGAGCTGGAGGCAGGCCGGCAATATGCGGTCAAAAAGGGCAGTGATGAGTTCTTTGTGCGCTGCACTGACTGTGGCCGGCAGAGTATTGAGCCAGGACAGCAGAAGGGGCTGCCAGCCAAGCATATGCGGCTCCATGTAGATCATCCCACAGCGAGAGACCTGCCACGAATACAGAGTATATCACATCTGAAAACACACATCTCAAACAGTGGTACTTCACATAATAATAAATGAAAAATATTATTCCTAATGCAGTATAAAACTTTACTAATGAGTAAAACTATCTGAACAGTACCCAGAATTACAAAAGGAAAATTATTAGCAAAACAGAGGATGCAGTATTGTAAACTATGTGTGGACATGCAGTGCAGTGCTGCTGAGCATATTAGAAGTGCTATGTAACATTTATGGATCGATATAGTTGTCATGTCCTTTACAGTGGTAAATGCTGTATATGGGTGTGTGTTGCATATTTGATATCATGTCTATTGGATACCTGGTGACTATATAACAATGTTTTCCTAAAGAGAAGCATTGTAATGAGATCCCATAGCTCCACGTCCCACTCAAGGAATAACTTCAGGAAGGAGTGCAGGTTAAGTCAGAACAAAGAAGAAAGATGAGCAGAGATGAGTGAGGACATAATGTACGAGCTCTAGCCCAGAGATGTGCAGATACGATAGGAGAGGAAAAAGAAGAGTAAGGACATAAAGGGAGACAAATAACTGTCATAGACAAAAAACAAAAGAGATGAAAAATAAAGAAAAACGGGGAAAAAAAAATCAACGGTGCACAAAAGGCACAAAGTTGTGATGGCAAATGTTGATGTCTCTGCATTCAGCATGATGACAGAACAGATGCCAGGCTTTAGAGAATCAAAAATAGGAGTTTGTTAATAAGAAAAACTATAGCCAGGGAGATGCAAAGGTTTTCTCTCAAGGCATCTATGCATTGCAACTAAGAGCAAAGTCTGACGATTGACTGCATTTATCAAAGAGTCTGTGCTGGATATTTTGAAATATCTGCAAAAGTTCCGGCACAACGGCAAACACATCCAAAGCACTGTGCCCTCCTGGTAAATGTCATCATTGGCTGGTAAAAAGAAGTAGCTGGTAAGACTATGGGCTTAGCGCATAGCTGCAAAGGGAAGTAGACATGGTGAAGAGATGGTGGAAATCACCAAACAGAAAAATGTTGGAAACAGTAAGAAAAATTTCATCTGTGTAAATAAGAACAGCAAGTGATCCATTGTCAGCTATATCCGGTGACTGGAAACCATCACTGCTGCAAAACGGAAAAGCAGGATACACCGTCATGAAACCCTTAATTCGAGTAAAGGTGTTTCTCACCGTGGCCGGCGATGCCACTTCCAGGTCCATGGGTTCAAAGATGAGGCTCATCTGCGGTGACATCTGAATGATCTCGCCGCTCATCAGACACAGCTTCTTGTTGTCATCGAGCACCGTGTTCATATTCTCGATCCACACAGCATCCACTGGGCCGTCAAAGATAAGCCACTTCCTGTCGGGGCTCTGAGGGAAGGAATAAATGGGATTTCTTACACCTTGAAGGAACATCTTATTTATAGCACAATTACACTTGTGTATATATACACATCGAAAGAAGGGTTACAAATGGTCACAGTAGTGGCCACTGGCGTGGCATTTGGTATGTGAAAACAGGGATGTGTGGATGTAAGGGGGCACAGACAGACAGACAGAGACAGACAGGCAGTCAGTCAGATACCGGTAGATAAAAACTTAAACCTTTAAACACTGGAGAGGCTTTTTACTTTGTTGGCCCCTGCAGTGCTAAAATATACAGAATTACTTAAGTATTCATAGAGCTTTAAAGTTTCGAAGAAGAGCTTAAAAGTGCAGGAAAAGAACTCGTGTTCCATCACTTGGTTTATAAAAACAGCGCCTGTATCCTTTAATCATATGCACACACTGTATTCATTTATTTCCCAATGACACAAATCCCTGTGCATTCTTTCAAGGTCATGAAAGAACTCCTGTGCATTAGAAGCTAAGCAAAGAATGTTTGCTAAATGAATGAAATTAACACCTACACTGTCATAATGGAGGTTGACAACAAGCGTCAATTCTCCAGTTAAATGGGTTGGCAAGAGCTGTGCTTTAAATTGATTTGCTGTAATATAAACAAATGGTAGAAGCCTGGGCTGGGGCCATCTGGTGCTTGTGAGGGAAGTGAGTATACTGTAATGTAATGATCTGACAGAGAGTGTTGGCTGAAAAAAACAAAATCTCATTGTGTATGCAGAGAGTCTAATACAGTACACTGCTGCTGACTCCAGATTAGCACACAAAAAATTAGTTTAGTAAAATGTGCTGCAGAGAAAAAAAAGAGCAAAACAAAGAAAGACTTTTGCCAAGAGAGGAAAATGACTTTTTTTGAAACTGAATTAAAACAAGCCTTGTTCTCGTTTTCTATTTTCATTGCATCAGTATGTACTGTCTCGGCTGTCATAACCACTCCTCACACTCCTTATTCATTGACAAAAAAACAATTTGTAAAATGACAACTTTATATACTGGGCCAATTTTTAAAATGACAAGTTCATTTGGAAACGATTTGAGAATAGGGTGAACAAATGATTTCCCATTATGACATGCCTCCACTGCCATCTGTAAATCGTCTGCCCATGTGTGTCTAGTGTGTGTACATGAATGAAAGAGCATCATTAAAGAGCTAAATTTAACAAGACAGCAGAATGTTTCTTTCGTTTACCCTGTCGCTGCATCCTCTCTTTCTCGCCACTTGAAATTAATTGAAATGTCTTGCCTATTGTACAATGATCCATCCTTAACTCCTCAACTGAGACTGAGTAGACAATAATGTATCAAGGTCTCATCTTTTCATTGTACGGCTCCATTAAGCATTAAACATTTGAGTATGTTACACCTCTTGAAGCATCCTTATGTGCCACAAGTGCAACGTGATTAAAGATTTTCAACCTTAAGAGGAAGTGCAGCAGCAAATGATTCACTTCTGAATGTCTGTTTGAGCAGACAGTCCCAGGGAAGGTCACAGCAGCTATGTCGCGACTCAGCATTAAGTATCTGAGACAGAGATGTGACAAAAATACTTCTTGCTTTAACTGGTGACACAAAGTTGCTTCAAAGTGTCTGTTTCCATAGAGACAGCATTAGTTTTAAAGCCTGGTGTTATGTTTCACTTAAGATGTCATTACTTTCTTAGACTAATTGTGGTAAGTTTAGTGTAGGTTGCTAAGATTTGAACAGAACATAGGTAGGGACAAACAGCCTCTGTACGTCAGTAATCCAGTCACATAGTAACAAGTAAACTGAGCACTCAGACCTAACTGTTATAAACAAGAACACAGGAAAATAATAAAAATAAATGCCTCTACTAAATCCTCCATCTCCTTGAACAATCAACTGTCACTTCTTGAGGGAAATCAAACCCCCAATAAAGGGAGATGTGCAGTGAGAGGCTGGAAGGAAGTTTACCACACTTCTTTTACACACATTACCCACACTGTTTTGATACAAAGTTGGTTGAAAATCAGCAAAGTATCCCTTACAGTGTACGCTACATTTGGAATATTTTCACTGCTTCACCTTGCCGTCAGACAGCCCTAACAGACTGGGAGCTGAAGCCGATACATCCAGCTATGCTCTCATCAAGGTTGCCAGACTGACAAAAACAGTAATTTTACATCACCATACATGGGAGTTGCCGGTCTACTGGTGCCTAGATAAGTTAGTTCGTTTGTGTTACTGTGTGACTTTTCGATCCCGATTAAAATTGCGTCCATAGCAGTATGTTGATCAGCCACTGTGCCAGTTAGGGGGTTACAGGAATATAACTAATTTGGAAGATCTGTCGCATGCAATTCTCAAAAAATACTTGGCTTTGTCAAGAAAATGCACATTAGGTGCACTAGGGGGTTTATATGCAGCAACATCATCATGCAGAAACCTGCGTCAGGTCATGTGTTTTTAGAAGGGTTTGGAAAAATAGCATTTTGACGCTAAAACATATACTTCAATCAAAATTTGAATGTTCAGAAAGAACACTACTGGGAAGCTACAGAATAATACACACCTTTAAAAAAATCAGGCAGATGCAGCAATCAAGCAGTAATGATAGTCACTCTTGAGGAAAAAAAAGTGTGAAGAACAGAAAGTTTCACAAGCCAATACTAGAGCTTGCAGTTCTATTGTATGATGTCGCCAGTTTGACACATTACTAGAATGCTGGAGGCTTACATCAAACTGTGGTCCTGCTGATCCTGAACAGCAGCTAGAAGTATGACAGACACTACACTGCATGTATCTAAGAGATTTTTTTTTCAAAGACAAAGACAAAGTTTGTCTCCTTTGAGTCTTTTGACGGATGTGAAAAAGCGCATCAATCAATGCTGTTCAGAGACTATTCATGTTGGACAACAGTTTCAGGACAACAGTGTTGTGTGTATTAAACGTCTGTCTGACATTTTTGGATGAAAAATACTACTGCAAAAGCCTCAGTGAAACTCAAATTAGGCGCCATTAGCAGATATAAAACCATAGTCCTGTCTGCTTCTGTTTTTTACTTGATAGTGACTACATACAGTATTTGGCCGTGTTGAGCATAACCAGAATATAGGATCTCAGAGGAGCTGTGTGTATTTTTTGGCAGCCTGTATAAACCCTGGCACAGATTCAATAAGTGACCTTGAGAAATGAAATCACTCTCTGAGGATAACAATAGTAAGGCATCTCCTAGCTTGTCTCCTCTGCCATATCCTCATTTGCCAGGATAACATGTATTTCCCACCTATCGTCATAACTCTCTCTGGTAAACATGAAAAGGTTATCAGCAACAGCTTTTGAATTCCACAATAACAAGCCAAGTGGGAAATAAAAAACATAAATAACAGTGCACACACTTCTAAACTGTGTGCACCATATGTTAAATTACAGGTAACCATTTCAAATTTACACATAGCCACTTAAAACATTTTAGTCATACTTTAAACGAAGAAAGACATTTGTCAAAAAAAAGTGTGTGTTTATAGGTGGCTGAATACATTTTCCTGCTGCCCCCAGTCCACAGCTGTACATTAGAACTTGTTTTTCCTCCTTTGAAGCAGATTAAATAACTTAAGTGCAGACTGTGTGTGATGCTTTCGGTCAAGGTCAACATTTAAGCTATTCTTTGTGAGTATAAACAGTATTGAGCATATGGAAAGCTGCAGGAGCCATCCTCTGCTAAATTGGCACGATATCAGGGTTTGTGCAGTGTGAAATATTATATGAATATGTAAATTTCACCACATTGTGCAATTATACTGGATTTCAAGTGCTCTGATTCCAAAAGAGGAACAGGTGGTGTGCCACTAACCCTGCACAGCTCCCAAGTGTGAACATGATCATCTGTACGAGGGCCTGAAGGAGCATGTTGCTGAATCAACAGGCTGTTTCACAAGTTAAACAACACCGCATGTTTGTTTGCTTGTTTGCGTCTGAACCTAAAACTGTTTAAACTGCCGTTCTCCGAGAAGCCATCTTACCTGGGAGGAAGCGAAGGCTCTGTAGCTGACAGCGAGGATGCCATCAGACCACTCATGAGAGACAGGGTCAAACTGGCCATACAGCTGGCCCATGGTGATGGATTTGGGATTGATGACTGTGATCTGCACCTTGTTCTCATCCATCAAACCCTGGTAACAAGCACATACATACAAATGCAAAATAGACATACAGAGAGATATCAACTCAAGAGAAAAGGGACGCGTACACAAATTCAAATTAGATACAGTATGTACATACACAGAGATACAATATAAAAATACACTAATTTACTTTGCAGGTAAAGAAGCAGCAAAAATGAGCATGGCGAGCTGCTCATTTCACCAACTTGTCTCCGCAAAGACTCATAAATTGCTGAGAAGATTACTGTCTGTGTGACAGGACTTCTGCTAACTGAGCAAGAGGAGCAAAAACTGCAACAAACAGCTTTTCAGACAATGTGTCACTTTGAGTTAAAAACAATGAGAAAAGCGGGCTGTCGGAGGAAAAAACAGAACAACAAAGGAAGAGAATAAGGGGAGGGGGGTTGGACATGATCAGTGGACGTGCGGGAACAAGGATGACGATGATAAATGTGGCGTTCCCAGGCGTTCCATCAGCAGGCCTTCATCTGTCTCCTTGGTGGGATGCCTCTCAGCGCTCTCAGCCATGTAAATACAACAAGCCAGTTCTGCTCTTCTCTGCGAGATCGATAACTACTAAACAAAGACTACAGCTCTGACAAATTGGATGGATGTGTTTACTTGGGAAAAAACATGTAGCTCAGATAAGCCTTGGATATTGAGTGTAACACATATTTTCATTTGACACGAAAGTTTATGATTTTTTTTACCGATCGAGCGAGTTCGTGTCCCAAGGACTTCGGAAACCCAAGCAAAATTTGTAATACAACACAATTAAAGAATGCATGGTTGACCGTCTGAATAAAAGGCATTTTTTCCAAATATTTCTGACAAATTGACCCGCTTAATACCTGACAGGAATATAATAAATATGTTGGACCTCAAGGACAACTACGGGAAATGCAACCAAGAAAACAAAGTGGTTTAAAGTAGCTATTGATCAAGACTTAGTGCCACGTATGAAATTCATGAAATATAGTAAGCTGACATACAACTTGTGGTGTAACCTGCCACCTTTCTTCACGTCTGCTGCCTCTATCACAGTTTGTTTCATAATTCCTTGCTAATCTCTCCAACCATCACAGTTAGCATGTCAGGGCTTGAAAGTAAGAGTTGCCAGGTTGCTACTGGCAACCATTTTGTTGAATTGGTAACCAATTCTTGGCCTTTGGTTGCCATCATTGGCAAATAGAGCTGGGAATCTATACTCGATACCTTTAAGGTATTGACCAAATAACTCAGCATCAAGTAGTATCAAAACTTCCTGTCAAACAATACCTGCATTCAATCCTTTTTGTACCCAGATCTAGAAAAGATTACTATTTGTATGGTTTTTGATTTAATGCAATGTATGATTGGTCCGCAGCAGCTACAACCTATATATTCTCTGGTACATTGTATTTTACAGAGTTGTTTGAACAGCTTTTTGATAAATATTTTAATGATTAAACACTTTCAAAATGTATTTGTGTAAAATCACTTGGCTTGGTGAGACTGGTGGCACTTTATGCAACTGAATGCTTCCATTCACATGATGGGTATCAAATGAGGTAAAAAACAAAAAAACAAAAAAAAAAGGTATCAAATTAAGTGCTCTATTGGCATCTGTTCCACTTTAATGGTACTGGTACTGATATCATAATTTTTTAAACAATATCCAGCCCTAGTGGCAACCACTTTTTCACGTATAAAAAATAGGGACAGCTACAGCAAAACGTGCACCCTAATATAGTTCAATTTTAATATTTGTTGCGTTAGAGATATTAAAATATTGCTGTTTTGGTCAGAAACAGGCAACACTGCACATGGGTTGGTGTGTTTACTCGTGTGCACGCAGGCATCTGTTTTAGAGACAACCGTGCAGCAAATTCAGTTGTCTGACTGTGGGGTGAGAAGTTCAACTAACTAGTTGCTCTTTTACATCACATTTTCATTATTAAGCTGACATATAACTGCAAGTATCTTAAATATTCTTTAAGTGACTAAAAATAATAACCATATTTTCAGCTGGTGCCTGGTTGCCAGCCTGGCAACCACCTCAGATTTAAACAGGATATCATACCTTCTTACAGACGTCATGAAGAGCCGCTGCCAGCACACGGTAGGCACTGGTCTTGCCTCCAAATGGCTCACCCACCAGCATGAACCCATGCCTCACTATCATCATCTCAAAGATCTGCAGGATTTTCTCAGCAAAGAAATCAGTGACTTGCAGGTTCATGCGGCGGCAGTTTTCCTCAACAGCCTCCAGCAGTACGCGGTAGTCCCGTTTTGGAAGGGTGACCCCAGGGAAGAGGTCAGAGGTGATACCCTGAGGCGGTAAGGGAAAGGAGTCAGGGGACAGTGAGGGCGGATCATTTGAGTTGAATGAGGTGACACAATTACTTAAACACAGTTGATATGCGATAGAAACACACTAATGTACTGACATGCACACACACACGCACATGCACCTTGAGATTTGTCAGAGACTCACATGTTCAGAAACTTAATGTAAAACTATTCACACACACACATACACACACACACACACACACACACGTGCATACAGTGAACTGTTAAGGCTCAGACAGACTTAAATTGTCCTTGTGCATTGCAGGTCCAAATGAACTGACTGGAATTAACATGGGCTGACATCACTTGATGTGTATTGTGCCACTAATCAAGACAGGAGGAGCTTCACTCTATCACACCTCAAAAAGCTTCAGATCATGGGCCAGGAACTTGGGCAGATTGACATCAATAATGGATCTCAGCAGCAGGGTGTCTTCATTCTCCTCTGGAAATGTGAGCTACAGTGCAACAAACGTGGGAGAAGAGGAGAAAATGAGAAGAACAACGTACTGAGAAGTTAAAGCTTTATGAAGAACTTCAAGTCTATCTGTGTCACATGACAATCACAACCAATCAGCTCACAAAGCTTCTTCAGTTAGCAGGTGCAGTAAGCATCTAAATGACACTGTTTTCCAAAAGCAAAATTTAAAAAAGACAACAGTTTCACTGTCAGTGGTAAGTCTTTACAGAACCGGATGAAAGAAAAGATATGTATACTTTGGTCACCACAGTGGGAGCATATCCCCCGTGTAGAAAAAATGCAGATGCCTGTTGGTAAGTTTCTCTTTGAAAGCCAGACAGCCCGCTCTTCTCTTCCTCTCTCACACATCACTGCTCTCTGCAAAACAGTTTGTCATGTTGTGTTTGGAAAATAAGGAGGAGGTTTGGGCCAATTTTGAAGGTTCCTCACTGTGTCTGAAAGAATACTCCTACTGCATAGACCAGCAAAAACAGAATTTCAATTGGGTACTGTACACAGTCTGAATAGTATCAAAAACCTACCAATATGTAACCCAACACTACTTAAAAATAAACTTGCTTCATCTGCATTAAAAATGTTCCCAAATCTACTCTGAGGATGAGGCAAGACATAACACCCAGCTATGTGCATGTTTGCCTTTTAACTTTCATCACCATGGACTGAGCAAGAGTTGAGAAATTATTGCCTCCCAATTAGGGACTGTTTTTTCATGCGGCCTTTATGTCGTCCTTACACCAAACAAGCAATTTCACTGTCGTGGACAAATTTCCAGTGCTGAGGTAAAATCACAAGAGTTTTATCTCAGTTGGTGCATGCTCCCGTGATCTCAATCATATGGTATAAAGTGGTCATACAACTCAGTCCGAGCTGTCTTATGTCAGTCTTTTTCTCGTCTTGATATTCCAAAAATCAAAAGTGTTTAATATTATGGTAAGTTTTAAGTCCCAGCAAATACTCAAGTTTCGTGATGTAAACATTGTCAACAACCAGTAGGTGCACTTTCTCCAGCTCCAAATAAGAAGCAGCAAACTAGTTAGACAGGAAACACGGAAGTGACTCTGGGGAAATGCTAAAAACATCTTGCTTATTTGTTCTATGGAAAAAGGAGAAACTGGTGGTGTTGTGGAGTAAACAAGAGTCTGTGTTTTATTCTGCGTGTATCTGATCCACCAACCAGCATTTATTTTAGTCAGAGATTTTTGAAACAGTTCGCCTTTCGTTCCCACGGTCTCCTCCCACTAAAATAGCACAGCTAGTTGAGGCGACAACATCCAAAATGCAAAGTTTGTCAACAAATACAGGTTATCTTTATGAATTATACTGATGCTGAATTGTCAAGAATACTGTCGACTTGTAACCCTTTCATTTATGCTTCTAGAGTCACGTGTTTTTGCTGACACATAAGGAATTGTTAATATATCATATTTCATAGGCATGTAACAATATATCGAATTTCACGGTGTCGCGATAAAATAAATTCTCGATACCATCGTGGGAATGCCACGGTAGTTATATAGCTGCGTTCTCCTACAGAGCAGGTAATATGACTGTGCGACTACGTTCCCCATAATCCTTTGCATGCAACTGCGCGCGCAGGTGAGAGCAGACTCGTGCAGCTCAGCCTCTCAGCCTCCGACTCTGACCCGTGCATTACCAGAGTAAACAGCGAATAAAAGTAAGGAGATTGATTGTTCTTCTCTGTGGATTTTCTCCACGACCGTTCGTTATAGCGAGAAGCCACACATATATCACGTCAAACAGCGGAATCGTGGCTTTCCGACAAGACCAAGCACTTGTCGGTAGTCCAATGTTTTCACAGCGAAAAAAAATGATAAAGTTACACTAAAATAATGTATAACAAAGCTTTCATACAGCTTTGCACACACATTACTTTTGGATGGATTACTCGCGAATGCAGGGTCGCACAGAAATGCCACGCATATCATATTAAAGCGCAGGACCAGAGCTTTCCTCTCCTCATCTCCTGTTCTGAGAAAGTGTTAGGGTCTCCTTGATGTCAAGATTGTCAACCTGGCGTGAACAAACTGAGTGAATGTGTGTTTTTGAGGTTTTTCTATGACTTCCAGGGAAATGGCTGGGCTTTATTTATTTTGGTTTTCTTTTACACACATCTCTACCCACCTCTCCCTCTCTCTCTGTCTCTCTTTCTCTCTGTGTCTCTCTGTGTATCTGTGAGTGAGGGATTGTGTGTTATTGAGTTTACATTATTTCTAACTGTTAATTCTGTTGTTGTTGCAGGGTCTGACTTTTCTAAGTTCTGTATATTTGATGAATATTAAGACTACTCTATCCTCATAATTTGATGTCATTCAGATGACTTTCTAGTAATAGTACTACACTACTTTTGTTCAGAGTAGGTTAAAAAATACTGAATGTTTCCATTTTCATATTCTGTCACTATAGTTTTAATTGACATGACTTTGTTATGGCACTTTAATGTCTGCCTGCCTAGTAGTAATAGGGGGGAAATGAAAGCACATGTTCAACTGTGCGTTGATTTGTTTATGATACGGTTCCAAGTTAAAAATAACATGCTGTACAGTGTGCATGCACTATTTTTGAATAAATAGCTATTTTTAACAATAAATTTTCTCTTTTTTCCCCTTGTATAAATATCGTGATATATATCGTATCGTGGACTCTTTATCGTGATAATATCGTATCGTGAGTTTCTGGTATCATTACATCCCTAATATTTCATAAAGGGGGTTTGGTGTAAAAGTTTTCACCAGGAGCAGGGTGGGAAATAATCTCAAAAAGAATCTTGTTGTAGTGTTGCAAATAGTGACCATGCAAGATCCCCAGTCTTTACAAAATCTCATATTGTGTGACTAAAGACTCACATTGTCTTCAGATGTGAGAGGGTGTCAGACTTTAGTCTTTGAAAAGTATTAGGTAGGCATAAGTTTAATGATCAGAGACTGTGACTCTCAAAACTTCCACAATGGCACTATAGTTAAGAGTAACTGAATTTTGTGGGAAAATATTTTGGTAAATGAACAAATAAATCCCATCATATTGACATGAATCTGTGTTAAGGTACCTTGAGGTTTCCGGCAGCAGTCAACACGGACTTGACAGCCCTCATCCCATAGTCGTAGTGATGTTGTGAGGACAGCTGCTCCGAACAGAGTCGATAAGTGGCCACAATTTTCACAGACAGGGGCCGCGCGGTCACAAAACCACACGAGTAGAGCACAATCTCTGCGATCATGGCATAGTCTGGTACCATCATAGCCACAGTCCTGAACAGAGCCTGGTGTAAAGAGACACTTTTTCTGAGTGGAGAAAGGTTTTTAATTTCTAAATCAATCTATTTTTTTTTTTTTTTTTACATTCTTTAAGTTTTACTTTAGCCACTGTTTACATCAGTAATGTTTGGACATAGGCACAATAACTGAACAAGGAAAAAAAGGTTTAATGCACCTCCACATTAGCTTCACTTTTAACACGAGAAGGCTACATCCACTTCTTTTATACAGTCTACCCACTAGACATTTAAAACAAAAAGAACGTCTAAGACACTGACAGAACTGATACTGCACCTTGAGATTGTCTGGTAGCTCAGAGCGTCCAGCATAGCCAGGGTTCATAGTAATGAAAACAGCACATGAGGGGTCCAGTTTTAGCTCTGTCCCTTCAAACATCAGCATCTCGGCGTGGGCAGCAATTCCTGGACACACAGATGCAATTACATACAGTATGTATTTAAATGTCCTTTGTGCCTTTTGACTCTGATGAAGACAGGGGTAAAGAGAATATTAGTAGCAAGACATTTGCACCATTAAAGACAAATAGATCGGCTTGTTTTTGCAGTTTCTTTGGACACTTTTTTGTAATGAGCACACCCTAAGGAGCATATCCGTAGGTGCCATGTCTGCCATGTCAGTAGATGTGAAAAGCACGTGCCCGTTAGAGCCACAACATACAGCTTAGGTTGGATAAGTCAAGTCTGTTTCATTTTGCACAAAATCACTAATTTGCTTGAGACGTCTTCACAACTGGTACAACATACAACACCCTGAAACCATGATTCAGACAAGGACAAACTCCAGGTCTAAAAAAACCTCTGAAAAATAGTTTTCAGCAGCATTTAAGCGACAGAAACCTATTAGCATTTTCAGACTTTAGTTTTGAGCTACCAACAATCAGTACACCCCTTTGGCTCTCTCTTCTTATGACACAAGACATTCGACGGCCGTAGGACACATGGGACACGCTGCTGTTCTGCGTTGAACAAAGCAGTGCTTTAAGTTCTGCTGGCCAGCCTACACAAATTGCCCCAGCTCTGTGTTGCATCTCTTTGTAGTCCAAAACCTGCTGTTTTTTTACTGGTGAAAACACACCAAATGTGTTTCTGGTATACTGCCAGCTATGCAAAGACCAAAGGGAAAGAAAGCAAAAATGTCAAAAAAAAAAAGAAAAAGAAAGAAAGAATAGAAAAAAACAGCACAAACCTCTCTGTATGGTGAGAATCTGTTGAGCGACCACAGACAGCACCTCCAAGTCAATGCGGTTAAACTCATCAAAGCAGGCCCAAGCTCCGCAAGACAAAAGGCCCTGGCCACACACATATTGGCACACGCAGACACACACAAGCACACATCAACACACACACAATTTATTAATACATATTTAAATAGTATGTATGAGCAAGTTTTGCCTGAGTATGTGAGAGCTATTTCAGTATGGCAAGTGGGAGGAAATTTCATCAGGGTGTAAGTAATTCCAGTGTAAACAAAAATAGGACTCACCATCATTTTGTGTGTGGCTTCCCACATTCAAAACACACACATAACTATAATCACATGACCGAACAACAGGAAATTGTGACAGCAGCAATATACATGTGAAATACACTGCATACTGTATATGTATAATGGTTGGAAAACACAGCTGCACTACCGGACTGCATTTTATTTGTACAGGTTGTAGAGGAGCATTGACACTGACATTTAGATGTCTGTAAGCCATTCTGGGACTGAAGGACATACGAATGGGAGAGAAATCAAATTCTGTGTCCCCTTGTATTATCTGACTCTTTCCTGGTAGGCTATATTTTAAGGTGGGAGCATAGACTGTGTATAAGGATGGATGACACACACCATGTCCTCCTACTGTACGAAAATGAAGCAAAAATATTTCAAATATGGGTGCTGCCATCTTGCATTGGTACATCAGTGATACATAAAATGGCAGAAACCATCTTTAGGAAGAATGTGTTTGAATTGTAATTTGAGTTTTTAGTTTACCCATACCGCTAACACGGGGCAATCAAGATGTTCTGACCATATTTTGGGGAGCTGTCATGTTGTCCATATTTAAATACAGTCTGTGGGTGGAAGTATCTGTTCCTTCACACCTCCATCTTAAAGAAGAAGGCAACAGCCTCTAGGAACATTTCCTGATTAGTGAAACTAGTTATTACAGTTAGTGTGAAGGAAATAAGATTCTTAGTTTGGATTACCCATGCAGCAAGCAAGTTCAAGTGATGTTAAGAGAGTTGTACTCACTTTGAAGAACTTGCCCAAAGCGATGTAGTCCAGTCCATCTGAGCAGTTAAAGACCACACACTGTTTGGCCACAGCTTTGGCCAAGTCTTTGGTTGTCTCTGTTTTTCCTGTACCAGCTGGGCCCTCAGGGGCCCCGCCCAAATGGAGATGGAGGGCACCAAACAATGTGCTAAAAAAAGGAGGAACAGACAGGAGAAAGCTTATGTAATATATATAAATTTTTTTTTTTTTTTTTTAAGTCCAAGCTCTGATATTTGCGAATGATTTTAAATCCATTTTGGAAAGACCTGGTGATAGAATAATTCTGGTGTCAGTGATTAAAATAAAATTTTGGATATCTGACCTTAGAGCTGCAACGATTGCTTATAATCAAGTATTAAATCATTCCCCAACTAATTAAATAATCCATTAATCTGTTTGATTTGGAGAACAAAAAGTCTAAATTCTTTTATTCCAGCTTGTTAAACAGAAATATTTTGTAGTTTTTTTTTTTCTTTACTCCTTTATGTAAGGTAACTGAATATCTCTGGGTTGTGGACAAAACAAGATGTTTGAGAATGTCATCCTTTGGGAAACACTGATTGACATGTTTTGCTATTTTCTGACATTTGAGTCAATAAATCAAGAAAAAAAATCAACCGATCAACTGACACTTAAAAAAGCCCTACATGCCATGTACTCCACTTTGTTGATTGGGATGTTTTATATTGTAGCGCTGTCTGTTCTTCTGTTTTGTGTCTGTTTACTATCACTTGTTTTTATCTCGTGCTGCTGCATATCTTGGCCAGGACTATCTCAAAAAAAAATCTCAATGGGACCTATCCTGGTTAAATAAAGGTTAAATAAAGTAAAAATTTTAATCCTATGCAAATGATCAATAAACGGCCATTCACATCCAAAGCAGATAAAGTCACCCTTGTCTCATAAAGACTGAAGTCAGCCAAGTTCTAACAGTCATCTTTAACAACTTGGCAAACTGCCCTTGTGGCTAGCTGGGGAGTACCGTGCACAAACAAACAGGTCTGATGAACATCAATTATTTCCGGCAACACAGTAAGGAAGAACTCCCAGTGGCTCAGCAACGATATACTGTCTGTTTAAGATGAGAATAATAAGAGGATGGACACAAAACGAATTAAGCATCTAAAACAGGACATGAAGAGTTCTTGTACACAGAATAAGAAGGTAGTTGGGGGATTAATAGCAAAGGGATAAATGTCTGTCTCCAACTTGGGATTTGTAGACACACAAGGCTTTTATCTGCAAGCATCTCAAACTATAAGCTTTAGAAAAAGACAGACAGTGAACCACTGAGGGCGCTTGTGTAGTAGCTTTACCGGTAGCAGCGATCAGTAAGTGGCGTAATGACCAGACGTGGAGTGTTGCCCAGGTATTCATAACCATAAGGCAAACCGGCATTAATCATCTTGGTCTGGAGGTTGTTCTCCTGCAGAGGGTATGAGTTCAGAAGTCATTTGTCGAGTATGTATTATAAGTTGACATTAATCCCCTAACTGCCCCTTTTACATACCACCCAGTAGTAGCGCAGTTGGCTAAGCCACTCAAAGTCATTCTCGTCACTTATTCCCTTTTGCACCAGTGCAGCAAGCACATCCCTGGCGTGGACATCCAGCACGACAAGAGCTCCCAGGGTCACCCGGTTCTGCTTGGATAGCTTGCCACGTACAAGTGCCACGATGTCGTCAATCTGTCTGTTGTTCTGCTCCAGGTAGGCGTCTAAGGCCTGAGGGGAGAGAAAGGCATGATTAAATAGATGGCAGAGCAAGCCGGAGAGGATGCTATCAAGACCCCATCTATTAACTGAAGGTCACAAGTTTGATCCCTGCAACAACTACTAAGTCCATCACTGTCTTATAAGTGCATCGCTGGCTGTCTTAGAGGATATTAAAAGAAAAATATAACCTGTGATACAAAGGGGTTTTCCAGTCCAACTTCATAAGATTTGTCATCTTATGAGATATAGGTGCTCTTCATTTAATGTGACAGCTTTAACACAGTTTGTAATTCTCATTCAGACCAACAACTTTTCCCCTATCCACCTCAGCCTGTGTGTTTAAACCTCAACTGTAACTGAAATAGATGGCAGCTTGGTCGCCACAAGGTAAGTCATAAATGACAATCACACATTCATTGTAAGGTCATTTATAAAACAATTTATTCAAGAGTAATCAGACTTTGTTGACCTCATCTTGAGAACCTTGTGAATCTTTTTAGGTTGTTTCTTAAACTCCATCTGGCATGACATACATCACAGCCTATGTTGCCATAGTTACAATTTTGATACTGACATACAACTTCACAGCATACTGTAGATTAAGTATTTCAGATGCTAGCTGTTGCCATGGTTACAGCTTTGATATAGACATCATAGAACTTCAGAGCACATTGTGTATGATGTGTTTCAGGAAAACATGCTGGTTTGCTTTGCTCTTTAGTAGAATTAGTAACTATGCGGGTTAAATCCATCTGTGACAAAAAAATAGAAAAAGATGTTCAAACATGATTTGGATTATTTGAACCAAAATGAAAAATGAAAAAGTGTCCAGTGGAAGGGCTATTTTTCGATCCAGATGGTTACAAGAGTCTTTGAGGACTCTTGAAATGCCTCCAAAACCCAGCAAGTCTTGTTAAAAGACCTGGTGGGTTTTTCAAAGAGATTTCAAAGTGTTGAATCTTAAAATAAAATAGATGCTCAGCTCTGGGACTCAAGTGTTAAGACAATACTGTACACGAGAGGCACAAACCTGGGCTAACTGGAAGTGATCTTCTGTATGAAAGATCCCAGGCAACAATAAAAAAGTGCCTTATACCAAGGAATGATAAAATATAATTCAAAATATGTAATGGATGTAAAAAAAAAAAAAAGAAAAAAAAAAGAAAAAGAAAAAAAAGAACAGTTACTCACTTTCTGTCCTGAATTGATGGCTTCATGAATATCCTTCGTCCAGTAAACCTGTGAGACGCAGAGCACGGTCTGGCCTGGCCAAGCACGCACCCAGTCGATCCTCAACTCATTGGGGTACGCCTTGATTGCCTCCCCAATTACCTACAATGCACCAGAAGAGGGACAGAGGCTTTAACTTAACGTACCTGTGTCAGGGAAGATTAGAAAGCATACGGAGAGAAGCTTCAGATGTGATGGCTCAGCTCAAGTGTATTAAAATCTTATTTGAACATCACAAAGAAAAAACATGCATTCATTTCTTTGTGTTTATGAGTGAAGCTTAAAACAAAGCTTAAACTTAGGTGCAATTAGAATGGCACTCACAAAAACACAGAACTCCAGCAAGGCTAAAACTCCAGTCTTCTATGATATGCAAATCTGCAAGTGCAACCACTAAATATGTCTGGATATATTTCCAAATTTAGAATTATGTAAAAACATGGGTGTGCTTGGCTGAGCCCTCATCATCTGAGCTGTCCATTTATGTACGTATGTTAATAGTAACTCCTCTGTCACTGTCTCCCCAGTTGTCTGGTTGTGGTTTAGTTTTGCAGTGTCTGACCCTGAGCAAACGACCATTCTCTGTAAAGTTTATCTAAATTCTTTAGCAACTAAAAGCAACAACACGACTAATTTATTCCAGGATCTCAAGCAGAGGTATGCAAGCAGTGGGAGGAGTGTGTGGTACTGCAAGCTGCACAAGAAAGTCTAAAAAAGTAAACATTAGTGGAATCATTTTACCATAGCATCTCATATGAGAAGAAGGGGCCCAGGCAGAAGATATGGTGCCCATATTTACAGTTGAAAAAAATCATAAATAAATTAAAATCACAAAACAGGTGTGGAAAAAATATTTTATTTTGAGGCCATATTGCCCAGTCCTAATTTTTTTGTATGATATGTCTGTATTTATGTTTCCATAGCTTTGCTTTAGAAAAAGTGCTTTTACAATTGTGGCCGTGCTATAATTGTACCAGTTACCATAAACCCACTGTATGCTCCATAATGTCTGCTTTCTGTATGAAGTTTGAGCAGCTACATGTGTGGTCTATCCAAAGGATGACTGGTACCCATGAATATGGACGTGATATGGAGTCAAAGTATCTCTACAACTGGCTGTGTTTTGTCACTATTGAACTCAACTACTATCTATTGGATTGTAAGATGTACGACATTTATTCCACTGTCGCCAAATACCCTATCTTGCAATGTTAACGCAACAGAAAAATAATTTGTGTATTTGCCCCATTATTCGGATCCAATACTACACCCTACTGGCTGGTTTTCATAAAATTGGGCTAGTAGGGTGCAGTATTTCCATAATCCTGCTCACAAACAGACAAACAAACCAAACATAACCTCCTTGACAGAGGTAATAACAATCCACACAACACCTTATGCAGAGAGGCAATCATGCCATTCTCAAGTTCCAGAAGCCACTTCTCCACCTGGCCCCTGGCTTTGGAGGTGGAAATAATATCCAGCAGCTGCACCATTTCACCCTCACTGCTCTTCATGTGGGTGATGTCCAGAACATCAGTGAACACAACACTGGCGATGCCTTCAAAGCACTTCTTCAGGTGGGGCTGCACTCTGGAGGAGAGTAAGGCAAGACAATGAAATTAATCACATATTGTCTACTGTCTATACTTCATCTGACCTACTGTCACACACTGGCCCTTCCCACTGTACTGTAAGTGACATCATGTGGACATTTCATGGGCTTACCAATATGAACAGGCACAACTGCAGCACAGATCTATTTCCATTTAAAGCAATGCCAATATTTCAAGTGGCCCCATAATTGCCCAAGCTTAACTCGCTTTTTGTTGTCATAGGTAACCCCTAGAATGAGGGTGGTTCATTAGTCCACAGTTTGTGCAGAGTGTGCATGCAGTTTTTTCCACAGATAATGATTTAACATTTATTACATGAAAGAGTAATGATGCACTCAGCTTGAACTCATGTCCCCCTCCTGTGTAAGTTTAAAAAAATGAAAGACTGGAGATATGAAGCATGGGAAGAACTGTGTCTAAAATCTCCAATACGGTTTTACAGTTCATGATCCCAGTCTTCCTCTTTGAAAATCAGGCTCCATGTTATAGGACTATTGCCCTCGAGCATGGCTGCATCTCCAACTATTTCCAAGGCCACAAATGAATTTTAACAGTAATTTTAGCGTGAGGTTACTCTTTAAAAAGTCATCGAATTACTTAGGGTTACTCACTGTCAGTGATTTTATAATATAATTAGGATTTTTAGTAACATTTAAGGACTGACTTTATTAGAATATATCTCAGAGTTTAGTTAGGGGATTTTGATACAATGCAGCTGCACCCCTAAAAGCCTCCAGAAGTTGTTTCTATCTCTACTTATTCACCAACATTTTCATTTGCATTCATATCACGTCCTATGACTTTTGCCGCTGCAAAACCCGTTATTGTCCTTGGTCCTGAGTAATGTCACAGCAACTTAAGTGCAATGTTTGCTGAAGTCCATATTATTGTTAGTAACTCTTCTTGAATGTCACACAGTAAACAAAGTCTTTCCTCTATTTCTACACTGCTTTATATCTCTATGTTTCTGCTGCTTGTTCTCGCTGTGCACAGAACATTCAGGGAAAACAGGAACAAGTGTTTCAGTGTTAAAGCATTAAAACTTTGACATTAGGCTATCTCGCTTTCTCTATATCCCTGAAATAAAAGCAGGCCCTTTTGTTGGTATTGCATTGCATTCAGAGACCAATGATTCAAATTCTGGAAAAATCAAACTAGCACTCTCCCAATATTACACTGCCCTGCCAACACCCCCACCACTGCACAAATCCCTTCTTTACAGAAGGTCATGACTGTGTGCATCTGTACTGATGTGATGACAATTCCCACAAGCCAAAGAGAGAATAAAGGGATAGTAGAGTGAAAACGAAGCGAGAAATAGAAATGCAGGATGAGTGTAAGGGGCTAGAACATCTTTTGTCTGGAATCACATTCATTATTAACCAGATGCCCTGGGTGAAATGAGACAAGGGTAAGTTATCAGTAAGGACTTGGCTTCTGGGGAAACATCTGTGGGGGCTGAGTACGCGTTGTAGTTAGCTGTATATTTTATAGCTCTAACATCAGTTTCTTAAAGGCCACAACTCTTTTAAATAGGTTTTCAATTCTAAATTTGCTCCTTGCACCTACGGCATCTCTGGAAAGTTTTCAGAGGGGTGGTCAGATGTAGCCTGGTGAAACCATCCTAATCTTGCAAGCTCATATTCTATTTCGCTCCACAAATCAGTCTGGCCATGCAATCATAAAGGCACATTCTGGCATTGGTAAAAGCTTACTGGGCCAATCACAACCGTTTATTACTTTGTGGCGGGTTATTTGAGGAGCGGAGTGAATGCATTTCATAACCAACCGCAACCAACATGGCTACTGATTTTGAAACTGCTATGGTAAATGTGTTGAACGAACTGGAATGTACATTTTCTTTAAAAGCAGAGCAAACGGCTGCACTGAAAGCTTTTATTGAAACAAGGATGTGTTTGCCATCCTTCCTACGGGGTTTGGTAAAAGTTTAATTTACCAACTGGCTCGGTTGATCGGAAAAAAGATGGGACTCAGTGAAAACCCAGTGGCTATTGTTGTTTCTCCGCTAGTTGCTCTCATGGAGGAGCAGGTCAGGGAAGCGACCAAGCTGGGAATCACAGCCATGCAACTTGGAGTCCACAGTGAGGAGGAAATCCGCAAAGACGGCAACACTCTTTCCCAGACATCATCACAGCTAATCTCCACTGCAGCATGCTGGTCTGTTTACAGTGGCGTTGTGCTAGCCTACATCACACGTTTCGTTTACTCTGATTGGTTTTCCGTCTTTCCAATTGCGTGAAGGGGCACTTTGAGTGACAGCCCTTGATATCGCCCCTCGGGGAATAGAGGAAATGTACAGTCCGTGTCCAGACCCATTCACATTTTGCGAATTGGGTCTGGCAATGCCAGGCTAGGTCAGATTGGGTCTCTGAAAATCTTGGAGTGGCAGACCAAAACCAGAAACTGAATTTCACACACTCTAGACTACTTGAAAACTATGTCGATATGAGAGTTAAGGAATCGCACGCTGACATACTTTGGGTTGATTTTTTGTTTGTTTTTCATGAGTTTCACAATAATCCTGTTTTCATGTGTTATATATCTGTATATACAAACTCACTGCCCTTCAAACAGGCTGGTTGTCATTTTCCTTAAAAATACAAATACACAGCTTTAATTTAAAGAAGAACACTGATTATAAGGAACAAACGTACTGAGAGCAAGCCTGCACAAGTTTATAAACACCACACAGATGTTTTCAATTATATTGGAATATTTTTGTGAAGAGGGGGCTGCATTGTATCAGGGTGGCTGTGGTCCCCCCTGACACCCTTTGGACGGTCCTTCAGGCAGAGAGTCAGATAAGCAAGGACGCCAACCAAGTGGGCTGTGCTACAGTGTGGCCCAGGACACATTAGTGCCCACACTGTTGAAAAAATGTGGCCATATGCAGGGGACCACCTCCGAATGTGGTCTAAGTAATACGCAACTCAAGACGTATTGAGGGCGCATTGGGTGCACTTACACCTGTACTTGGAGTTGTCGACTTAGAATCAGATCACCCAGGATGCATGTTAATACCAGGTGTAAACAGATTCTAAGTTTATTATCATTGTCTGTATACTAGTTTTGATTAGGTGAGCCAGAGTCCTGATAAGGCGATTTGCAGGTGGTATTTTGTCTTAATTTTATTTCTAGGTTTGGTTCTGGTTGGAAAAAAAGGACGAGTGGGTCAACTGTGGGTGTTGGTTCATAAATATATGAAAATGAAATGAAAAGAATAACAATTTAATTTAATGTTTTAATCCTCTGATTGCTGACCTTGTGTGTAGGCTCTGTCTACTGCGCCAGCTCAAATATGAGAGCCACTTCAATCAGGTGTGTCAGTAACAGGCACATTAATCATGGAGATGTGCTGCTCAATATTATGAAAATAAGCAAAGAATATTCATTTAAATTGTGTTTCCTGAATTACCTTTGTTTTAAAATATCTGAACTAATTTTCCCATGTATGAAATGTCCCCTTATTATCACTTTAAATAAGCTGGGTAACCTAATTTATTTAACAGCATATGGTTATTATAGGATTTGTGGTTCGGGTCAGGCCAGGGATCTTGTTGCAGCAGGTCCAGTTGGTTTGCAAAACTTATTGGTCATATGGCAGATGGCAAGGAGGATGCAGTATTGCATGCCACGGTTCTGGTTTGGGGATGGGTCTTGAAAATCAGACTTGTGCAGTACCCTGAGATGGGTCCTGCTCATCATGATCACTAGGTTTAGTTCAACTATACACAACTACAGATGCTATCAACTGTAATCAGGGATAATGATAATTAGAATATTTACTTTGTGGGGTCTTTGGTCTCAGAGAGGATTTCCAGCAGCTCCTCATTGGACAGGAAGAAGAACCGTGGGAAGTAGAGACGCTTCTTCTCCAGGTAGTTATTGAGACCTTTGAGTATCATCTCCAGAAGGTCATTGGATGTTTTCAGCCTCTCTAACATCTTATCGATGGCGATCACTGCCAACACATGCTTATCCTAACACAGACAGGAGAGATAGTGTTAGAGTACAGTATTTTCAATTTACTTCAACAGTAATTTCTGTGGTCTTCCACCGGCATTAGCCATCTCCAACAGCACAAAGTCATGATGGACATATAGTACATTCAAAATACGTTCACCTTTTGACAATTTCAGGTCCGCTCAATTTAAGTTCACACTTCCTGATTAACAGTTTCACAGTGGTAAGTTGAAAACAGCTGATAACAACCCACTGCAGAGTTTTCTCTGAGTTTCCTTGGCCTCTTTGGACCATAAAGTTTTTTCTAATGGAGCACTCAAGATTGCTATCTCCATCCCAAATTTTGCACCATGACTACTACCTCCTTTGCAAAGCCGCCCACATGTATTGCACAAAAGCATTTGCAATATATTGTAACTTTTTGTTCATTGAGGAAACGTGACAGGAAGATGGTTTGTTGCATTCTTTTTTTTTTCCGGCAGTGCATTGCTGTCACTGCTGCCTTGAAGGCAACACTAAAACACTGCAATATCTTCCTTTAGCAACATCCAATCCATGTTCCACAGTGAGGCCCACTTGTCACACAGCACCCTAAAAAAAAATCTATGATGGGACTGTAATAGAGATTTCACCCGAGGCCTGTCTCGCACCTATGAAATATTTCAGCTCTGATATCATCTCATCTATACACTAACTCAATATCCTGTAGGATTGTCACCCCCAGGAAGTGCCTAAATAAAAAAAGTCTATCTAATCTTCAAGGTTGGACGGCAGATGCCTGGACCTGCTCACATGAACACGTTGGCGATTCTAAAAATGAAGCGCACAGCCTGATATCATCCTCTGAATGGAATGAAATAAAATGCAGGAAGGAGCAAAATGCCAAGCTAGTATGGAGCCAAAGTGAAAAACATGGAGTAACATTAAGAACATGCCATCTCTGCCTTTTATTGCTCCTCATGTCAAAAACATGAAAAACTATCTTTGTTCTGATCCCTTCTTAATCATCACCAACCCAGTCTGCCTATGAAGTTTTCATTTACAGACAATTTCACCCTGCCAGAAATAACACCAGTCTTCTGAAAGATGCAACACCTGTCAACATGGTTTCTAGCTTTTGCAAATGGAAACAATATGAGCTGTAAGGGAAACAGCTGATATAGTTGAATAGCTAGCCCACAAAAAGGATGGTGTACTTTCATCTTTGTTTGATGAACAATTTGCCTTGAGCCTGTTTTTGCTGGATGAGAATTTTCACATCTCCTAGCAACATGCAACGTGAAATGTTCAGACAAAACCATCTACGGATCAATAATATGTCTTTACAGAACATAAGTAAAGCTGTGAATCAACAATAAAAAATATGCGGCGCGCTATACAATACAGTAAATTGAGTTAGTATTTTTGCACTCAATGAGTTTTCTGAATGGGTTTCTTTGTTAGATGCCTAACATAAGGTCAGTGGTTAACAGAAACTTAAAGAGATTTTCACACTTTGCTCCACAACATAAAGTACGTCAGTAAATACCTTACTTGTGAAATTTGAGGCTTTTACGTGTCCTAAAAGAAGTGGCTGCTAACAAGCGGCTAAATGGGACTATAGCATGTCATGATGCTGAAAACTGCTTTACAGCCTGGTTATTATGGCAACATTGAAATCATGCGAACGGGATGTCATTGATTTCTGTTGCTGTGATACTCAACTTAAGGCCTGTGGGCCAAATCTGGCCCACAATAGGGTGCTGTGGACCAAATAGAGCTTATCTATCAAACAAAAAGTGCCAGAGAAGGATCCAAGGATCTCCAACAGTAGTCTGGGCTAATTCTTTATATACTAATTATTACTGTTTGTCTATGAACTGGCCCCTGGCCTCCTGTCATTTTGCAAAACTGGCCCCTGGGCAAAGCAAGTTGACTATCCTTATCCTAATGATAGCTTTTTAACTTATGGTGAGTCCATTTAAGCTTCAAAAACCATGACAATGAAGACTCTCTTACCAAACAAAACTTCTAAGTCTGATAAACTTTTGTTTGCCACAGACCCTTTTTTCTGCAATAATGCAATGAAAGAAAATCCCATTGACTTTTTGTCTAAGGAACCATGGCAACACTAACTTCCAGGTTGGCCCTACAAATAAAACATCATCCCTGCACCACTCTATACAATGATGTTATTAAGAAAGAAAAAAGTACACAGCAGGTATTCAATGTCGGGCAGTCTGCATTATCAAAAAATTTACAGAAACATATGCTCTGGAAACATCTATAAGCAATGCTGTTGGAAAAGCAGAAAAAAAGAGGGATGTACGTTATTGCATTGCTTTCACTTGGCACAACTTCTGGTTTTTATCCCGGCAGGACCATTGTCCATTTAAAGGAGGCGCAGCCACTATAAAGTTACGTTTAATCAAGTTGAGATTGAAACCACAACCACAAAGAGTATCTAGAATGGGATAATAATTATTTCTAATTTCTGATGATTTGCTATTGATTTCTCATGATGACTGAAGTGGGAGCTAAAGCTGTTGACTCATGCCAGAGTGAGTTTTCCCCCTCTGGTCTCACCATAATACAAGTGATAAACAAATAGTATGAATGAGAGATTAAAACCATTTAGATCTTTTGATTTTGTGTAACTGAAACTCACTTTAAAAGCTGAATCAAATGATCAAGCTTTGACTTCAGTGCACCAAAGAGTTATACTGGCTAAGGGTGTCTGATTGATGAACTGTGATTCTAGCTTTTCATAGATTTCATCAGGACAATGTAATTACAGGGCTATTTTTATAGAGAGTCTGCCAGCGGGAAGCTATTCATGAGCACACTGAAGGGATAACAATGCTCTAATGCATGTATTATGCACTTGATAATGTGGTTTTTATGCACCAAACAGATGGCTTCAATGAGGGACAGCAATTGTCCACGGCTGATATGGCAAGTCTGCAATCTGTGTGGCGAAAAAACCATAACCTAAGGAGTGTTTTTCTTTGTTTGAATCTGACACACACCACAGATCCAGGACAAATAAGGTTTTGTATGTTCAAGGCACATCCTGCAGAGTATTATATCTGCAAGATTGTGAGTCTAATATTGTGAGTGTGAGTTTAATATTAAGTGAGCTATTTTTACTGGCAATTATTGTGTTATTACGGGGTGAATCCATCAGACTATTAGAAAACAATATGTCAGTCATCTTCTCCATGAGCTCAGATGGCCAAGCGTTTCTCCCTTCCTCAGCTCATTAGAGGGGGCAAAGGTGTGATATGCTGCATAGTTAAAAGAAACAGGTTCAAAGAAATAAGTATTTTAAATTGATTCGGCCCCGTTTTTTCTCCAATTGTGCATGCAGGAGTAGATAAATGACACATTAAAGCAGGCAGAAAATCCAAAAAAAAAAAAAAAAAGTGGCAGAAAATGAAGTTAAGATATGGAGGCTGTAAGGAGCTGGAAGATCAGTGGATCTTGAGCAGCTCCCAGTGGTTGATCTGATGTCAACAGGCAAGAACCCTGAAGTGATATGTGGGAAGGAGAGCTGCACTGTAGCCTGCCTTTTGTTTTTTTTTTTTTTCCCTCACACTGTTCGTTGGTGGTATGGAGTTGAGATGATTCCAATTTCATGCACTGCTGATCAATGCCATGGACGAGATGAAGGGATGTGTTCTTTGTCAAGATGTTGATGCAGTGTACGCCTATACGGAGGGGTGTTTTTCCTGTAACTGGCCTACATGGTATGGGGAATTAGAATCATTAGCTTTACACATTGCAAGGAACTAGTGATTGCAGAAGAAGAGCATAGTGTGAATCATAACTTTGCTTAGAAAAAATATTAATCTGAAGCTGTGTTATTGAACATTTCCAGTTGAAAATATTTAAAAGGTAGATAAATAATGCAAAAATTATAACCAATTTTGTTTGTAAAATCATTTAGACAAATAACAGGCTGAAAACCAACAGTGTTTAAACGTCTGGAGGGCAACTACATGTGGGATGCCCACTATTATCATTTGGGATCATACACAGTGATTTCTCACTACATAAGTTACTTTTTCTGCTAATTTTATGAAGAGAATATTCTACTGGTGACTCTATACATTAAAGTTAGTTATGCAGTGTATTAATCACAAGAGTGAATCATCATCTAGCAGAATGATCTGTATTTAAAGGACACTTCCAGGAAAAAAAAGTAGCCACTTTTCTAGTTTCTGAACCTAGTTTACATTTCTCTCCAACATTCTGTACTGCCCTGTAATAACATACATAAACATTACATAGACAAACCCAGTTTTTAATTAAGTGCTATCCCATCTGCTGAGATACCTTAAAATATGTGGACATGAGAATTAAGTTGTAAAGCAGTATGTTTTGATTTTGTTCTCAAACAGACTTTAAATTATCCTTGCAATGTTTCAACAGATTTGTAGTAAGCAACTCAACTCGAGTCAGGCGTAGAAAAAAAACTCAAATCAAATAAAAGTCTCATAGAGTTATACCCTCAGGTAATTTTCAAATTATTGCAAGTACGTTTCCAGTAGCAGGATAGGTTTTTATGAATCTCTAAATGCTGTGTCCAAATGACCACCGGGGATACTTAAGGAGTATACCAACCTGGTGGAGCTGAAACAATTATTTTATTATGTTCAAGCGGCTCTTGTGTTCACTGCTGAGTCAGATGGCCGAGACAAGGTAGACTACACTACAAGTGATTGTTTTAATAGACTCCCAAATGTTTTAGGGCAGTTTCAGGATGGTGGAAAGTACGTGAGCTCTGAGTCTCACTTTCCATGATTGATAATTATGATCAATAACACTGCACTATCATCTCTCACACAATCTCAGGTAATGGTAAATGTTAAGGCAAGTATGTCTTTCTTGTATTAAATAGTTAGTTCAAACTCCTCTTAATGGTCAACCTTAGTAAGTGGCACTCAGGAATATAACACTGTGGGTGTTTTGATGCTCACATTTACTTTAAATATTGAAATTAAGATGATACACTTATTCTAATGCATAATGATGTTTTTTCCCTTGTTGTGCTCTGTCACCCTGCTTTGAGGGAAAACCATGCTCTCACCCACTCTAACACAACAAGTGGGAGGGCAACAGGTTTTAACTTGCTTTGAAATAAATTAAAAAGGTTTTTGAAGACTATAGAAAGCAAAATAAGTAGAATTTCTCAATGTACGACAAGGATTGGAACACTTGCATGCTACTTTTATCTGTGCAGCTGATCAGTGTTCTGAAATGGTAAGCAGCACTACTAAACAGTAAAGCAGGTTCCTGCCTATTCATCAGGAACAATACTGACAATCTTCAGTGCCCTGAAACTATGTAATTACCATACTAAGGAAGAAAATGGCAACATCAAATAGCGTATTTACTTTCTGATTAAATTCACACAGCAGGTAACAATGAAAAATCCTTCCTGGCTGTCTGAGCCCATTAAGATAACTAAGCAGCTGTGTGGAGGCTCACCAGTTTAACAAAATACAAATACTCAGCAGTAATATCATACATGTTATGAAAAAGTCATTGTTTAGCTGTGCTAAATCATAACTATGCACAATCAATCAATCAATATTAACTCAAATACATGTACTGTAAAAGTGTTCTTAATGCGTTTTAGCTACCAGACACCCTGGCTGGGTTTGCCTGCACACAGCTCTCACCTCTAACGTCAAAACCAAACATGAACGTGGCTGAGCCGAAAAGGCAGCAGCTAGCAGTGCGACCGTCACTAATGGTGCTAGCAACAGCAACAGCAACAGTGCTGACAGAGCCAACAGTGCTAGCGTGTGAGGGAACCCAAGGGTGGTGATTATGTTTCTGTGACGCCATTCCGGGGATGGTCTTGTCAGCAGTAACCGCAGTATGAGCGCAATGCGGAGCGGCGGCAATAAGCTATTCAGTGGGACATTAATGTAAGGACTCACATGCACTCACATGCACACATGGCCAACCCAGCTACCAAAACAAACAACAGAGAAGCTCGGATTACAACACACACAGAGGGAGTGTGACTTCATTGTCTGCTAAGGATGCCATTACTGCCATATTAATATTTATAGTCTCATATATAGAACCTTTAACAAAAGGATTCATGTTTGACGGGGGACTAAAGTACCAGTATTATACATGTTGTCTGATATTTCCATCTTAAAATACTTGAATTAAGTAAAATAAGTATAATGAAATCATCTATTAAATTATACAGCACCAGTAGGCTACCTATTGAGTTAACTTCACTGAGCTTAATACAATCCAGAAACAGGGCCCTATTTTAAGCTGGATAAGCACAAATGCAAGTATAAAAACTACTGTAGCAACATTTGTGCCAACATGCTCCATCACACTGCGTACACAGCTCACAGTAGACCGGACAGTACACGTGCACATCTCTGTGTGTAGGCTCCCAGTCCCTTGGTGACCTCATTTTCTTTGTGGCTCAGTACGGCCCTGCCCCTTCCAGACAAAATCCATAATTTCTATTTGATGGTGCAGTCAGGCTGGGCTTTCTGGAGGACACTGCCTGAAATTGATGTGTCTCATTTCAGGTCTACTGAGGACGCCAATTACCCTTTGGAAACTCTTTGAGGATGCTGGTGCAACACTCCCTTTCTATCCTCGCTCTGTTGTTTCTGTCTTTGCTCTCTCCCCTTTTCCTGCTGATTCCCTCCTCTCTCTGCACTCTCTTTCCCTGCCTGTCTCAACCTAAGTACTCCTTTCTGCTTCTGCTGTATACCTCTGTGCCTCTTGTTCTCCTCTTTATTTCATTCTCAACCTCTGCTGTCACTCTGTGTGTGCATGTTTGTGTGTTTATGTTTAGCCTCATCTGGTCAGTTTATGCTGAGGGCTGAATTTGGTCTAATTATAGTAAAGAACTATATATTTTAAGGGTAACACTGTCTGGTAATATACCAGGCTTAAACTGTGTACTGTACATCATACTTGAATGTAGAGCCACAGGATTTTTGATTTTGTTTCAAGTCATGAGAAGAATCTTTTCAGCTTTAACTTATTTTCTCCCTCTGAGCATTAAAACTAGCTTTGTGCTAACCAGCAAACTTTTTGATCTGGCTTGCAGCATGTTAATATTTCCAACTATTGCTTTTTTCCATTACTGAAATGTGTGATATGGCCAAAGAGGATCATTATCACTCCAGTTTAATAGACATTATTAAAAAATAGCAACCATTCTGAGGAAATGGCTCTGTGCGGTCAATACACTAAATGTGTTCCTGTTCGACCAAGATTTAATTGGCTGGCACGATGCCTTTCTTTCTCTCATTTCTTTTTTTTTGCTTGGGAAGTGTATTCTCATCAAACTATCCAGGCTGTTGCTGTTTAATCAATTAACTTTGAATTGGTGATAACAAATGTTAAAGGTCTAGTATGTCAGAAATATTTAGAGTTAAACCAGTTTTTGTTATTTTCCAAGGGTATTTATTTTCTTCATGGGTGGCAAGCCCTCTTTGTAATGACAGTGACAAGTAGATGAAACTATAACAGGCATATGGTTGACCACTGTAAAGCACTGTGACTGCCCATAGCAACAGTCCTAGATACGACTTTTTTTCCAACCACAAACTTAGATGTCTCGATGCACAGCAATTTGGGGCTGAGTTTGATTCTTTAAGTTCAACTTCATAGACTGCACTGAAATGTACATTTTTGCAAACTTAATTCCATTCATGGTCATTTTTGACACATCTGTTTTGATATACTGGAGTTCCCCTTACAGCTCTCAGTAACCAAATACAATGCTCTTATCTTGGCCATATCTGCCCTGGAAAAAAAGATCTGTCTGATTCCTCTTTTTAGATAATGATCGTCTACTGATCCACCTAGGGAGAAGCTTATCTTCTTGCTCATGCCCCTCCACACAGAGTTCTGTGTATTAAACATGGTCTCCCTTATCTTTACAGAATTCTGCTGCAATAATAAAATCTCAACAAAACAAAAATATATCAAACAACTTACCAGTGAAACTTGTTTCATGGTGTCCCTCCAGGTTTTGTCAACATTTGAGAAACGGCGACCCTCCTCAGGCATCTGACTCATGATGTCAGGGGAGCTGAATATGGGCTCCAGGTAGAGCCAAGTGGACTGCACCTTTAACCATTCATCCAGGATTTCTTGGAGGAGCAACAACTTGCCCTCCCATTCCCTATATGAGAAGATGAGTACATGTAAGTGGGATAAGAGGGGGCATAACTACATCCGATTATGATCACATCATTATGTGTATTGGTGTTAACGGGGGGAACTTCCGTCATCCTGGTTTTGATGGTGCTGTTGTGTGTTGTGTTCAAAGGCACTTTGAAATCTGATTTGAGTGTCCAGATGGCCCTCACTGAATGCATCTGTAGAAGTCTGATTGGAATCGCATTTCAAACTGTTTCCAAATGTGGTTTGGATCAGATTTGCAAAAATACCATTTCATGTGTCTCATGTGTGTGGTTTTTTTTTTCAATTGGATTCATTCTGGATAAACCATTTGGGTCAGCAGTCCGAACAAGGGCTACGAGACCTGTAAAAGCAACCAAGTTGCAAACACCTCGGGTACAGACTTACAAAAAAGACAACTGTAAACACCTTTAACGAATATTACTTCGCTAGGTTTACAAAATAATTTGCCACTTTTTGGGGAAGGACAAGAAGTCCACAGTGAACCAATCAAAATGATGACAGCTCAAAGGTAAAAGGGATTAGGAAATCCAAGATGTGTATTTATATTATCTTGCATTTAAAGGCAGGCATCCTCTAAATGAATGATTAGTACACTCAGTATAAAAGGTAGTTGGGATTGTCTCTAGGAGAAACTTGTACAATGCACTACTTACAGACAGATTTCTTAATCCTCACTGTGGTATTATCCTCTCCCACCCACAAAGCTGGATAATGGCATTATGAAATACTTATGTGATATTGCAAAAAAAAGTTCATAAAAAACTTTACAGTAGCTGCTTTAGCATCCTGCCAAATATGGCACAATACATTTTTAAAAGCTGCAGGGAACCTGTGTCAAACTGTGCCTGGCAGCAGCACAGTATTGCAATAATCTCACAAATTACAGAGGATAGAGAAATTTCATCATTTACTGAACTCAGAGGCAGATGAAAACAGAATAGTAATGAATGATTTATGCATGATGCTCAGTTGTTGTTTTTCAATTTTCACAAAGAATATCTTAACTACAAATCTGAGACAGACAAACACTTTGTTTCTTCAGCTTCAGATAAAGTAGTCAGATATTTGTCGTACGCAATATTTCAGTCTGTGTGTCCTGTCCACAAGCAGAGCATCCATAAAACACACATATCAAGAGTGTTTTACCAAACACTGCAACATCATCCAGCACAAACAGGAGATAACAGAACTGAACGAGTGAACATTACATTGGGGCATCATTAGCCAAATGTGTCAATTTACCACCAAAGTGAACTTTAGCTTCTAACTTGCCGTACCATGTGTACTTACTTCATAACATTAGTGAATTGCTCTTTCAAAAAAGCTAAATAATTCTCAGCCAAATCTCATTTCTTACCGTATCTCCACCTCGAAAGGCTTGATGAAGGGTGAGCCCCTCATGGTTTGTGTCTTCACAATGTGATCGTCCAGCAGCATCTGCACTTCATCCACAGATGACAGGATGGAGGTGCCCGTCTCTCGGTAGGCCAGGAGGCTGAATTCTATGTCACCCCATTCACTGGCCATTTTCTCCATGGCCTTCTCCAGGGAGTACTCCTTGCTGGCCGCCTCACTGATGCCCTCAAAGCTGCTCAGGTGCTTTTCCAGGTGCATGGATAGGTAGTTAGCCACACAGGCCTGGTCATCAGCTGGGTGCAGGGAGATGCCGGCCACCTCCGTCATGGCATCCCAGTGCCTGTTACATAGCCCTGGGTTGCATAGTACCTATGAAGGAGGAGTTGTACAAAAAATAGTATTAAGTATTTGAAATTAAAGTTACTTTGACTCCTATAGATACTAAATCTTTCTGGTTGGGTCTCACCTGTACCAAAGGAATGTGCTCCTTGAAGTCCTCCACCTTAGTCTTCATAGTGGTGGCAATGCTCAGGGCTTTGGGTACATCACTGAAGCCTTTCTCCAGCTTATACAGAGTACGCCAGTAGTTACCAACATCCCCTTCTACCTATATGGGTGGGTTTTTGCATTACAAAGACACCAGAAAAAAACAGATAAACTATCGGTTTGTAATTGTCTATTACACCAAAAAGTTTGTTTGTCATTGTCTTTATGTTTTTGTAAATATACAGTCACTCAATTCTAATGTAACTCACTATAATGTGTATAAATCAAATTCACTACTTCTTTAATTTAATAGAAACTATTATAGAAACAAACATATGAGAATTGGTGAAACAGACCATTTTGCTACAATAATAATGAAAGCAACTTAAACAATTGTGAAATTGTTGGCAGTGCATGCTTATGGTTATTGGAGGAACAAGGTGGTTGCTAGGAGGTTCTTATGGTGTTTATCATGGTCACTTCGGAGACAGAATGCATTTAAGTCATGCCCCCGCCAGAGGGGAGAACAATTCATTGCTCTCCACTGACTTTCTATTTCAAGGAGGTGCCTCCTTGTCATTAACATCCACTAGTAAACAACATGTAGTATAGTGGGACGCGCTACCAACATGGTAAAGAACCCATATCTGAGTTTTAACAAGCTGCTAAACCAAGAAACCAGACGCTAGCTACAGGCAGCCCTTAGTTGCATACTGTCTTCCCCTTCGTGGCGTGGTTTTAGAGTATGACACTTTGTGCCCTGTCTATGCTGAGTGGTTACTGAGGTAAAATATGTGTTTGTAGTAGTGTCAAAGGTACTATTGTTAGTAACTGTAGTAAAGGCAGCTGTACTGTTAGTGGCACTGATAGTCACAGAGGTAATACTGTCAGTTATAGCAGCAGTAATATCACATGGGTATGAAGTTAATGGAGGAAGTGCAGTTACCACTGACAGCAAAGGACAAGTAAGGACATGTAAGGAGCATTGCTCTAAAGAGACCTCTCTAATCTGTCAAATGAAAACACCTGTGTCTTTGTACTACGAAGCTTTGATATGCAGACCCTGGGAGAATGAGGGGTGACACAGTTGGGATAGGCAGTTGTATGAGCAAAGATGGGTGCTTAGACCAAAATGAGTACCATATGCCTTTTTCATAGTAGCCATGTCACACTAATATGTAAATAATAGTGTAAAAGGCAGACCCAGGTGTACTTAATAACAATGATAGTATCACCAGTGCAGTTACACACTGCTGCACTGTAACTGCACTGATATTTTACTCTCCTTTTTATTATTCACTTTTAACTCATTTTGATCTTTTATTTCATTTTACTTAATCCTGTTAATATGAGATCTTTTATACTCCCATGTGTTTCTCTAATATCTTGTCTTAATGACTTTTTTTTTGTTAAAAGATGCTGAAGAGAAAAAAAAAACCTCACTCTGCCTAGCAGCTGCTATAAAAAGAGCCAGTCAGAGCTGCTTTAACACATCAATATAGACAGAAACGGAGATGTCAATCAAACAGTGGGGCGCAGGCCACTGGAGCACACGAGTGTGTTTGTGAATTTTTATCCACACGTACACGTCAATGTCTCTCACAAGCGATAGCACATTTTACATAAATGCAATGTGGACAAAGCAAATCAAAGCAAAAAGACTGATATGCCATATGACTGATTTATGAGATACAGTATGTTTGAAGACTGAAATCCATAAATGCCTGTGTAGGTGTATGTGTGAAACAGTGTGCAAGAGAGGCAGCTTTTTATATCCTGTAGCGTTATGGTGAATGAAACCTGAACAGCTGAAGGTTTAACGGAATGGAGGGAGAGCTTTCAAAGCATACAGATTTTTAAACAAAGCATTATTCTCAGATTCCTCTGTTACTGCTGACAATCACATTTTATCTATGGGCTTCTGCACCCACCATGGCCACACCAACTCTAATAGAATATCTTACTGCAGAACAGTTTTACCCTTGCTTTCACACCATGGAAGAGCTGAGCCCTTGTATAACACAAGTAGACCTGGCCACATCCCAGTGCTCACAGTTCAGAACTTGTATGATAGCATTTTTAACGGCACTGAAGCTATAATGAAGGTATTCATTGTTAAGTGCCTGATAGTTTGATGACTACACTCACATAACAAAGGAATTTCCAAATTCTGGTACCTTGTCTGGGTTCACACCCGAGAGCGGTCCATGCAGCCACTGCTCGTACTGGTTCAGGAAATCAGTGGCCGTCTCATAGAGGCGCAGGAAGGGTGTGAGCTTGTCCTGGATCGTCTTACGCTGTGGGTACTGGGAAACAGACCAGCCGTAGGCCTCCTCCTCTAGATTGAAATCATTTATCTGTCCAGAGTGACATTAAGGTTGAAAGAGATTTACAGATGGAAAGATTGAAAGGAGAAAGAAATCAACAAAGAAAACAAATAAAAGACAGAAGGATAAACAGATGATTGTCAAGGTATGATGACAAAAATCTTTCAAGCCTCTTACAACTCCTGTGACTAAGTTATTTTTACAGCCAATGCTGCCCTCTACAGGTAAAATATTGGAAAGCACATACTGTAATGCAACTTCAAATACAAAGCAATAAACCACTATAAATGTGTTACTTTCAATCACAAGAAGAAGAATAAGTAGAAGATGAAGAAGATATACTTAATTAATCCCTGAGGGGAAAATGTATTTTTTTACTCTGTCATCATATACGCACAGACCCAAAATACACACACATGTACACACACTATACGTACATGCATTAAATAGAGAAATGTCAAAATGAAGGTGTTGCCTTGGACAGGTGCCATGAGCAGTTTCAAGTTCAGTGCCTTGCTCAAGAATACCATGGCAGTGTCCAGGAGGTGAGCTGGCAACTCTCCAGCTACCAGTACACGCTCCATACTTGGGACATACAGGGACTAGAGCTGGCGACCCCTCAGTTTCCAGGCCAGGTCCCTATGGACTGAGCTACTGCTGCCCCCAGAGGCATGTCTATCCATGACCTCTGCTCTTTAACATAATTTGTAAAGTACTTTTAAAATCAAAGATTATACTCAGCTTTGAATAACACTGCAACAGCTGATCTTCCACACCTGTGTAAGGTGCCCTTTCACTGATACCTATATTTTTAAGCACAGAAATCATGATGTACCTTTTCCATGGCTAACTCCAGTTTAGCATTGAGGGCCTGGGATTTCTTCAAGTACATGCTGAGATCCGTCAGCTCACCAAAGTTGATAAACTCCTCCACCTGTACGCTGTAGCTCTCCAGTTCTTCCTCAAAGCGTTGACGGCACAACTGGAATGCACATACAGAAATGCCCTCAATAACAGCTTTTCATTTTACATTAACTATTTAGATTTGCAAAATCTAAATAGTAAAAATGCAGTAAAAAAAACAGATCCTTGTCAACAGATCAATAGTTTCAAAGACAGAGTAGAAACACAGACCTTAAGTCCGCTCTGATATTGCTCTGTCTTTTCAGCAACAATCTGTCGGGATTCCTTAAAGATGGATGGCATGCGCTGAAACCACTGGATGGTTTGTGTGTTGAGCTCCATGTCCAGTGGTGAGAGGGTGACAAAGTCCATCAGGGAACACAACTGTCTGTTGGACTCTGCCAATCTTTGCTCCAACAGAGGCATCTCTTCAGTCTGCACCTTATTCATGAAGGCCTGGATGGGGAGGACAGGACATCAACGACCACTTCACCCATATGGCAAAACTTGTACTTAAAAGTATTCAATTGCTGCGACTACCTCAGCCCAGTTACCATCAAAAGTCAGTTTGCAGGTGTGAACAAAAACATTTATCTGTTATTACTGACTGGAATTTTATTTTTTTTAGATATTATTTTGTTGGAATCTCTGCGCTACCAGGTGAGCCAGGTGAGGTGTGAGGGACAGTTGTACACAGAATAAAACCCTGCGCCAAGCCGGGCTGTGTGACAAGAATTTGGGTTAGTTACTTTAAGCTCCATCAGTTTCTGTGTGTCAGGTGGGGTTCTCAGTGCCTTCTCCGCAATCTTCTCAAATTCATTACAGAGCCTGTGAGAGGAAAAGCATTAATTCAGTGACATATACAAAGGGTTTTACAGACTTACAATCTCATTATGGAACAGCTTGGAGCTAAGAGGCTCCATTGGGATAGAGTCGTTGGGTCCTAAACCAAAATGGTACAACTGTATATTCCCTTTGACTGGCACCTTGTTAATCAGAGAATTTCATCAAACGTGAAATTTAATCGATCTAATAATGATCTGATTCTGAAAAATTAACAATGTGTTGTCTCCTGCTACATTTGAGCTATCAGTAGAATGATGCATTTTGAAAGCATGTTACAATGACAGTTCAATGGTGTTCATTATGTCTTTAGTTTCTGATAATGACTTTAGTTGTTCTTTTATCTCAGACATGTTAGGATGTTACATACCTTGACATGTTTCGGCAGAAACTTCTGCCGTCCTCAGAAGTGTCACTTGATGGTGGTTGTGACGCGTCTTTATCAGCTGATCTGTCAATCAGCCGATATTAGATGATGATGAACAGGGACAAGGGGGCATACATGCTCTCCCACACCTGGAGCAGTGTCCTGGAGAGGCGGCAGGTGGACAGCAGGTGGCGTGACCCGTCAGGCCTCCCTAATATCAGCTGATTGACGGATCAGCTGATAAAGACGCGTCACAACCACCACCAAGTGACACTTCTGAGGAAGGCAGAAGTTTCTGCCGAAACATGTCAAGGTATGTAACATCCTAACATGTCTGAGATAAAAGAACAACTAAAGTCATTATGTTACAATGACATTCATTAGCAAACAAAATATAACTGCTTTATAGGGCAGGCATCCTGGGGTCTGGAAGAAGAGTGTTGTGGCAACATTGGTAAATCAACAGGCAAAGTGAGGTATTATCCAGTTATATTCAATGGGTTTATACATTTCATAGGCTATGCAATGCTGTTAGAGAATATGCATGTGTGAGCTTTGATTGAGGAAAAAATGCATCTGGTATTGTCCAATATAAGTTTTTATATTTTTTTTTTAAGGAAAGTGCTTACAATTTGAAGTCTGAAATCTCAAGATTTGCTATGCATATTTCAGCTGTCAAAACAAAAATTCCCATCAACTGTTTTTTCTTTTTAACGATAACTTGTTTCAGCTGCAATTTGCCATTTCTGTGTGGCAGTGGAGAGAAAACAGCAAACCAACTGACTTCTTGTTGATTCCCTGATGGTCCTGTAGCATCCGTGTAACCAGTTTCTGCTGTAGCTCCTGAGCACGCTTGACGAGAGACTGGACAAGCTTATGGGACTGAACCTCAAACATGCCAAAACGGACCACCTAAAGCCCAGAGTATTGGTCAGAAATACAATTAACATCATACAAGACATGGCTTCCAAACAAGCACTGACACTCATAGGAAATCATCAAGATTTGAAGACTGTTGCTTTTGAGATTTTCAGATTGTTTAGTTTTCAGGATTTAATAGTAAGTTATTATTGATAATGACTATTATTTGAAAACAAAGAAACATTGCAATGTCATTGTCATCACCAGCAGCTGTCTCAACTATAAAAGTAATATTTAACTTTTATAGCCATCACATTGTCATTTCTGGTGACCACCATCAAATACCTTGCATGTTGTGTACTGGATCTGGTCAGCAAGCTGCTGGTAGTGTACCACCTCCGCCACGATCTCCTCGAAAGATTGTCCCTCGCTGAGGAATTGCTCCACATCCTCCTCTGCCTGCCTGGATACCAGTGTGGCGTATTTATCATACTCGCGTACATACTCCTTGGGCCTGTCACACTCAGTCAAGAACATGCCGTGCACCTCCTCCTGGTGGGCCTCAAGGATCTCTGGCAGAATTATGGGCTTTAGGGTGCTTCCAAACTGGGAGCCTTGCTAGGAAGACACAAAGTAGACAAAAACGTATGCAGAAAACTACATGCCTCAACTTGATGACCACGCACTGTAATTTTAACATACAGAACTGTGGAAAAAAACAATAACTGCCATAACATACAGTTCTAGGGTTGGGTCGGTTCTCGGTAATACCAGTTCGGTCCGGTACTCCGTCTTGGACCAGGTTTTATTTTTTGAGACCGACCGGACCGCATACTCGGGCAGAACGTACACGGAGCGGACGCCACGGAGGTCCACCTGGTAAAAGTGGACGTACGCAAGCCCTGTGCGCGCAAAGCATGACCGCGCGGACTCCGCTCCGCGCACCAGTGTCACACAAAAGACTGATCGGCATGTATTTTTCACATTGCGGGGATTTTTCACAGACATTTTTACACGGAGTCCGCTCCGCTTATAGTACGCCCGAGTCTGTGAGCACCTGTGTCTGCCTCTTCACCAAGCGCACAGCAAGCAGGAGAGAGAGGGGGGTGGGGCGGGGACTGAGCTAGGAGGTGCGAGTGCTCTACTGTAGCCTGGAGTTTGTTTAATAGTGACGGGGAGTCGATAATGGCGGACAATTTAGTCTCGACGAAATCAAAGAATGCGCCACTATGGCAACACTTTGGCTTTGAGCCAGACGAAGGAGGCAACCCTTGTTTGCACTGATTGACTAAGCTGCAAAATTTATTTGTAAGGAATAAAAGAAACAACTTGTTACTGTCACTCTGTTGTCGTAAGGTCGTTTTTTATTTTAAATGAGTCAACTGGGCCCCCAAGTGGCGAAAATCTGGTATTACCGACTTGATGCGGTTTTTTACAAAAACCGGACCGTTTTTTTTTTTTTTTCATACCGACCCAACCCTATTAGTTGCCAATTTGATAGGTACACCCATTGAAAACTAAAGCAGTCTAATACAACAGTACAGCAATAAATCTTACCTACATGAAGTTTGTTGAGGTGTTGTTTCATCTTTATTATCGTGTAGAAGGCTACAGTGTGTTGTTCTGTTGAACTGAAATGTGTTACATGACGTTACACTGGGTTTCTATTATCTTGTCAACTCCTTTTATATCAGTGAGGGTAGGCTAAATAAGAGAAACACCTCCCATGATTATCTCTCTTTGATCATCCTCCAAAAAGGATCATAAAGTTGAATCAATGCCAAAAACTAAACATGACAATGAAAGGAAGGAGGGATTTTTTGCACTAATTACACACTGACTGTTGTGTTACTGCATTAGTTTCAGCTAGGTGTACCTAATGAACTGGCAACAAACACACACACACACACACACACACACACACACACATTTTTCTTCTTACCCACTCCAAGTACAGTTTGGTTTCCACTCGAGGAACCGTGCTGATGGACCTGAGCATGAGCTCATAGACGTTAAGGAGGGCCTCCTCATATAATTTGAGTTCGGGCTCAAACTTGATCTCCCTGTCCTCCAGGATCAGATGTATCACAAAGCCTGGGTGCTCATAGACTCGCTCTGACTGCTAAGATGGTGGAAAGTAAAATAAAACATGGCAGAAAAAGACAGCAACTTTTAGTGTCCACCTGCTTATTATGTATACCTGCTAATCTGTTATTGAAATAACTTTTTCCAGCCTGGGACGTTCAACTCTTCTGAAATATATTGGCCTAAAGTTTGTAAACTTTCTCTTACCGGGTCCTGGGAAATAAGGCGTGTGTAGTCCCTCATTGAGTTTAATGCAAGGTTCTGCAGCTGGGAGGTCATCAGTGTAGCTGCACAGTTGAAGAAAGACAGCAGTTTGGCCATGTTGCTGGAGGCAGGTACCAGCTCGCTCCTGCACCCCTGGAAGTAAATGTCGTGCACTTTGGGAAGCCAACTAGTGTAGAAAAAGCAAAATCCAATGCAAGATTATATTCAGAGAATTTTTTATGTATTTCATGAAAAGAAATGTAACTACAGGTGCAAATATCAGACAGCCAAATAATGGAATAAAAACTCAAAATTTAAATGATATTAATGTGGAAAATGGGGCAGGGGAGAACACTGTAATGAGTGGCTTGTTAGTTTGGAGTTGGAATGAGAAGTGTTAAGCCGTCTCTTTGCACATAATTACTATAATTCATTCGACGAACTAGTGCTGCCAATCCACACTAATGACTCCTCTGTTACCTGAATGGCTACTGATTTCAAGTTTCTAAAGAAGCAAAGCCAGCCCAGCTCTTGCTGGGAGTCCATGGAGCTTTAGTCTCGCCACCAGACAATCAGAGATCTCTGCCTTCTGATAGTCTGGGGACACTCCTTTCTCAAGTGTGTTTAACACACCGGCAAAAACGGCCAGCAACAAAGCAACGCCTCTTGCATTTTTGAAAAGGACACGCCTTCTCGGAAATGTGCACACCACCTTTTCTCGTCCGCAAGGAAACAAACACACAGAGAGCTTGAAAATGGATACCGAGAGATTTAACTCCGTTTTATCAAACGTGTGCTCATCCGTGAAGAAAATATTTTTTCTAGCGGATGTCTTAGTTACAACATTATTGAGCTAACTGGAGTAGTTTCATGTCGTATCCGACAACGGGAGGCTTTTAACAGATGACGTCCTGATGTTAGCTTTGCTGCTAGTGTTAGCTGTCCCTGTCAGCTGCAGCCACTGATGCTTTCTAGACATCGTGATTTCCCAAAACTGAATAAATACCACACATAGCAACACAAAACTGCTTTGCTAGCTCAATCATGTTGTAACTAAGATATCCGCTGGAAAAGATATTTTTTTCACGGACCGTTTAATGAGTTATTACCTATTACAGACACTGCTAACAGCTAACAGGGCTAACAGCTAACGGTTAGCCCAGCTAAACGTGCACACAGAAAAAGTAATGTTTGTTCAATCATTGTGTTTATAGACTTTACAAACATCGGATTAGTCCAAACGGTGATACAGTGATGTGAAAAATGTGATATATAGGCTATATATATATAGCTAAAAGCTCTGCTGGTTTTCTACCCAGAAGTATTTATAAACAACAAGGCGATTCCCTCTATAGTCCGGCCAGACGGATGAGTCATGGCCTTGTAAAAGATTATGTTTGTTTCTTTTAGTTGGTGAGAATATTTCGCCGCAAACGCAACAAACACCCACTAGCACGGCTGAGCCATTTTGTACCACTACACGTGTTTCTAGTGGGACTATGTTTACAAGCACAAGAGTTCAGCGAGCCACCGAAGGACCGCCCTGCGGATTTACTATTGGTTCTGCAACGTAGGGAGTTTTTTTAAACTCTGAAATTGTATCCGCCTATCTAAACACAAAATCAGGGAGAAAGTCATCAGTCTTTAGTTAAGCAAAGCATCTAAAGACTGACTTGTGAGTCTAATGGAGCTTGGACAAATTCAATGTGGCACCACCTCACCTGAGTCAGTTTGTATTTGGTGGAGTTCTGCATACAAGACTGTGTATCACTTAATAAGTTTGGGTAGAATTTGCAAGTAATCAGCTTCTGGATTTTCAAAAACATTTGGAGGTTGTGCATTCCCTGATGTAAAAGCTTCCTATGGCTACCACTTGATGTTACTACTAAAAAGCCACATTTTACAGATGGCAACTTAAAGATGTCTTAGTTATATAGCTTATAGTCCTCCTGGGGCCTCATTACAGAAACTTCTAACTCTGAAATTCTATCTTATCTTAGTTTAGGATCACTTTTAGGATTTCTGCTATTACACAAACATGCATATAGGAAAAAGTCATTTGTTGACAGGGGTTTAGCTATTACAGAGCTGTCCTAATTTAGGGATTTCCAAAGTTAGGAAACCAAAGTTAAGATGGCATTAGACCCTGTCCTAAATTCAAAGTAACTGCCAAGTAACCTCCAAAAATGACAGCAGCACTGTGGTTAGGTCTGTACTCCAATGACAATGAAGGCGAGAACAACATGAACTCCCGTTCTTTGTTTAGTCCATGATAGCAAGCCAGCTAGCCAGTGACAAGTGAGAGGTGTTCATATTATGACTTGTCCAACTCGAATAGCCGACCGGTACACTCTAATGAAAGATACAGGCGGTCTGTGTACATTCTAAACATGGATACAAGCATGACAGGAGGTGTGCCCACTGAAGAATCAAATTTACAGTTATATTTAGGATTTCTTAAGGTAAGACAGGAGGTCTGAGATACGACAGAATGCATCCATGAGTTTAGGAATTTCTCCTGTAACAAGAGAAGTGGTTATTTTTCCGCAATGAGGTCTCTAAACCACAAAAATACAATGCATCAATATTAGAACTGCTATTGCTCTTCAAAGATGACATTATGTTTCTGTGTATTCAAAAGTACTCCTGATTGTAAAAAAGAGCACAGGTATATTGGTGAGAAGTAATAACGGAGACTCACTGTTTGAGGAGGATTCCTCTGGCATTGTCAACGTGTCTGGCGACAGTTTGCTGAAACACAGAGAGCTCCATGGACTCCTTTCTGCTGTGGAACTCCTCTACATCTATCAGACGGAGATCCCTGCAACCATGTCATCAAAGAGGGTGAGATGATGGGCAAACATGGTTCTACTACAGCAACAATAATTTCAGAGGTGCATGACACTGGAAAATATTGTTGAATCAGGAAACTTAAAAATCTTAGATGGTCCTCTAACAGTTTTCTGTTACTGTAAACTTTGTTATTGTTCTTTTAAAAAAATGTGTCCATGCCATCAAAGCAGCAACAATTATTTGCAAAAACTGCTCACTGTAAAAGTTCTGGAGAAAAATTTCCTATACATCTTAAAAACCAGGAAAACTATTTCTCGTAAAAACAGGATATTATTTATACGTTATACTGCAAGTCTTTACTATTTTTTCACCATCTTTACTGTGTAAATATCGTCATTTGCACCAGAAAAGGTGCTTTCAACTGCTGATTTGTTATGACACTAGTGTAATATATATGCACTATATTTGGTGAATACAATTTAGAGGAACATTTAATTATGTATAATAGCGCGCCATGTTAAGTAATACAAAGTTTATTGCCTTCACAATATTTGGGTCACATACTACTGTCTACTTGTCACATGGTGTGTGTCTGACTTTTTAATTAAGTATTACAGAATAAAAGACAATAAAATATTGTACACAGTACAGTATGTTTTTTCCCCTTCATATTAACTGCAATCTTTTAAGAGTTTTAACTGGAATTACAAAAGGTAACGCAGTGTACTTACTTGTAAAAGTCATGCCAAATGTACATAACCTTCACCATAGTGGGGTTGATTGAGTGAAGCTTAACTCTCATCCTCTTTCGCGCATGGACAAAGGCTTCGTTCCATGGTTTTGGCACTACCTCCAACCTAACAGTGAAGACAGTACAGTGAATGTAAAGAACGAACTTCTTCTTTTTCGCTCTCGCAGAATTTATAATTCAGAATTTTAAAGCCTTCCAGTGACTGCTTAATAAAATCGGAAAACAAGGAATCTCTATGTGACCTGATCATGAGAGCAATGCTACACAGTTTAAGTAAGCAGGGGCACTTTATCCTTCTCTGAAGATAAACATGCTATATCTTCGGTCACTTCCTGCTGTCTTACTCAAGTCTGTGAGGGGGCGGATCTTCCTCTTCTTCCTCGTCATTTTCCCCTAAACCTCTGAATGTATATTTCACTGCAATCACAAACAAATGACATTGAAACAAACTATATCTTATTACCAGATTCATATGCATTACAAATCATCCAATCATACAGTTGGTAACAATGATAATACAATACTACTAGTTCATATGACTTAGAGTATAAATGAATAGATACAGATTGCTGTCTTGACACTGAGCAGGTAGTCCTCCTTAATCTCATCAACCAGCAGCTCCAGGGGTGTGCTCGGGCTCTTCAGGTGGTGAGGTATCAGTTTCTGAATGTTCCCAAGCCGAGAGTCCTCAAGAGGAGCCACATTCTCCAGGTCTATCCCGTGCTGGATGTAGTAATCATATCTCTGACAGGACAGAATATTACAGGCTATTTTCAGTAGAAGCATTTTAAGCAAACAATGCTTGACATGAATTTTATTATTTTGGTGGCAGTGTTGATGACTCAATAATGGAAAAATATTTACATCCAGGACTTGCTGAGAGTAAGTTTCAGTTTTTGTTGAGCATGATTCAGGTTGTGAACATTCCTTTTCCGATGGCCAATGCTGACTTAATTTTCCACGCAGTGTATCTGAGCTGAGGCTTTATTTTTCATTGAGTGCTAAGATTCATGAGTCAACTGTACCACTGTACGTAAAAACGCTAAAATTAAAAAACAGTTTACATTGCTTTATTGTTTGGCCTTACTACAAGCAAGAATTAAAAAATAAAAAAAATTAAAATTAAAAATATATTTGTACGTAAGCTGTACTACGAAAGATATACCTAGCAACTGCAACCACTGAGACTGACAAAACAAAACAGTGGTTAAAAGGCTACCATATCTAGTTTCTTGAAAAGATTATCTGAAAGTATGTCTGGAAAAATGTCTTCACTATGGGCACATGGACAACAGAAGAGGGCCTATGATATTATATATGGTATTGAGTGTGTATTGCGCTTTACCATTTCACGATTACTCTTTGTTGTAGATTCAGAAGAGTCCTCTTCCTCCTGCTGGCTACGAAGGAGAAAAACAAAAAACAAAAAACAAAATAGGAGTCTCAGAGTTGCTACTTCATTAAAATTATTTCCTATCCTAGGCAGTGCACTGTAGCAAAGGTGGAATGGTTTACAGGTAAAATTGCCTTGACACTTTATCATAACAAACAATTTTTAACATTGAATTCTAGTTAAGTTATTCCTGTCCTTCCTGTGCTTCCAATCCATGCAGAGAACACACTGATGAAAAGATGGACAAATGCATAAATAAAAATGTCATGATAAGAAAAGAATTAAGCTTTATAGAGTGACTCACCATATGAATTTAACCAGAGTTTCACGGAGATTCTTGCGCCTTTTACTGAGTTGTGTACGGGTGCTGCTGTGATGCTTGTAGGTCCCATGGAGCCGCACTGCCTTCCTGCCCTGGAGCAGGTTCTGGCCTCTGTCATAACTGTGACCTGGTCTACTGTCTGCACCTTCAGTCAGCCCATCTCCTACAGCACACACAGAGCAAACAGTTCAAACAGAATGACCATAGTCCTTACAAATTCTTATAAATGCATCAGTATCAGTTCGTATAACTGTGATGTTTGAGTTGGTATAAGTCAATATCTTTTATCTGACTGAAACTTGTTAGCAACTTAAATCTTTTAACAATTAACTCACTTTGTAGAGCCGTGTCTGTTCCTTGAGGTTTGTGTAGGGGATACAGGGAAAATGAAGGTTTTGTGTCCATCCATGGCTGCTTTCTGTGGACCTGGACAATGGAGTTAAGTATTGGGTTGGTGCTGTTTGACACAAATTAGGCTGTTTGAGAGGCGTTTGGCTAACAAAGTGTGCAACCGAACAATTTGGAAAATGGCAATATAAGAGTAATACGGGCAAGACACTAAGGTTTTTTAATTATAATGTCAAGTGTCCACATTTGGCTATACAATAACTGAAAACTGTTAGCTTAATGGTCAGTTAAGCTAACGTTAACTAAGTCAGAAGTTGAAGCGTTAAATCACTACGACATTTTCCAACTGACAGTGCCCGTAGTGTTCTCTAAACTTACCTGTGGTGGAATTGGCGGTAACAAATCTAGACTATCAGTAATATTTGTTTTCTTTCTGACTGAACTCATGTTGGTACTTGTGCAAAGTTATCATAAGCTAACGCCAGCTCTTCAACAAACCCCTTGTGCCGTTGCTAGGGCCGTTGCTAAGGAAGCAACGGTAAACTCGCGTGACCTCCTTTAGCAGTCGTAGCACCAGCACGCGTTAACCGTTAATCCCATCGGTCACAATAGTGACTGCAAAGACAGTTTTCAGTTTTAAGGCTCTGAAAATGTCACTGAATAATGTATTAATGCATTCCCAGCAAATATTAACATAATAAAGCGTCTCAATGGAAATATGTGCAGTGTCACGATTAGTGTCACATTCCCAGAGCTGTATACTTCCTGGTTGCACCATGAGAGGAGTATGGCTGCATTAAATTAAAGCTCCCAAACTATAAGTTAGTTAAGTATGTTAACATCAAGATAGGACAGAGATTTTTTGTACACAACATCTTTAAAGTGTCTGATATTGATAGGTGCAGTTCAGATGTTACACTAAAGTTTCAATATTAATGTTTCAATACATGTTACACTAAAATAACAATGTTACACTGTATGCCCATAAAGTCACAATGTTGAAATTCATTGGTGGTTGTTTTTGACCTTTGCTCTCGGCATTCATACTGATGTTGTACAGTATGAAGGTTTTTGATATGACAAGGCAACTTTATTTGTAAAGCACATTTCATACACCAGTGCTTTACATAGTCATAAAATATAATAAAGTATGCAGATTTACACTAAATGAGCACAGAGGAAAAAGAAAAGATAAAATTAATAACTAAATGATTTTCAATTTAAAAAAATCACCATTAAAACAGCAAAAATGCAGATAATAGTTGCAAAGATAAAAAAGATTATTTAAAATGAGTTGGGGCTTGTCTAACATCATCTAGAAGGTTATTCCAGGTTTGTGCTGCATGATAACAAAACCCTGCTTCACCATGTTTTTGTTCTAACTCTTAGGAGGTCTAGGGCGGCCCCAGATGTCCTCAGGGTTCATATGTCACAGGCATGTCAGAGATTTGGGTGTTTGAAATCAATTTTAGATATGTAAAGTAGTCACACTGAAATGCGATAGAGCATTCTAGTGGCAATCAGATTTTTTGTTTGTTAATGTGTGACCTTGGCGTTTAGTTCACATTAAACAAAATCACACAGTAACACAAACTAATTAACCGATCGGAGCAGCAGAAGACCAGCAGCTCCTGTGTTCAGCAAGCTAAAATTACTGTTTTTGTCAACAGTCTGGTAGCTTTGATGAGAACATAGGCCTGGATAGGGACATGAAGCAGTTAACAGTTCTGTCCACAGTGCAGGTGATGTACATTACCTTTTCCGTCAGCTGTCTGATGGAAAGTTAAGCACTGAAAATACTTTAAATATAGCAGACACTAAAACTGATATGTTTTTTTTTTTTATTTAGGACTTTCTAGTGGCAAAAATATGTTTTGTCGCTGACCCCCATCCACACAGCAATACATTGCTTATCTTTCATGTCTGACTCCAGTCTGCTTCTCCAAACTGGGGGACGTGCATCACTGACATCTACTGTATGCAATACACTGAATATGGATAAGTATCCCGTACAACCACACTTCAAAAATCTGACAATTCTTTTAAGGTGTGCATCGATAAAATAGTTCAATAATGTGTAGTGTGTGGAGGGAGGGGGGCACTGATGGTGTTAAAAGGAGGGGATTTGGTAAACTGTTGGAGAGTATATAAATGTTAGAATTGAAATATAATTTTATATGATTTTTCTATAAATTATATCAGGTTTGTTGTGTATACCAACTAATCCTGATAGACCTGGGTGAAATTGAATATCAGAACCTCCCTTGACCCTGCATGCATTAGCTCAAGAGGCATGTACGCCCTATACATACATGCATGAAGACAACTCATATAGACTATATGTACTATAATGAGACAACCAGTCCAAGTACATGTACACTTTTTGAAACAATGTTAAGTAAGAAAAAAACATTTATTTTCTTTGAGATTTTATATTTTTTTGACATGGAGATGTTACCTGACAATTCAAAAACACCAAAAACTGGAAGCTTTTCATAAATTCTTCGACTACTGAATAATTTAAACAGACAGATAAACAACTTAATCTTAGTCAAGGCAAAACTTTTTACAATAAGCAGTCAACAAAATTTTTGGCATAGATGTACAGTACAGGCCAAAAGTTTGGACACACCTTCACATTCAATGCGTTTTCTTTATTTTCATGACTATTTACATTGTAGATTCTCACTGAAGGCATCAGAACTATGAATGAACACATGTGGAGTTATGTACTTAACAAAAAAAGGTCAAATAACTGAAAACATGTTTTATATTCTAGTTTCTTCAAAATAGCCACCCTTTGCTCTGATTACTGCTTTGCACACTCTTGGCATTCTCTCCATGAGCTTCAAGAGGTAGTCACCTGAAATGGTTTTCCAACAGTCTTGAAGGAGTTCCCAGAGGTGTTTAGCACTTGTTGGCCCCTTTGCCTTCACTCTGCGGTCCAGCTCACCCCAAACCATCTCGATTGGGTTCAGGTCCGGTGAATGTGGAGGCCAGGTCATCTGCTGCAGCACTCCATCACTCTCCTTCTTGGTCAAATAGCCCTTACACAGCCTGGAGGTGTGTTTGGGGTCATTGTCCTGTTGAAAAATAAATGATCGTCCAACTAAACGCAAACCGGATGGGATGGCATGACGCTGCAGGATGCTGTGGTAGCCATGCTGGTTCAGTGTGCCTTCAATTTTGAATAAATCCCCAACAGTGTCACCAGCAAAACACCCCCACACCATCACACCTCCTCCTCCATGCTTCACAGTGGGAACCAGGCATGTGGAATCCATCCGTTCACCTTTTCTGCGTCTCACAAAGACACGGCGGTTGGAACCAATGATCTCAAATTTGGACTCATCAGACCAAAGCACAGATTTCCACTGGTCTAATGTCCATTCCTTGTGTTTCTTGGCCCAAACAAATCTCTTCTGCTTGTTGCCTCTCCTTAGCAGTGGTTTCCTAGCAGCTATTTGACCATGAAGGCCTGATTGGCGCAGTCTCCTCTTAACAGTTGTTCTAGAGATGGGTCTGCTGCTAGAACTCTGTGTGGCATTCATCTGGTCTCTGATCTGAGCCGCTGTTAACTTGCGATTTCTGAGGCTGGTGACTCGGATGAACTTATCCTCAGAAGCAGAGGTGACTGGTCTTCCTTTCCTGGGTCGGTCCTCATGTGTGCCAGTTTCGTTGTAGCGCTTGATGGTTTTTGCGACTCCACTTGGGGACACATTTAAAGTTTTTGCAATTTTCCGGACTGACTGACCTTCATTTCTTAAAGTAATGATGGCCACTCGTTTTTCTTTAGTTAGCTGATTGGTTCTTGCCATAATATGAATTTTAACAGTTGTCCAATAGGGCTGTCGGCTGTGTATTAACCTGACTTCTGCACAACACAACTGATGGTCCCAACCCCATTGATAAAGCAAGAAATTCCACTAATTAACCCTGATAAGGCACACCTGTGAAGTGGAAACCATTTCAGGTGACTACCTCTTGAAGCTCATGGAGAGAATGCCAAGAGTGTGCAAAGCAGTAATCAGAGCAAAGGGTGGCTATTTTGAAGAAACTAGAATATAAAACATGTTTTCAGTTATTTCACCTTTTTTTGTTAAATACATAACTCCACATGTGTTCATTCATAGTTTTGATGCCTTCAGTAAGAATCTACAATGTAAATAGTCATGAAAATAAAGAAAACACATTGAATGAGAAGGTGTGTCCAAACTTTTGGCCTGTACTGTATACAGTAGGCATCGATGGCTATCATAAATGGCAGTCTAGATATAGGCCTACAAAAATGTATAGTGATTATAGTTGTACCTTATGTAAGAGGAATTTTTCCCATGTCTTAATTAAAGATAATGTAAATCTAAGAGGGTTAGGTTTAACAGATGTACTCACTGCCACAGTGACTATAGTCAAGGTTCCCCTGAGCAAAGAACTATATTTCTCTGTCTTGCTTGGGCGCCATTTCCCATGTAATGAACCAACTGCAGGAGAACTTCCCAGTTGCCCACACTAAACCCTTAGTAGTATTTGGGTTCTTTCAGCTGTGAATATGTATGTTTATTAAGGCATGTATGAAATGACTCTCCTGGATTGTACACACTTGTTTTGTGTTTATTTCCCCAACTGTAAAATATTACATAAAAACTATCAATACAAATATTTACACAAAAATACAAAGGATAAATGTCTCACACATCCACTCAAAAACCAAACCTCTCACAAAAAATATACACATTAAAGAAGTGACCTTGTTTCTTGACACAAACATGTTCTGATGAATTACAATTTGGAATGTAAATGTTTAGCAGTACATTATAAATAAGGATTGTTTGGTTATAAGTTACAATAAAGTGGATCATAAGATAATATGCTGCTTTGCATGTTTAAAAGTTTTATTTGCAGCTACATTTCTGCTCTTCAAGATAATTTAACACAGTGTATTTTTGTTATACCATAGGCGATATCTATAAGTGGGACAAGATGCACTGAAATATTTAATTCCAAGTGAGACCCAAAGTAGGAATGTAGTTTGGAATATTACTGTATGTGCCTGTGAGCGCACAGCCTTTGACATACAGTACCAAACATGTCCACTATCTAAGATGTGTTTAGTGCTGCTTTTGGAAAAACCCAACTCTGGTCCGTGATGATAAGGAAGACAAAGGAGTATGCAGCTCTCTCAGCATTTATCAGGCCTGCATTTGGCCTCGCAGAAGCTGAGGAGCTGCAGGGAAAATGGAAGTTTTACAGCTTTACCCACTAGCTGTATTTCTTCAGCCCAGGCAGTGTGAGCTCATACCTAAGAGGAAAGAGAGATGAAATACTCAGAGAATTATACTTGAATCAAATAAGCCTTTTGTTCCCACATATACATTTCTATACATTATTACAATTGACCAGAATATTTATGATGGCAAGAAGTATTAGTGCTTCAATTTAGTGTACTTCAGCTACTGTTTCATTCAAATCATGGAAAAGTAGGAAACTGGGCCGCATACCATTCTGTGATGCCTTTGACTAAATCCAGCTGTGAAAGATCTATCATCACCTGTGGATGGAAGCAAAGCGTAACAACCGTAAAGGCCAAGACATTGGTTTTGCAATAAAGTGTATGTATGAAATAAAAACATTTACAGCACTAAACAATGTGTAAAAGCTTTAGATTTCGCAGCTGTACATTTGTAACACCATTGACCCCACCTAACAGCATAGAGTATTTAAATTGCCTTTAAGATCTTGTGTCAGGTATGAAAAGCCACATTCTATCCCAAGTAGCGTTACCCACCATGCCGATGTCCTTTCTCTCTCGTGTGTGGAACATTTTGCCATTTTTCACGGACACATCCAACTTCCTCGTTTTTGCTTCTTCAAGTGGCACATCAAATTCAAACCTGTGATGAAAGAGAGTCGGCAGAAAGAAACAAGTTCAGGACACTGTCTCAACTTCTGGGCCTTAGAGGAGCTGTATGCAACATTAAGAGCATTAATATAGCAGCAAACAATTATTTGCTAAAGATATAGTGGAGTAATGGCGTCCTGAGCTGAGAATGATGTCACGCTCCCTCATGGATGGATAACTGTACGAGCCAACCAGGCACAGGCTCAGGGGCCCAAACTGGTCTGTATCCACATGGCTCAGTTAAAAAAAATGTTTTCAGAACAAAACTCCTCATCTCTTCTGTGACATGACTTTGACATCAGAGGCCCAAAGTGTCAGCGAGTCCCCTGGCCTTCACTTGCAAAATGTTACTCAAATTAACAAGGACTGATCAGGAGGAGACTCAAAATGATCACAAAGAGATGAAAAGGAACTGCAAAGAGACATAAAAGAACTACAAAAGCCAGCAAAACGACCACAAAAAGGCACAAAACAGCTACAAGAAAGCACAAAACAACCATAAGGAGAGACAAATTTACTATAAAGCGACACAAAACAACAACAAAAAAAACAACAACATAAAATTACCTCAAAGAGACCAAAACGCCTACAAAATGACACAAAACAACCATATGTTGACACAAAATGACCACAAAGAGATGCAAAACCACCTCTTGTTCCAGTGTAGGAGAAGTGGTGGGGACCTTTGCATATCTGCGCCCAGCGGCCCATTGTCTCGTTACCCGCCCATGCTGTATGTGTTTTGTAATCCGAGCTTTTCTGTTCCTTGTTGTGGTAGACAGTCCGACCACACCTGCATGCTAGTGCATGTGAGTCCCTGGGTGTGCATCCCTCTGGCTAGCAAAATACCATCGCTCTGAACTGCATGCATATGGTGGTTACTGCTGACAATGCCGTCCAGATCCACATTGGCAGGACGGCATTGCAAGTGTAACGTCCACCCTCCCTGTCCTCCTGGTTAACACCATTAGCTCTGTCAGCACTGCTGTTAGCACTGTTAGCCTCTACGTTGAGAGCCCTGTGGAGACAATCCCCGTCCAGACTCACAGATATGCTCTCAATGTTGCATAGAGCTCCTAACTACTTTATGTGGGTAATAAGAAATGTTGATTTTTTTTCCTTTCAGATATTTCATGTAGGATGCATCCAGTAAGCTTACTTGTGATTGAAGACAGGATTGACTGTCCTCTTCTTGACATGTGTCCTCTTGCGGTGAATCCAGGATTGGTCAGGGAGAAAATACAGGCGGACATAAGAGTCTGTGCCGTTCTCACTGAAGCGAAATAAGTTCCTGCAGGCAACAGGTACACACAGTGGGTCACTATAGCTGGCTAACCATATGAACATGAAAAGAAAATTCTGCTGGGAAACTCTGGTGAGGCTGGATCTTTCTTGTGTACCTGCAGGAGTTAACCAGGACGATGAGTTTGTTCCTCAGGGTGGCATAACGCACAGTCAGCTGGATCTCCCCAAATGAACCCTGATGTTTCCTGATTGCCCTATAATTAAAAAACATTTATAAATCTCACTTTTATTACTTAATTCTTTAGAAAGTCCATATAGTTGAGTTCATGACATCTGCAGGAAAGTTAGAGGTCAGCACGCTAAAGGTCTGAAAAACAAAAAAACTACAGACTCACTCTGGATACGAGGCGCCCTCTGAAACGTCAAAACGTGATGAAGCCATGGAGTTTTCCGACAGCAGGCTGTGGGAGTCATACCGACGCATGTTTGACGTGGTTTCATCGGGGCCGTTATGGTTTTCAGGAGCCCAGTTTGGAGATAAGGACTGGGCGGTGGGGTCAGAGGCAGTTGGGACGGTGTTGGGGGAAAGTGCTGGAGAGGAGGATGCAGCAGCGGAGGGATTGGACACAGCCGCATTAGCTTGTTGGTTAGTCTGTGATTTCAGCTGTTTGTCTTTTGGAGAGGGATCGACTTTAATCTTGGGTTGAGGCTTTTCAACAGTAAGAACCTATTGTGGGATTAAAGACATGGCTAATGTGAGTGACACACTGTAAAAACAACAATGTAATAGAGCTTACTTGCAGGTTCTCACCATCTAGGTGCTGGCTGAGCATCTGAGTTTTATCAGATGGAAATAGAATTGAAAATGTACTTTAGATGAACCCTAACAGGGAGCAGCTGAATGTTTTGGTAATTTAAACTGTATCTTTGAACTAAATGTGTGTTGTGCGTCATCTGTCTGTGTACTGTGAGTTTCTATACTAAATGTGTGTGTGTGCTTGCCAATGTTGTGTACCCACCCTGAGAGTTGCTTTCAGCTTGATCTGGCTGTTTGCTCCGGAGCGCTCAAGCGGCACGCGCTGGTCTAGCGTCATATCGGAGCAGTTGAGGAGGCGACTCAGCGGCAAGTTCATAATACCGAGCTGAGTCTTCTTCTCGTGCTCTTTGACCTGGACCACGAGAACACAAATAAAACTATTTAAGCAGTGAATGAAATAGGTTTTAAACCCCTGAGGATATCTGACTGACTGAAAGAGGTCTAGTTTTACAAGGTTTCCAACACTGGTGTTACCTCCTTTTTAGTTAAGTTAAGGTTGTCAGTGCAGTATATACTGACACACACAGGTTCATAGGGATAAATACAAAAGTAGACTGTCTCAGATTCCACTTACTGAATGTTGAATTAGCCAATGCAATCAAAACAAAAAATGTGGTAGAAACTTCCTGTACTGTGTATGTAACATTAAACGACGAACCTGAACCACGAGCTGCTGTGTTCTGACATTACGCACAAAGAAGGTGAAGCCCTCCTCCCACTTTGGGTCTTTAGATGCAAACACAACCTGTGGAAAGAGAAAGATAGGAATAACTACAGTTGAAGATTTCATTGCAAAAAGCTAAGACTATTGCAACATTATCAATTTTACACAGCAGATGTGTACTGACAATTGCAAGTCTACCTTCTTGTACAGTGCTAAAATACATCAAAACAAGTATAAACACACATTTACAGATACTGTATTAATGTAAAGAGAAAATGGCGTATTAATGGAATAAAGTGAGAGCCGTACCTTGCTTTTTTGCACATCCTCATCAACAGAAAATTCCACATAGGAGTTTGGGCCGCCATTTCTCTTTGTGAGCTGAAAACAAAGTAAATCAGTGAGGCAGTAAATAATTTCTGGCAAAATGTTTGAACACTCAGTGTGTCAATAACATAACACAAAAACGTAATATATAATATATATTGTGTCAGTAAGTAAGTGTGATGCATTTATCATTTGTTGCCACGTCATTTATTCTTTTATTGGTAGTCAGACTCTGTTATGGGGATTTACACATGTATGGAGTTCACTGATAAAAGTTTGGACTCTGACCTCTGTGTACCGAAACAAGCATGACGTTGAAACTATGTCACATGAAAGATGTGTTAGGCTTGCCTTATGTGCCATTTTGGGTAACAGACCTTATGTAAGCATTGGAGAACCAATCCTGTAACACTTGTGTGTTCTGTTACAAACTCTTCAGAGAGTGTGAAGGGGACAGAATACACTGTATACATTATATTTTTCTTTAAACCCATTAAATGCTTTGTGTGTTTATTCCTGAGTGTTTGCAGGCAATTTCCATCACGGAGAGTGGTGCAGGAACGAGTCCTAAAACCTAGAAATGAGTTAGCATTTTAGCACTCCACCTGTTCCCTTGTCTCAAAGTCAGTGGGATTTTTGGTTATATTCCCGAAATAATGTCTGTAGTTAACACAAGCTTTAAAAGGCGGTTGCTAACAAGTGGCTAAAGGAGACTACAAGATGTCATCATGCCAAACACATCTTTACAGCCTTGTTGTGGTGGCGAAGCTACTGTGGGGTAGTTCGTTTGGGTCCATGTCATTGGTCCAACAGCCCATTGGTTCAACATCCCATTAGTCCGACTGTCCACGGTGCTGAACAGCTCGCGGCGGGCGTATGGTGCGCAGCTGCCAGCTCTGGGTCAGCTGGGAAAGGCTTGAGAAGGAGCAGGCTCACGGCTTATGTGTTTGTCACTTTCTTTTTAATTTTAACCCACACCATGATCTTTTCCTGACCCTAACCAAGTGGTTTTTGTGCCTAAACCTAACCAGACCTTAACCACAGGGCATCATGATGATTTCGGAACGGACTTCGGAACAATGAGTTTAATATGGTCGGAACAATGGGATGTCGAACCAATGGGCTGTCGGACCAATGGGCAGTTCCCAGTTCGTTTATAGCCTGATGTTAGCTTTTTACTTCTAGCCACTGCATTTAGGCTTCAAAACTCAAACAAATGGTGTTCATTTGTGAAGATTATCTTGCTGCACAAAACCTCTAAGTATCATAAACTTGTTTTTGCCACAGAGCTCATTTTCCGCGATACTCCAAAATCCAATGGGAAAATCCAATTGGCTTTTTAACAAGGGAAACATGGTGGCACTAACTTCCGTGTTAGCCTAAAGAAAATTGTCATTTATTATTCACTCTATTTCATATAATAGTCAGAAACTGTAATAATGGACAGAGTGACAATTATCAGCAATATATTTGCAACCACTTGAGAGTAGTAGAGTAAATAAATTCTGCTTTCAATTTATACATTAGTCCTCCAGCAACAAGCTAATAAGCAAACGTTTGTTAGTTTCTACAAGCTGCCTGTTGCCTCCCAGGCTGGGTAGGTTATGCACTCTACTCCCTAATAATACACTGCAGACACACCACACCATCTGGAACATATGAAACAGATGTTTGCACTGGCAAAAAAACAGAGATGTATACTTTTATTAACACTGGAAGAAGATGTGGTTGCTACAAGTGGGTAGCCACAGCTAGCATGTTAGTATGGAAATGGCTGACAAGGGACTATCCAAGAGGGAAGAAAAGTGCTGATGTTGATGCAGAAACATTTGAGGTTTTAGCAATAACTTTCACTAGACTCATGTAGAGACATGTAGGCTGAGATTGTGTTTTAAAAATGCATTTACTGATTAAATGTTAGAGCCACATCACAATAAATGCTTTGGGAAGATTTGTTCCTCAGAATCATTTGGAAATGGGGAAACCACATTAAGGAAATGGATTATTTTTGTAGTTTTATTTCAAGTATGTTTGATATGATACAATGTAGCTCAGGATAATCAAAACTTGCCTATATAATTCAGAGCTGCCCTGTTGCCTGTCACACTTAACTTCACTGTATTTTCACTCATTGAACAGCAGAGGGCATTCAGAGGCAGTACATGCTACTGACAGTTCAAATTAGGACACCCTGTACTGAGCTACATTTGTTCAACATGTCTGGGTCAAAAAAAGTGTCCTTAAAAAAATCCTACAATTTGATTATTACTGCCTTAATTGCCAGATTGATGGGGTTTATAACATGGACAAGTTTAAAGGAGTCATACGTTTGTCATGACTACTGTAAACATTTATTAATTTGTCCTATGTAGAAATCTGAAAATCCTTTAAAATTATCAGCCTATATTTGCAATACAAAGATAGATAGCCATTAGCAGTATAGATAGCCATTTTGTAATTTGGTCAACAAAGTCTTCACCACAATTCTGTCTATTTAGTTATCAACACTTTACTTTATGCTGGGAAACCCAGAACAAGCCTCAGGGTGAGGAAGAAATGTAGCTACAAAGACACCAGCTGGTTGTAACACACCCACAAAAAATGGTATGCACGCACCAGACAAACAAGAAATACCAGCTCAGCCAAGCAACAAGCACACCTGGAGTACAAACATTTGATCTGACTGAGGCCTTCATCTGACATCAAGATAGAAAATGACAATCAAACTGTAAGGTAGTAAAGTGAAAGAGAAGCTAGATTACTTCCTAATTTAACTCTTGAAGAATAAACATCAGTTTTTTATAACAGGCAAAAAAGATACTTTAAGTAAAAATCCCAATTTACATGTTAGGTGTCCATGAGCAATTTGACAACCCCTAACATTTAAGGCCTCAAGCATTCCCACGCAGTCTTTTAAATAGCCATGTGATTTTAAAAAATGAGGTCAAATGAGGACGGCGTGTGGTGGAGATGTATGAAAATACAGGTTTCTCTCTTTCAAACCCTAGGGCGAATGTCCAGTGATAAACCTTTGTACAAACAGGTTTTGTTAGAAGAGGGGTTGGGCCTTTGCATACCAAACATCCCTGGATTAATCACTCTCGTATGTCAAATCAAGTACAGGCTAATATTTTAGCAACTGCATGGGTCTCCTGGCATTAATCAGGCTGTCGCGAGAAAATTTTAATAGCCACCCCTTCGAAACTGATTTGACCTATTAGTGAGAACAACTTCCATACAGTATATGGATTATATGAGTAGAGCAAAGCACTCTCATGACAACAAAGGGGTCTGAGGTCACCAACATAGCTCCTTCTTATAGCAGCTACGAAGGATAGAAGGCAGCTTACCCGGGCTTCCTTTGAATGCTTTCCGTGTTTTTGATGCCCAGAGATCTCCTTGTGGTCTTTCTAGAGACATACACACATTCACATTTGTCTATTCATGTTGCATCGTCTTCTCTCGACAACAACAGCCCCCGTTAGAGGTCACTTACTGGTAGGTTGGAGGCATTGTCCAGGTACACTGCAAGCATAGCACAAGCAAGACCGTCTGCAGACTGGAAGAGAGAGATGGTAAAGAACAATAGATGATTTACATGACTGACTAACTGCTGACCCAATAAGCCAAATAACACACAAGGGCAATCTACACTACAGTTATGATGTGCAAACTTGTGGCAAGCAGTATATATTACATATAAATGTTGATGAAAATTCTGATGACAAAAATAAGCAATAATGAGGCTACCTCCCTCAGCAGGCTGGGGTCGGTCTTCAGGGAAAACCACTGCAGCTTGAGATGAACCTCTCCATTCTGGACTCCTTGCAGAGGAAACCACTACAACAGCAAGGAAGATTAATTTAGCATGGCATTCATATCAAGACTATTTAAATAGAAAACTAGTGAAAATGGTCAGAAATGCTTTAACATTTAAACCTTTCTTTCCATTCTTAAAAATGCTGCTGCTGCAAATTCTTAAGATCATTCATAAAAGATTTAAACACTTGGAAACAGTACGCTGCAATCTCCTGTAGTGCTGGCGATTATTTTGTGAGTACTACTTTTTTCTTATTGCTGAGAAAACACTGAGTTTATTAGGCACAAAACTATGGAAGCCAAGAAGGGCTGTGTTTGCAATTGTTTTTTAATGCCATTATCTGGAGATGACGAGTTCACTATTTCATTAGCTCGAGATAACAAAGCTTTTTTTCTCATGATAACAGGTTAATTTATGACGATGCTCAAAAAAACAAAAGCATAATTTCTCGAGATAACAAGACAATTGATCACAAGAAAAATTGCTTCTGTTTTCTCAAGATCACAAGATTATTACGGAGAACTTGCAAATGAGAGTGTGGTCTTCTGTTTAAATGACAAGAACTGATCTGAATGCTGTTTCTAATAAAAAGACACAATGCCATTTCTGCCTGTATTACACCTTAAACTACAGTCTGATGCGCTGATCAATGATACGTAGTCCTACTTCTTATTTTCAGCTTAAATCAGTTGCTACAGATATCAAGATGCTATATATGCATGCTGGTACGACAGTCCTAAACGTTAAGTATTAAAACAGGGTTTTCCCTGCCTATCTGACATAGCAGATGTAGCGTCTTTTGCGCGCACAAACCCATTATTTTCAATGTAAATGCACGTCATGCGTGCTCACAACCCAAAGTGACGCCATAGCGGCATGCAGTCAGTGTGTTGTGTCAGATCCGGTTCCCCCTCGGGCTATGTCTCTCCTACTGTTTCCCATGGAGCTCTGCCCCATTTGAAAGGCAAAGGAAGCCCGTATGTGGAAAGACGTCGCCTCCGAGATGTAGAATGTGTATTATCGATGAGAAACACACATTTCCGGACCGCTGACTTGTATCATCAGAACAGACATGTCCTGTGATTTTCAGCCTCCTTTCATATTTAATAGAGGGGGGACAATACCTGACAGTAATATTCTCAGCTGTCAGAATGTGCCTGCTGTAAAGGGTAAAAATAATCATAGAAGGCTGAAAATCACAGGATGTGATGATTATGTTGTGATTAGTCAAGTCAGCAGTGTAAAGCTCAAGCATGTAGGGGCCTCCTTTCATATTTAATTGGGGGGGGGGGGGTGTATCTAAAAGTACAGCTGTCAAGATGCCCCCCGCCAAAGGCCTTTACCACCTTGGTCTCGAAAAACCCAGGGAAAACACTATAAAAAGGAGATGACTTTTTGTTTTCTCCTTTAAATGGACTTTTTTTTTGTCATCTTGAGATAACAAAATAATTCACTTGTGATCTTGAGACAACCCCCCCCGCCCCCCAAAAAAAAATGCAAGTATGACTGTTCTCGGCTTCCATACAAATCACTTCAGTGTATCCACAGAATTAAATGTAAACTCACCTGATCCATCTCTACTTCCTTCTTCACTTCTCCAAAATCGAGATTATACCTGACGTGATAATGAAAAATGATAACGATGGCAAGTGAAAACTTTATAGCACAAACATTTAAAACTAATAAATATTTTTACTCCTATGTTTCCAAATCACCACCCAGCTATCTACTCTAAAAACAGTTTGAACAAGATACTGTTACTGTGTATTATCAATCAAGTAACTGTGTTTGGTGTTGTTTATTGTGATTATGGGTTATAGTGGAGTAATAAGTAATGCTTGACAAATTTAAGAAACTGTGGATAGCAGAGTGGATGCAATACATGTGACTCACAAAGCATTAACCCTACTTGTTAGATAGTTTCTTACGTTCCAAGTGGATCGTCATTATCTGCATCCTCATCAAATAGCTCCACCTCCAACTCTTGCCCTGGAGCTTCATGGACGACAAACTGCACACAGGTAAAGCATATTATCAAATGTCTTTCAGACGGGAAAATCAATGTTAACTCCGTTCACCAGGTCAACATACTTAGTTTCTACAGTATTTAGAATAAGCCTTGAGCAGATTACACATGGGAAAGGAACACTAGGTAATGAACATGAGAACTGGAAGTGCAGTTAGGACAACAAAACGGGTAAACAAAAATTGGAGGAACCTGTCAAGTGCTGGAGACAACCTCAGCTGTCAAACAATACGTTGATGACAGTGATTTGAGCAACTCCTCAATGCAATCTGGGACAGAGAGTGTATGTCTTTAGCTTTGCTTTTCACAAACAAGGAAAATGTGTGGGGGGATTTTACCAGTTTGCTTGTTTTGAATACCAGGGAATATGGTGCAAGAAAAATCAATCATGTTCATGCATTCCTAAGGTTATCTAGGGGCTTTATACGGAACTTTAAAGCCCCTACAAGGAACATTCATTTTGAGTTTATTTTGGCAACCCTGTGGACAAAAGCGGTAGTGTTTTGCCGGAATGAAGCCTACACTTCCCATGAGCTCTAGCGCGTAATGTCGTAAAGACGCCTACCTGGCTCACGCATGTGTTTGTTTTGGGGATGAATGAAACAACAAGACGGGAAAACTTTGCCCCCGCTCCTATCGGGGATCCCAGCTCACCTCTGCCGCGCCCCAGCTCCGCCTCTCCGGCATAAGCGCCACTGCCGCCGGGGTAAGGCTGAAGGCCTGTTTGGCGAGCACTTCCACGGCTTCTTGGACTGAGTATGGAGCGGTGCCTCGCCTCTTTATTTCTCGGCACTCGCTGGATCCTGTCGGCGCCTGGCTGGTATCTGTCGTCGGCCCGGATGAGGTGTTCCAGCCCCGCGGCCCCTGCTCTCCTCATCCCCACTGGGTGAATGTGCGCAACCTGCAGCCTCTGTGTGTGGCTCCCTGGACAGCTAACGCCGTGGACCCGCCGGCTCCTTCCAGGATTGGGCTGGTAAATGCTAGATCGCTAGCGAACAAAACATTTATCCTGAAGGATTTCCTGACTTCCCGAGGATTGGATTTTCTCTGTGTGACTGAGACGTGGCTGACTGTTGGTGAGTCCAGTGCTTTCACAGAACTTTTACCCGATGATTGCTGCTATTTTAACTCCCCGCGGACGTAGGGTCGAGGAGGAGGAATAGTGACTATTCATAAATGTAAGCAGCTAGGTAAGATGCAGTGTGCCATCTGAGAGCCGTAAATCGCTTCGTCCTGGAAGCGACCTGGGGCGGACCCGGAGACAGTTTCCTAAAGGTATGGATGTACATTATATAGAAATAGCTCATCTTGACACCGATGGTCTCATTTGCTGTTGTAGGTCACGCACAGACATCAGCAGAAACGAGAGACTTTTGCATATCCAGTTAAAAGTTCCTTGTAGCGGCTTTAAAGCCATGTATGTTCCTGTTTCTCTACCTCATACACTTCATTCCATTTGGGGTGCAGATTCTCTTTGATGGTCTTGCTTTTGAAATGTCGGTTGCCCACTCTGAGTGTTGCATAGGGATCTGATTTCCCTTTCACTATACCCATCATGTATGTGTCCTTCGCCAGCAGGTCTCTGGCTTCCAGCAAGTGGACCCTCACCACACCCTGAGGAGCAGACAAGGAGAGGTTCACTAACTAAAAATACTGTCTCACGTGAAAGAAAAACACCTACAGTCTTCACCTGTATTAAAGAGCGTAAAAAAGAGAAACTAATATGTTTAACTGTTTTATTCATGCATACTGAATATATATCTTACATACTCGAGGTAGCGGGAACCTCATCTGGTCCACTTTGACCTGGTCTATGAGGGGCACACACATGCGGTTGGGCAACACCATGAGTGAAGCAATGATGTCCATGATAGCGTCCTCAGACAGCGAGCTGGGAGGGAACAGAGGAGATAAGTGATCTCTACAGTAAGAACATTAAACAGCAAAATGTTGGAGTGACCATTAATACCATGAACTCCTAACCTGAAGGCAGGGCTGTCCAAAAGGTTGGTCATGCCAGTCCAGTTGATTGAAAGGGTCTGGAAAGAATTATTAAGAGTTTCAAGCTTGGCTAATCACACAGCTTTACTGATGACAGTGAGGTCATGAAAATGTCACTCACAGGGCGGCGAATGAAAAAAAAGGTGACTCCTCCCACCAGTGGTGCTTGACCAATAAGGGGCTCCAAAATGACCCTCATATTCCCCTTGAGCTGGGAGATTCAGGACAGTGTTTAAAAGACTTGTAAACAAACTATAATGATAATAATTAATGCAATGCAGAGAATACAGAAAAATGAGGAGCTCACTTTAAGTCCTTTAATGCCGGCTTTGATTGGCGGCTGCACTTCAGCATCGATGTCTACATCACCTTCATAACTGCAAAGTGAACAGTGCTGGTAAGGGAAAACAGCATGCACAACCACGAGGCTCTTGTTTGGAGCCAAGCACATTCATCATCAAATGACAAGACAGAAGCAGCTGTGGTGTGAGAAATGTGTCTGACAAACCATATATCCATGTCCAGAATCACCTCCCTGTGATCCACCTCATGTGTGTATGCTTTCATTCCAGTGATCCGGAGAGGCTAGAATTAAAGAAACATATTAAAGGAACCTTATCCACGATGTTTAAAGGAACACTTCACCCTCCAAATGACCATTTTTATATCAAGTACTCACCCTATGTTACATTGAATTCGTGAGGAAAAGGATTTTTTCTAGCATGACTCCACGGTGAACGAAGAATCCAAAAAACAGAGAAAATTCTTGATGAATTAAAGTCAGAGGGGTCCATGTTTACCAGCGGCAAAACTATATCAAAACATTTGTTTGCAACCTCTCACACAACTCTTGCAGTATAATTCAAGTCTCATTTACAGTCGTTTGCTCAGTGCTTCCCAAAAAGATAGCCCTTTCCAACAAGGAACTGAAAGGAAAGTGAAACTTATCTATGCTATCTTCAGAGCCAGACCCCAAAGACAAAAACAGTCATTTTACCTCGCTGAACACGAGAGCTGCTGGTCCACTACCACCTTGATCAGTTTGTGTTTTCGAGTGACTTTAACACACCATTTAAAACACCAAAGTTAGACAAAAACACAAACAAATTAACTGATTGAGGAGGTAAAATTACTGTTTTTGTCAATGGAGTCTGGCTTTGAAGGGAGCATATATGAAGTTTCACTTTCCGTTCAGTTACACGTCTGTTTGGGAAGCACTGAGGCAATGACTGGATAAATGTGACTATTATCTCCTGTTGTCGAGATATAAGGTTGGGGCTTTGCAGATAACAGAGATAGTACATTACTGCTGGTCTATGAACAATATGATGATGATTTATAGAATCATCATCATATTGTGTGACTGTGTGAGTGTTGTGAGAGTTTGTTAACAGATAATCTGATACAGATTTAGTGTTGTTAAACATGGTCCCCTGTGACTTAAGTTCATCAACAATTTTCTTAATTTTTTTGGATTCTTTGTTCACTGGAGTCAAGTAAAAAAAAAAGAAAAAAGTTTTCTTCACGTTATTAATATACCAATTATCATTAGGGAAGAGGGCGTGGGTATTCCCTCTCAGTTGATCACATATGTGTCATGGCATCATTTCTGCCTACAACAAATCACAGGGGTGTGCTTTGCTTTATAAAACATGTAGCCCATAAAACATCTGTTTGCTGTTTGTCTGAACATAGTAAGATTTAGATGGCTTTAGTAATGGATCAAGTGTCACAGGAGTAATGGTGGACAAATGCAAACTTACTATGTGTCCAAAGTGGATCTTGGTAAAAGTGAACATTTTGAGCGCAGAGCTGGAGAGCCTGACAGCTTGCTGGATGTTTTCTTTAAGGAGTTTCTCCATGTACATCCCGAAGAAAGGCCAAGCCTGCTCCAACACCTGAACACACAAAGCAAAACAGAGCATGGGTAAATGCCTTGATTCCACCCCTTAATCAAACACCACGTCTTTTCATTTGCACATGTAAATAGAGGTATGACCTGAAGGCAATAAACATAAACTGCAGCATTTTTAAAATCTTGTGATGGCAGTTTTATTTTGTGGAAAAATGATCAACACAATTGGTGCAGTCTGTGTGCTGCTTGCAGCTCATTTATGTCAGTGTTCCTAAGCTATCTTTGTAGCGAGGGTTATATATTCTGTGATATAAAAAGAGATGATTATCATACTGTGTCAATTTGCCTATCTACGATATTGAAAAAAAGCAACTGGAAGGAGAACCTAAATTATATTTTAGTTATTATCAAAAGAGAGACACTTTACAGGTTTCAATTTTAGTAATAAAATGTTTGTTCAACCAATGATAACCCTTATGTTTTCATTACTTTAAAGGTCATTCTGACTAATAATACTATTGATAATTCTGTAATGCTGTAAATTGCACCTAGTCACAGCAGAGTAATGAGTCCAGCACCTTGTCCAGCCCCAAAACATTTTTGTGTACATGGAATTCACTTGAATGCAGGCCATTTGACCTCTACCATGACGGTACACTGTGGGGCTGGAAAGTATGTTGTTGAGCACTAGGCCTTTAATCCAGAGTCAACATTCAAAAGCACCAGCTCAATTTAGCAAGATGGGGTCTCTTCAGCCCTCAAAGAGGTGCTTAGCATCATCCAATAAAACCGTAACATCAGAGAGAGTAATTTATTTTGATACTGTACCTTATTAAGCCAGTCAACTTTTTCAACATCAGGAAAGTGGACCTTTAACAAGAAAAAAATGACAGTGATGTTAAAAGCAGGTTTCTAAGTATTTGTCCGACACAACCAACATAGCAGCATGCATGATGGTGGTGATGACAGACATAATTGTGTCAGTAATTATCAATTATCCATCATGCAAATTATAATATAGATTAACAGTGAAATCTATTAACATAAAAATCAGGTGAATGAAAAAAATCCAGTGTGTGGTGCAGTAAGACTTTTTTTTCAATTTTCCAATTTTTGAAATTTGACAGCATTCCTTTGTAAAAAAAAAAAAAAAAAAAAAAACAGACATGGAGAAGCACTGCAGTACTTGTTATTTAAGGCTTACTGAGGTTTCTTTGCAGCTTCAAAACTGTGGACTGTAACAGAGGTTTGGAATCATGTTCTAATACAGAGCATCTATCCAAATAAATGAAGTGAACATCAGTGAGTTCTGTCTGACACACTAAAGGGAGAAAGCTTATCCACAAGTCAAAGTACTTTCTAAGACCTTTATGGTGTAATATAAATTCTACTGATGTAACAGATTTACTTTGGGAGGAGAGGAGAAATCCTCATGTTTTAAAATGGAATTCTGTGTGTATTAAAACCTGTGTTTTAGGTTTTAAACCAACAATGTCATACTCATCTGTCTGTCTCTCTGTTACACAAACAGAGTGAGCTGCAAGACACTAACCAAAAAGTAATCTGATCTGTTGTTCCTATTACATTCCTCTGACGTTAGAAGAGCCCCTCTCTGTGTCCCTCCCATCTTAGTTCCCATGAGTCACCGTTTGAGTGGGTGTGGTTTAACCAAATGCAGAGAAACGAAACCTTCTGCAAAATAACAGCACATTTGGCTGCCTTAACCCATTTCTGACTACGGGGAGGTTCAACCCCAGCCTGGCATTTCATGCAAATAAAGCATAGTGTTGTCAAGGCAACAGAGACTGTGACACGTCCTACAGTATGGAACTTGTTTAAGGAGGTTTCACACATTTGGCCACAGCTGCACACTCAGTGTTGCCTTGTTTGACCTGCAAAAAGCAGTCAAAATCAGTGACTCCAGATATAACAAAAACAGGTTTGACATCGAAGTTTGGGCAATTTTTCAGTGACGGGAATGTCGTATCTCTTCGCTGAAGGCAGTTGACACCTATGACCAAAGTAAAGCTTCTCAGTGACAAACAGCAGAAATCAAATCAAATTAATCAAATTTGAGGTACTTGTACTTTACCAAAGTTCTTTCTTTTACTCTTACCCTCATTCATCTCAGAGGCACATGCTTTTTACTTCACTACATTCATCTGTCAGCTTTATTTATTAATTACTTTACAATTTTTTTTAGTTACCTGGAACAATTAGTCAGTTGATCAATTAGTTGATTTACAGAGGATTAATTAGCAACTACTCTGATAAGAGTTTCAGTCATTTTTCATATAAAAACATTTAATAGGTTCATAAATGTGATTTGCTACTTTTCCTTTTATTATCTGAATGTGTTTTTGATCATTTTGAAGTTGGCTGGGCAAAACAAACATTGTGAAGATGTCAGTTTGGGCTCTGGGTCACTGTGCAGGCTCTCTCCTTTTAAGGGGTGGGGATCACTCGAGGCCCCACGATATGATATTATCACAATACTTCAGTCACGACACAATTTTTGGATTTTAAAGGTGTTGTGATACGCTGAGTATTGCAATAAAATATGGATCTATATTGTGATTTATTACCTTTTTTCAACTGCAAATTATGTCCCCAAAGGAAAACTTTGTCAACATCTGTCTGTTCATCTGATTTCAGTCATTTGTATTGCAGCAAAATGTATCTAGTGGACTGGTGAAAAATTATATTACTCCAGTAGGCTACCAAAAGTTTAATTTGTATTTGTAATATTAATAATTTATATGATAAATAAGGCGACACTTGTTGTCCGTGTAACGATACGATATTGCCGCACAAAATCGCGATACTGTGCTGTATCTATTGTTTTGCCCACCCATGCTATTATTACTTTTTTCCAAACCAAACAATGGATGGATTAATTGAGCAAATAATCATCAGGTTTTCAAGTTAACAGTCATTAGTTGCAGTCCAAAATCCTGCTTTTGCGTTCATACTTTAGTAACAGTAATCTTATGATAAACAGCCATAGGGTCATTCATTCTTTAAGTACCATTTTTCTGATTATACCTTACACTTAATAGTCTAAGTGAGATTTTAAATGCTGGTCTTTTATCTGTAGGGTGTTCTCACAGTGTGGTAGCCTATTAGTAGGCTACTTGTTCTTTCACTTAATCAGAATACTTCACCATGCACAATACATACCCATGATGCCATTTGTAAGGTATTCTCCAGCTCCTTGTTGACCACAACAGCTTCATTATCCATAAAGTCGATGGCGGTTCCGATCCGGGCGTCTTTCCACTGGCGGTTCTTCTTCCACCAGGTGGCCATCATCATACAGAGCAGCACCCAGCTGATACTGAGGCCCAGGTATCCTGTCAGATACACGGGGTAGAGGACGAGGATGGCTCGGCCAAAGTATATCAGAAACTCCATCAGCATGCGATTGACAGCGGAGGAGTTGAGATTGTCCGAGCTGCCGTGGAGCGACGGGCTGTCCACGAGCCCCGCTCCGCCCGTCGGATGTATCTGTCCGGCGGATGCCATTGGGTCGGAACCTGGTTCCTGAAGTCCAGAAGAGTTGTTCTCGCTCCCTGCCTCGACCACTTTAATTTTTGTCGCGTAGTTCGGGTCACTTTTGCATGGCTTCCTCGAGGAAAACACGACAGGGAAGCCAAGCCACTGAGCACTCCATAGGTGCAGTAGTAAATTGAGTCATGACAGAACAAACTTCCGTGTTTGAAACTTCCAAAAGGAAGGTAGGCACACCTGCACCCATGGGTGGGGAGTGCGCGCCACAAAGAAAGAACTCCACCCTAAAAATGAATCCGAAGCAGCAACCTTGAAATACAAGAACCTGTTTCAGTGTGTGTGTGTGTGTGTGTGTGTGTGTGTATGAGTGTGTGTGCGTTAAATACTTTTGGCAATTGTTGCCTGGGCTTTCTGTACAGCGTATTTAACATTTTTAAATAAGATTTTGTTGCTGTGAATGTTTTTGTGACTGCGCCAAGCTTCTATAAATCATCATCATATTGTTCACAGACCAGCAGTAATGTACTATCTATGTTATCTGCAAAGCCCCAACCTTATATCTCGACAACAGGAGATAATAGTCAGCAGGGATGTATCTGCACAGATGCAGCATGACCTGCAGATGGCGCCAGAGAGTACTCATTTTAATAAAGCTGTGTGATAACAAGTCTGTGATTTCCTGAAATGGGCACTAACATACAGATTAATGTATTTATAAATGTTAAATTATGTGTTCTATGAGATGAACAGCAATGTTGCCTATATTATTCAGCTTCTGATCACTCTTTGTCAATTCCATATCAATAAATGGAGATGGTCTGACTCCAAACCCTGCTTAAACCCTGATTTATTGTTGAACTCAAGCAGTATGGCACCTTACTAGAAGATGTGAAGAACAAAAAAAGCTAAAGGACATGCCTTTTCTTTGAATTATAAAGGACTTGATATGAATGGACTTTAAATACCCCTGCCATGTTTTTTTCTTGTACGGCAATTGTTGTACACCTCTTTGTTATAAATTGTTTTGGACAAAAAAAAGAACTAGTCTGTGATTTCCTAGTCACTCTATAATTGTCTCACTCAGGAGTAACAATGTGCATATGTTTGTTTAGTGAAATGCATATGCAGGCACATCAAGTCTTAAATGCTAAAGTACATTTTGAAGACCTAGACAGAAAGCTGACCTCAATGCATGGGCTTGTAAGTTTGATACACTTGAAGACATCATTGCAAATGAAAGGATTTATAAGTTTAAGACTAACAATATATTTATATATGTGTGTGTGTACGTGTGACACACACATGTATAAGTAATCTTTCCAAGTAAACACATTGATTTCAGTTCAAAATAAACAGGAAAATGACAAGTGGGTGAGTTTAAGTTTAATGCAAAAAGAATGTGAATTTAGGACAATTTAAGACTTTTTACAGCCTTATATTAAGAAAACTTAATTGAAGACATTTTCAGACTTTTTAAGGACCTGTACACACCCTGATTTTACTGTGTGTACTGCTCTAATAGACAACAGGTGAACACAAGAGTATAGCTTAAGTGATTAACTTTACATTTAAGGAATAGTTCTGATTTTTTTGAAGTGGGGTTGTATGGGGCACTTATCCACAGACAGTATATTACAGTGGATGTCAGTCGGCAGTCAGTTTGGAGAAGCAGACTGAAGAGGGACATGTAAGCTAAGCAATGTATTGCTGTGGAGGGGTCATCAACAAAATGTATTTTAGCCACTTAAAAGAAGTCCCACCTAAAAAATCAGTTTAAGTGTATGCTATATTGAGAGTATTTACACTGTTTTACGTCAGTGTCAAACAGTGACTTCCAACAAGAAAATGTCTCTTCAAAGCCAGACTCCATTGAGAAAAAACAGCAATTTAACACTGCTGACCACAGGAGCTGCTGGTCGTCTGCTGCCTCATTCAGTTACTTTGTTTGTGTTATTGTGTGACTTCAGCGTTGAAAAGAGTTAGTTTGGATTCACCAAAGTTACAAAAGAACACAAACTAACTGGTTGAAGCTGACTCAGGTGTTCAGCTAGCTAAAATTACTGTTTCTGTCAATGGAGTCTTGTGGCTGTGACAAGAGCATAAATGGGGAACTAAAGCTGTTAAGGCTTCCCTGTCGAAAAAGGGCTGTATGACGGAAAGGTAAAGCAGTGGAAATACACTCAATATAGCATACACGTAAACTGATATTGATTTTTTTAGATGGGACTTTTTAAGGTGGTTAAAAAATATTTGTTGCTCCCTGCACCCCACAGCAGTACTTTGCTTGGCTTCCATGTCAGACTCCAGCCTGCTTCTCCTAACTAGGGGCATGCCGACTGACATCTACTGTAGGTAGTACCCCATACAACCCTGCTTCAAAAAAAATCTGTCCTTCAAAATATACAGAACACAATTAACACAATGGTGTGCTTGTATTAACTTTTTTTGTACAAGCTTGTTTACTGGAACAGCAGTTAACTTTCAGTTTTCCTTTCAAAACCACAAGTGATTGTTAACCCGATTAACACATGCATACTGAGACAAGCTTTTAGTATCGTTTATTATCCCATTATTTCCTGGTACAGAGTAGGTGCTTTCCATCAGCGCCTCACCACAGCGCACAGTGTTCAGTATATAAAGCTCAAAGTGCATACATAAAGTCAAAGATTTGTTTTGACAACCCTCTCATTTTCTTTTCATTCTTTGATTTCTTTTTTGCATAATTATTCTGTAGTATGACAGATATTTTCAAGGCACTATATGAATCTGACCACTAATACTTTCTTAACCAACCTTTTCGATCACTACAGGTTGCTTGTAAACTAGAAAATGACTGTTATTATATTGCTAGCACTAATTGGCAGTTTAAATCAAATACCCTAAGAATAAACAAATACATCAGTCCACTGATGATTCATAGCAAACAGTTATTTGATATTTGAGGCAGTGTCTAATGTAAGGCACGTGTTTGTTATCTCAGTGCTATCTCAGTCTGTCACTTGAATGTGATCAAATATTCAGGACAAGCCTGGCTGTCGTGGAAGATAACATACATGGCAGGACTGGCCACTTTGTCCACGACACTGTCGTACTTCTGAACAGAGACGGGGCCCTTAGCCGGCGGTGTGATCATGTTCCGTTGTCCAGCGGTGAAATCCCCCGTCAGCACCCGACAGAGGTACATGCACTTCTCCCCATTTGGGTTGGGCTTGGAGTAGGTGTCTTGAGCAGAGTAATTAGCATGGACAGCAAAGTATGTGCCATTGCCATAACAAGCAGCTGAAAGTGGAAAAGCAGCAGAAAGATACTGAGTTAATCTGTGAGATACTGAATAACAACTGTAGTGTTTGGAACATCCCTTAAAGTTAAAATGGGATGGTAACTTCTTTTAAAATACAGATTTACTGATATTGCTCTGAAGCAACTGAGGTACAATATGACCAGAATTGTTTAAAAATATGCTTTATTGCAGTGTAAAAACAACTAATCAATATTAGAAGGAATGTAATTATCTTTTAGGTTTTCAATACAGATTGAGGAGGTTTCTGACTAAATAGGCCTTGTGCAGGAAGCAATACAACAAATTTCCTCTGATTTCTGTTCATATCTACCATTTGTTCTAATTTTGTTAGTACCCACTGATTTCTGGGATTCACTGTTTTTTTTTTTGTTTTTTTTTTTATAAGTGGTCAAGAGCACTCTTACGAAGAAAAAAACATCTTGTTTTCACAGTTAAACTGTTTTTCCAACGCAAGGAAAAATACATTTTACATTTAAGAAACATAAAAAAATGCATAAATGTCATATAATCAAATGTAGATATTACATGTTTCACAGTAATTATAATGATTGGATATGAAATTTGTGGGCTTGTGAGCTACCTGTCAGGTGAGAAACAATAGATTGGCTTCACATTAAACTTAACTAACTACAATCACCAGGGTTGCATGTAAAGGCATATTTAAAACTAGTGTCAAAAATTCAGTTATCATGACAAAATTCTTATATTTGTACATTCTTATATTTGTAATTTATTTAGCTGGAATTTGTAACTGTTCACACTAAAACACACTGTGGGCTCAGTTTCTGATATTTAAAAATTCTGGTTGGATCATTTGTGCAGGACAGTCTGAAGATGCTGTGTGGCAAGTTTGGCGTCAAGCGAGTGAAAAATGTGGGAGGAGTTAGTTTTAGTTTTACAGTTTTTGAGAAAAATAGAGTGATGGACTTCAAAAATCTTGCCAGGCCAACATGAATGAAAATTTCTGCTTAATTGGTTGTACATTTCAGTGAACGCTGCAAAGTCGTAGCACTTACAGATGATTTGTTATGAATTTTTAAAGTTTTAAACTTTAGACAGCTGCTGTAGCGCCACCATCAGGACAATTTGCCACAAATTTTAGTTGAGGAAGTTTGGCATAAGACTGGATGTATGTGCAAAGTGTGGTTCATTTTTGTGCATGGGAAGGCAGATTCATGGTGGTACTTATAATATAATCATAGGAACAACAACATAAGGAAAAACATATAGGAGAAATTTAAGAGAATATTGCTGCATGAGGCCCAGAGTCTCATATTTTCAATATAAACTCACCGTTCTTTCCTGCGTAGCTCCTGTTAAAGCCGTGTTCATTGATGTAGGCCACAGTGGTGTGGCAGGTACCATGGAAGAGGCGTTTCTCATTGTTCTTGTGTTTGTTTCTCAGCTCCATGTCACGCTTCTTGATCTGTAGGCTCTTCCACAACACAGGGTTCTGGATCCTCTCAATCTAAGAGGAGGGAAAAGTACAGTGTTGTACATATGAGTTTATATCTATTACATTTACTGCTTTTCCTGTACAATGGTTTGAATTTATTTTATTCTTTACCCAAAAACTGGAGAAGCAATTGATTTTTTTATTTGATGAAAAGTGATGACAGAGATGTGACAGATAAAACATTATTCATTGCATACAGTGCACATTAAATGCAGTCTACCTTAATAATTGGTCTTTGGCATGAGGCCTGGAACAGATTCAGGATTTCAGTGTACTCTGCTGTCCCAGCCTTGATGGTGACAGCCATACATGAGGTGTTGGGTGGCATTGCATCCCAGTGCTCAGGTGTGTCTTCATCTAGAGGCATAATGAACAATTTCATTTTCATTATTCCTGACATCAACATTATATTCCCAATATTTTTTTTGAAAATGTGGCATCCAAAAAATGATACATATAACCACATATAAAGTGCTGAGAAACTTGTTAATAAAAAAGCAACCCTGAGAAATATTTTTACTGACTTAACAGACTGAAATCTGGTTTTAATACTGGCTTCATAATGGTGAGGTACTCAGTTTCTTCTGCATTACTGTGGATGTAAGGTAGGACACAGAAGCAGGGTTGCAACAAATGACACACTTATCAGAGGACACAGGTACGATACCTTTGAGTTTGTCAATGCGCTTTATCTGCAGGGTGCATCCCTGGTTATCAGTAGCAGGTCCCTTTGGCAATGTGACTGTGTAGTCTTGACCCTGGATTGTAACTTTTACATTTGGCAGCTTATTTTCCAATGCTTGCTCAAGCTTGAAGTTGGCCATAGGGTCACAACTCTGAAACTGCTGCCCCTGCTGCTGGTACTGCCAGTCCGCCACCATGCCCGCCCGCTCCACTTTCTTCTTCAGCTCCTCCTGATCCCTTGCCACCCTCAGCATCTCATGGATCTCGTGGCTGGCTTTGAGCACGCCCTTGCTGAACCCCTCGATGGTGACTGAGGCTTGGTCCTTCTTGCTCTCGGTCCTTATCGCCACGCCCAGGGTCTTCTGGATGTCAACCATGCGCAGGTAGTCTGCATCAGAGAAGCTGAGGATGGAGTTATCTGAAATGCACATGCTGTGTTTCTCTTTGGATATCAGGTCACTGATCCACTTCTTGGCATCGTCTACTTGAGTCTGCGTCTCACCGCAGATGTGGAAGGAAGCAGGGTCCACTTTCAGAGCCTCAATGACAAAATCCCCTTCTTTCTGTGGCTTGGCAACACTTCCACTCTGAAATAATGCTGAAGAAACAAAGTCCAAGATTTATTTTAGAATTTAACATTTAAAAGTGATTATGGTTTAAATAAAATGAACACCAAAATGATTTTCTTCACTGTGCTTACATTTGATTTTGGTGCCGATGTTTCCCCAGAAGCCTCCTTTATCTTTTGGTTCAGTGGCTTCTCTATGGTGCATACTGCTGTAGAAGTCTTTCAGCATGGGTGGCTGGAAAATAACTATCCGAATTGTCGTCAAGGAGCTGGAAGTGTTTTGGGTCAACACATCAACCACTGCATCCAACATGGCGTCTGCCACCTGCCTTGCCTGTACGTTGCCTTGACCTAGAATTGTACAGCACAGATTACAGACTTTTGCTAAAATTTTGTACAAGTATAAAATACAGTCCCAAGTGGCCATACCAAAAAAAAAAATACACTGAAGAGGCTCAGTTCTATTCATGTACACAGAGTCCAAGATGGATTTGAGGATGAATGTCAAGACTTCACAAATGATAAACACCAATCCTGCTCATAAATCTTACCTGTACCAATGGCAGGAAATGAGACAGAAGTGTGTGAGTTTTTCACACATGTTTGGAGTGCCACTTTCACAGCCTTGTTGATTTTTATTGGGTCCGTCTGGCCAACCAGGTGGAGGATCTTCTTACACTTAAGGTTTCCTGGCTGGGTTAGTATCATGCCTGTATTGGGCTGGGCACCTAAAGATGTAGAGTGAGGATCTGAATGCCTATGAACCTTGACAACCATGTGCGTATTTAGGCCATACTTCCTTTTGAAACAATCTTCAGTTATAAATAAGAATCAGCTTAATAATTGACTTTTTATCTATATAAAATGCCAAGCAAGAGAACTGTTATACTGTGTCAACTATTTGTGTAAATGTTTCCTTACCAAGGGTTTGGCATTCTGTTTCAACAGCCTGACCAGCTGCTTCGAGAATGGCCTTCGATACTCCTAGAGGAGGGAAATATAGAAACAAATTCATAAACACAGAAACTGGAGGACATGATTACACGTGGGATTCAAGATTGTCAACATGATTAAGTGTGGGTTTCACACGTCAAATATGTCAGCTAAATATTTACATTAAATCTAAAAGAATCTGAAATTATATTTTGCATTATTAAAACACTCTAGTTCTGGCTATCATCTACCTGACTTAAGGGAAAATTTTTCATTGGAGGAGTTGACGATGACATCAGTAGTTTCCTTGGTTATGTCTCCTGTTACCACCTGTATTACCACATTTCCCATTTTGGTCTCATGCATTCCTGAGCTCGAGACAACTTTAGAGAAAGGACCTGGAGGCACAAGACACAAATAAATAATTAACAGCGGTGCAAAAGCCCATTAAGTAAAGCTTTTTGTTAAAAGACAAAAACATTTTTTTAAATATAGAATTTGATCACTGCTGTAGCATTTAGGTCATTTAATAAGTAAAAGTATATCAAAGCTGTGTTTCAGTGCCAGCGTTATAATTGCTAACATTTGACTGCTTTTTTTAAAACATATTACAAAATAAATGTTTTTTTGTTGTGTGTATAAATTCACTTTTTCAATTCCTTCACTTCATAATGAAATGTTTGTTCAGAGAACTGTTATTTTAATCCTTACACATTTCTTATTACACATTACATTGTTTATTGCACATTAAAATGTTGCAATAACGTTGCCCACCTGGACTTTTTGGGGAACTCGCGGGCACTGGACTCCCTGAGGCATTGGGGAACTTCTTCATAAATTCATCGCTAAAAACCTGGAGACAGAATCACACAGATACTTGATAACAAAACACTCACAAATATCACAGCAATACAGAGGGAACACACTCTCAATTGACTACCTCTTTGTTAACAATGTTGTAGTGGTGAGCTATTACTGGTTGATATGGCTGAATTGTCATTAAAATTACAATTTTCAAGATTTTCACAAATTCAAACCGTAACTATTTATGGATGGCACACACATATTACCTCTCTGTATAGTAGTTTTCATGAGTAGTGGCAGGGTCTGCCATTCCCATGCTGGATTCACAGGAAATGATGCATGCATGTATTCCTGTGTTACTGTTTCCAATTTTATCTCATTAATAACCGCCTCAGTATTTACTTGTCTCTTCTGAAAAAATGGCTATTAAAACAGGTGTTTGCTGCCCCTAGAATTCTGGAACTTGTATTATTAGTAGTATTATAGTAAATTGTGGGACTAAAATCCTAAAGATTATGATTTTAAAGGTATACTATGTCATTAATGTTTGTAAACTGTTTTGCAAGCAAAAATGAAAGTAAAAGTCCAACCCCAGATTCTCTCATTTGGGCATGAGCTTTGTCCTTTTGACATTTCGTCTCAATATATTTGTGTTTTTTGGGGGTTTGTCTAAGATTTTTGTAGCTTTTCCTTGGATGATAGTCGCTTATGTTCTGGCACCTGGTCACTACCAGAATCACCTGCATGCTGTGCCCAGGAACGTCCTGATCATAGCAAAATAAGTAAGGAAAATCCTGCATGGTATACCTTTAAGTTCACCTCACTGCTTATTTTTTTGTTTAGCACTAGGGTTATGAAAGTACGACAACATTTGTGTTCTTTCCTTACCTGGATAGTCTGTGCATCTCCTGAGTAAAGGATGATAACGACCTTCTTCAGGTGCTTGGGTTGTTTCTTACTGCTAAACGTTGAGATGTCGTCCAGCAACAATGAGGCGGCAAGGTCTTTTGGGAAACCCAAGTTTCCAGTGCCGATGGCAGGGAAGGATATCGAGGTGAGACCACTGTCCTCTGCCTTGGCCAAGCAATCCTTAAAAATGCCACTCAAGGCCTGGAAGGCAAAGCATACATGCTATTAATATCCAAGTGCAATATATTGAATTTGTAAACTGCTGTTGCATCAATATCCCCTGCAACTAAGATATGATGTTTGACCCCAAACAGAGCAATTACTGAAAGCAATATGTCTTGTGTTATACAAATTAGCCAGATAATGTTTTACATGATATGCAGAGAAAAGGAGAGAAAATTGTAGATCTGGGGTGTTTTCCTCAGATCTCAGATCTTTCATCAAATTCAGATCAGAGAAGTAATTTAACCCATAATGTCCCTGTTTAACACTTTTACCTTTTCGGCTGTGCCTTGCCCGTTGTCCCAGTGAGGTGCAACTGCATGAAAGACCTGCTTGCTCTTCAGGTTGCAGCCCTCAGTGACAATGACCTCACCGACTTTTGCACTAGCCTTACTTGCAGTTACCAGCTGCTGAAGGTTGGGTCCAGCTGCACCCAAGATGGCATTTGAAACTGCCCCTCTGTTCAGTGCAAGATCCTCAGACGCAGTATTCACTGTCACCTCCGTCTAGAAATATATTTACAGAATGTTATCAGTTGCATGTTTTTCAATTTACATCCAAATGTTTTAGATCATAGAACATCTGAGTGTCAGAAATGGATCAGTCAAGTCCTACAGGACCACAGTCAACTATGGGGATATCATAGAACTAGAGAATAAGGTCAACAGTTAGTTAGATACTCTAGTTTAGTTTAGTTTAGTTTATTTAATTTATCAAGGGACAGTGTGCAATAGCATTAATCATTTACAAGAAATGAGGAGATGGTTGCACCAGATTTAGCTATAACTGCTAATTTCCATCTGTAGTCCCAACATATAATTCACAATAGACACAGACCACAATCTAAAATACAAAGGAGAAACCTAAAACACAGATGAACAGTGGACAGCACAGAGACAATACAGACATACAATTTCCACATTTAAAAAGCAATATGTAGTCCCTCTGTAGGAATGTTTCACTCTTAAACAAAAAACAAACAAACAAACAAAAAAACAGAATTGAAATTACCGTGGCATTCTCGATGTGTCCTTTTGTGAGAGTGATGCTCAAGCCCTCTGGGGTCTGCACTTGACCCAAGCAGTTTGGGTCAGTAACAGCAGATCCAACATGTGTCACACTGGCAGACTTGGTGGTTTGGCTGGGGAGAACTTGTTGAGAAAGACTGACACCATGATTTCCAAACTCCTGTCTGACAGCTGCTTCCATAGCCTGAACAGTACTGTCGTCATTGTTCACCAAATGGATCCTCTTCAGGTGGATGTCATCATACTCATCACAGTGTTCCTTCACTGCTTTGATGATGGTGATTGCACACAAATTGAGAGGAAAGCCAAGGTTTTTGCTGATGGCGGGCAGAGCCACAGAGATGCAGCCGCTCTTTTCAGCAAGTTCTAGGCTTCCTTTAACGGTTCTTTTCAACAGCGCCACAGACTTCTGAGGATTAGCTGAATCAAACTGGGGTCCCACTGCATGGATGATGTTTTTGCAGCAAAGCTGGCCCCCTGCACCAGTTATGACACAGTCTCCAGACTTGAGCTGTCCTTTCATGGTAATGAGTTTGTCACACTCATCCTGCAACTGAGGGCCAGCAGCATTAAGAAGTGCTGCTGAGAGTCCTCCATTATGTTTCAAGACGTTATTAGAAGCATTGACAACTGCATGCACTGGGTAGCTGCACAGATCTGCCTTGCAAACTGCTATTTCCACCCCATCAGATGTCTGAAGCTGATATACAGGCTTTGATACCTGTCTTTGAGCCAAGCTGTCCTGTCCACCACTGGTCCCATCAACCAGTTGGACCAGGCAGCCAGTTTCACTCAAGAGTGAAGTAACATACATAGCTTCTTTATCCCGGAAGAACTTCTTCACTCCAGGTATATCTACCTTTAAACTATCAAATAACACAGAAGCGACCTGGTTTTCAACCAAGGTCTTGCACTCTGCAACATCTACTCTAGACCCACTTAAACAGATGGCCTCCTTTTTGTAAGACACCATCACTTTGTCTTCAACGTGCTCCAACCAACATGTGTCAAGTTTTTCTATGTATTCAACTATGACATTAGGCTTGACCACAACCGTCTCTTCAACGTGAGCATTCTGTCTTAAGAAGTCAACAATCTCACTGCTAACTCCTGTGACACTATCCTTGTGGCCTGACACTACGACTTGTTCATCAGTGGTATAGATTCCAATTCTTCTGCATGACTTATTGTGATCATTTTCTAACTCACTGACCAGGTCCTGCCACTCCGGCTTCTCCAGCACATTACTATCTTCAACATTAATGTACTGAGATGTTAGCAGCATTCGCAGATGATCTTCAGCATCATTCAAATCTCTGTCGGAAACAGCAAGGAGCTGCACCCTGTGTGCATTGATTTCAAATGCTGCATTTATTCCTTTGGATATGAGGAGAGCATTTGTGAGATCCTCTTGTTGTTCATCCTTCAACACATCAAGCACATAGTTATCTATTTCTAAATTCTGTCGTTTTAATGCAAACATGGCATCATATATGACTTTGCTTGCTGCCAAAATCTCTTCCCTTAAGCCAGTTAGTATCAAATCTGCACTGTCTTTACTAAATGACATTTTGAGTTCTGGGTACACATGTAGTAGCTTGTCCTGAAGACCATCTTGACAGAGGATGTGGAAAATTGACTGTGACACTTTGATTTCTTGGGTCACACTCAATTTCTCCCTCTGCACCCTTTTGGTAATCTTGTCTACGACTTCACAAAGAGTCTGCTCTAGTCTGTTGACATCAGCCACAAGGCCAACCACTGATAAGACACCATTGGCTTTATCAGGCACTACAACCACATCTTCATTCAGTAGCATCTGTATGACCTTCCCCTCAGATTCTTCCCATACCCCTGACTCTGGCTGAAGCTTCAGGGATTTGAATTTTGACAGCGCTTGCGCAAAGGCTGACTTAACAGTATCTCTCCACTCTTTGACGATGGCTTTGGCATCCTTGAGCTGCAGCAGTGAAGATACAGGGCTCAGGCAAACAGTAGACTGGTTGAGGTTTACGTTGCAGAAGTCTTTTGCCAGTTGACTACGAATGGCCTCTGCTGCAGACTGATTGTCATTTAGGTATCTCCAGACTGCATAGTCAATGGGTTCAGAGACAGCAGCAGGGAGTTTTAGTGAGGGCTTGTCCTTGCCATAAAGGGCTGTTCCCAAAGATTTATAGTAAGGATAAACTTTGATCTCTTCCTGCTTGATATGATGCTTTTTCTTCATGATTTTCTGAACAGCTGTGGGGGAAAAACACAATCAAATATCGCATTGTCAAACTGTCTAGAATTCATATAAAGGTACCAGTCTCTTATGACAGTAATATCTAAAACACACTCTAAATGCACTACCTTTATGGTCTTTAAAGGTGATGATGACAGACTGTTCCACTTCATCCAGCACAACATTTTCCACATCCCCACCTGCATTCTCAAAATAAAGGCGGAGGAGATCTTCGCTGAAGTTCTGTATGTCTTCAACTACAACTTGCTCTGTGACTTCGAGAAGCTGTACTGATAGTCCTTTTTTCGTGAATGTCCTGTTTTGGGGGCATCTGGTCACGAAATCGGTGTTTTCTGTGAGGTAATTAAAAAAAGAAGTTAGGTGATAACACTTTAATAAAATAACACAACCAATACAAAGCTCTTTGTGCTCTCTTGAAAAAACACATTAGCCTTGTAGTGACCTTTAGTAAGAGAAGTTGTTGGGGCAACTGCAAAAGGGATTGATGGAAAAGATTTAGTTGTTGTTCAGTGCATGGCTGATTAATAAATGCATATTCTGGCATATATCTGGCATGTTTGCTTTCTGCAGGGAAACAGCAGCAATGTTATATTGGCTACCAGTATTCAGGATGAGGCAGGCGCTGTGGTTTTTATTTGTGCTCCTCATTAGTGTTCTGGAAAACTGTAGGAATCAAGTCATTTCTCAGTACTCGCAAGAAGTTATTTGTTGATGTAATTCCATGAGCAAGTGTCATTGGCTGTCTAATCAATGTATGTCGTAAATATGTTTTATCATACAAATTTAATTCTGCAATTACTTTTTTTCTTCTTTTTTTACTGTAGCAGGTTTGCGTCATTTCTTAATGTTGAAAATTACCAGAGGTATGCTGGAGATTATACACGGGCAATCCTTATTGTTTATAAAAGGAAAACATCTGCATAAACTGAGCTTATGGAACTATTAATTCACACACTCATTCACAGCAATGAGTACCTTTCGCACTCTGGAAAGTCACCACAGCAGAGGAGATGTCAGGAATGACTTCCAAAATGAAGCTTTCGGTGGCAGCTGGAGAGTCAGGATCCTTTAAGATGTTCTCCACCAGCATCTCTAGAAACTCCTGGTTTACCGTCTCTGGAATGTTTCCTAAAACAGCTGAAGCGGAGCACGGCAGCTCCTCATCTGCCGCCTCATCGTCTCTGCCTTGCGCCTCTGTCTGCGTGTCAACTGCAGGTGTGGGTTCATCGATTCTCGGTCGCTTGTTGTCAATGGCAGCATTCACTGTTAATGAGATATAAAGGTTAAGTGACTGAATTAACGTCCCACAAATAGAAAATGCTTTCATAGTTGGGTGTTATTTAGTATTAAATTATCTCACTTTGTTACAAAATGTGTGTTCAAAGTTTTTCCAACACATCAGATTTACTGTGGTGGCCACCTAAAAAGATTTCCCCACACCTAAAAAATGTATCTAATTTTTCATGCATTTTTTTTTTTTTTTTTTTTTCAAATGTTAAAGTGACACTTGGGTTAGTGCAAGAATCATTTTACAGCCCCTCCTTCTTCCCTGTTGTGACAGTTTCCTGCACAGTGACAGTGGATTTACAGTTTACCTGTGCCAGCTTCATAATCTCGTGTGTCAGTGTTGACATTACATAGTTATTACCTGTGTGTCATTTTCTGAAAAGATGTGTAGCTGGTCCTAAACAAGACTGCAAAGTTTTTAACATTTCTTAAAAGCTCAGTGCTTTTTTGCATGTCTTCATAGCTTATTTACTACTCCGAGCTGGGTGCACCCTGCCTGGAGGAATGAAGGGGAGTGGTTTAACAGCCATTTTAGATAGATCATCACTATGACTAAAAACAAATCTGTCACCACAGAGCTGTGCTAAGTTATTTTGATGTCACTGATGTTTTTTTTACATTTACCCCACTAATCAAATAGACAAAATAAAGCAAAAGAAAATGGAAAAGAAGAGAGAGAGATAAGGACACAGAGAAAGAGCACTGGTGGAGAAGTATGCGGAGAGAACCGAAACTGAAACTTTATTTCTGGTGATGTCATGTAGTTGTGTGAAAGTCAGTGGTTTAGCAATAAGATGGCCTAAACAAGTGCCAAACTGGACCAGTTAAAAGCCCAGTATGAAAGTGAAGCAGGTTTATGTTAAGTTATATTAAATTCAGGGTTTAGTGTACTTGTTTCAGTACATACTAATACCTGATGAATAGAATAAAACCACATAAAAGTCTTACACCGAAGAAATGCAAAGATCTGGCTGACCTGAAAGGGCAGATAACATTTGATCACAGAGCATGTGGCCATAATGCCACACCATACTACTTGTATCAGACTTACAAGGTTCCTCATTTTGGGAGTAACAACTACTCTGGATTTGGTCTCTGTGGCAATCTTTCCAACATGCAAAGATATGATACCGTTTGCCGCAGCGGCCCGGGTTCGACTCCAGCCTGTGGCCCTTTGCTGCATGTCACTCCCTCTCTCTCTCCCCCTTTCACACTTGTCTGTCCTATCCATAGAGGAGAGTTTGGATAGTACTTATTATATCCAGATTTATTTATCTTAGATAGTTGAAATTAATTATTTCAAGAGACTTTATGCTGACCACATTCACAAACAAAATGACTGACTTACTAACTAAAAATGAGTAAAAAAATCTATATTTTGACTAAAATATATAGAGTGACATTATAATTTAAAAAGGATAAAACTGTTGATGCTATATTTGTATTTTTAGCACCATAAATGTTCTTTATTGCATGCATATACTGCACTACATGAAAGGATGTGTGTGTGTCTCTGTCCAAAATAACAAACACCAAAAATAACTAAATCGTGACAACTTATCCCATCTAACAAACATCACTGTGAAGGAGTAGGACACATATTTGTTTTAATGAGTACTTACATGTATAGTTGAGCTCATCAGATGGAGTTTCCTGTATAGGGAAAAATACATACATATTTAAATAACCTTGTTTTATTCATCACTTTGGTATCTTATGTAACTAGTTTCACATGGCACACTGCCATAAAAGAATCCAGCCAGAGACTTTTTGTGTCAAGGAACATAACACAATAATGTCAAAAAAGTGTTTTGAACTTCTGGTTTGGACTTGTATGATGTACAAACAGTAGGAAGTGAGAGGACATAAATCTCAATATGCAGCACAGCCTTGGGTTTATGATTATTCACATGACTACCAGTAAGATAAAGCTGTACAGCTAGACTCTCTCCAACAGGTTGCGTCAGAGAGACAACAACAACAACAGTCCCATTAGAGCCTGAGAGAGAGTTTCAATAATGTTTCAAAGTTTTAGATACTGAGGAATAGCTGAATGTCATTGCTATTTCATTTGAGGATAAGACAGGAAGTAAATGTTTTATATAACAATGACTCCAGTGACAGCCGGTTTGACCATATAGGGCCTTTAACACGTGCTCATTATAAATAACATCACAAGTCTGTAATCAAAAATGATCTAATTTGAACGTCTCACTTTTTGTACACACTTATTTACCTGTGTTGTTGTCTCATCTGTTAATAACCGGACTGTCATCTTCAACACGCCTTTATCCAACGAGATCTGATGCGCCTCTTTCCGCAAAACATTTTGTTGGTCTACAAAAGAAAAAAACACATAAAACCAATTTCAGTAAATACGTAGACTGTTGATGATGGTGGAAACTTAACTTTCGGTCTTGTAATGAAAAACTAAAGTAAGCCACGGTCTAGTTTATCAGGTCAAACTCACCCTCCTCTCTGCGGAAGCGTAACACCGCCGTCCCGCTGCCGTTGGCATATTCAACTTCACAGTCGCCCCCGTTAGATTTCTTACTCTGAAAGTATTTCACTAATTTGTTTTTTAGTCTCGGTGCGTTGTTGTCTTCGAGCTCGACGAGCAGAGCATACGAATATGCGTCCGCCATCGTCGCTGGCTCACTCGCCTCTGCCCTGCTTTACTTTCAGTTTTGTTTCTTAGGAAATGGGGTGACTCTGTCGACGTTGTTATTGAGTACACACGAAGCATCGATGCAGAGTGGGCTGCAGCTGAAGAGGGGAGGACAGTACACAGGCTTTCAGTGGTCATAGAAAAGGAAAGGACAAGTTAAACCAGCAGAAAACTTAGCTAACAGTTTGTAGACATCGGCAGCCTGTCTCACTGTTTCACTTTCTGCTTTTCCTCGGTACTTTCCAGTGAGGTGGGTGAGTATCTTCATATCTCAGCACATTTCTCTTCCTTTAGTCTTTTAAAGTGGCAGAAAGTAATATTAGTGTCGAAATACATGTTTGACTTAAACTATTATGGACTTAAAACTAGCTTAAAGCTATTTGTTTTGTGTCTCGTGAACACCGTGCGTCGGGTTGCTCGCGCTGATGACCCACTGTGTAACGACAGAGATTAAAAAATGGCGGTTTAATTAAGTTATAGATAGCCTAACTTAATATAAACTCGTATACAGTGAAACAGGTACATTTAATGTCAACGTCTTTTTTTTTTTTTTTACCCCAAATCATAGTTACATTTTAAGTAACACGGTGTTCATTAGACAGCTGTCAAAATAAACTAGACCAACATTATACCTACTTATGCAGTGTACAAAGTGAATTCAGGAGCAGCTGGCGTGAGACAACTGTAAGAACACCTTGGAAACATAGTAGGCCTAAGTTACTGAATTAAAGGCAATTATTTGGGTTTCCTTTAGTAAAGTTTGCCAGTTTTAAATTTTACAAAACGTAAAGCCCGAAACCTTTGATGCATACCAATTTTCAAGCAGTGTACTAAGCATATAAACACATTGTCTATACTTTATGTAGTATTATGGGATGGAAAACACATTGAGTTGGTGATTGATCATTGAGTGGAACTAAACTTCTACATTGGACACTGTCTCTGTCTCCCTCTGCTGGACTATAAGGAAAACAGTTCTTATATCTGATGCGGAAATACACTCACCAGCCACTTAATTAGGTACACCTTGCCAGTTCGGGGTTGGACCCCTTTTGCCTTCAGAACTGCCTTAATTTTTCGTGGCATAGATTCAACAAGGTGCTGGAAACATTCCTCAGAGATTTTGGTCCATATTGACATGATAGCATCACACAGTTGCTGCAGATTTGTCGGCTGCACATCCATGATGCAAATCTCCTGTTCCACCACATCCCAAAGGTGCTCTATAGGATTGAGATCTGGTGACTGTGGAGGCCATTGGAGTACAGTGAACTCATTGTCATGTTCAAGAAACCAGTTTGAGATGATTTTAGCTTTGTGACATGTTGCGTTATCCTGCTGGAAGTAGCCAGCAGAAGATGGGTACACTGTGGTTATGAAGGGATGGATACGGTCAGCAACAATACTCAGGAAGGCTGTGGTGTTTAAACGATGCTCAGTTGATACTATGGGGCCCAAAGTGTGCCAAGAAAATATCCCCCACACCATTACACCACCACCACCACCACCACCAGCCTGAACTGTTGATACAAGGCAGGATGGATCCATGCTTTCATGTTGTTATCGAATTCTGACCCTACCATCTGAATGTTGCAGCAGAAATCCAGATTCATGAGACGAGGCAACGTTTTCCCAATCTTCTATTGTCCAATTTCAGTGAGCCCATGTGAATTGTAGCCTCAGTTTCCTGTTCTTTGCTGACAGGAGTGGTCTTCTGCTTCTGCAGCCCATCTGCTTCAAGGTTCGATGTGTTGTTCATTCAGAGATGGTCTTCTGCATACCTTGGTTGTAACGAGTGGTTATTTGAGTTACTGTTGCCTTTCTATCATCTTGAACCAGTCTGGCCATTCTCCTCTGACCTCTGGCATCAACAAGGCATTTTCACCCAGAGAACTGCTGCTCACAGGATATTTTCTCTTTTTCAGACCATCCTCTGTAAACCCTAGAGATGGCAGTGCGTAAAAATCCCAGTAGATCAGAAGTTTCTGAAATATTCAGACCAGCCCGTCTGGCACCAACAACCATGCCACATTCAAAGTCACTTTTATCACCTTTCTTCCTCATTCTGATGCTCAGTTTGAACTTCAAGACCATATCTACATGCCTAAATGCATTGAGTTGCTGCCCTGTGATTGGCTAATTAGCTATTTGCGTTAATGAGCAGTTGAAGAGGTGTACCTAATAAAGTGGCCAGTGAGTGTAGGTTTATTAGGAAAATGTGATTCCAAGTCGGTCAAATGTAAGATACAGCTTTAGGGGATCATATTTATGTATATAATGAAGATAATCCCATTGAAAGACCAATGGTGTGAAGAGTATCTGTTTATATTTAACCAATAATCATATCACTTATGTAGATCTATTAAATGAAGTCTGCGATGTTCTTACAGTTTGATTGATCATCCCATTTCCATTTTGTGCCTCACTGCCAGTGACTGTTTGATCATGTTGTAGGCACACTCATTTCCCCTCTGCTGTCCTAAGTCATATTTCTTGCATTTTAAGTTGAACATATTGATTTGATAAGGCATTATCAGTCATTCATTTATGCTTCTTGTCTTGACTAACTGTTAAAGTCATCAAGTGTATGCATGATGTTTAAGGTACTCTAATGCTGTGTATCAAATATATTAACCAAACACTGGTGTTTTTTGTACAGTTTTCCTCAGCTCTGTTTAGGAACCATGGTCAGTAAATTAGATATTCCTCTTCATGGGAATGCAGTCAACATTGTGAGGCGATGTGGATTTGCTCTGAGTGATGTCCTTCAGAGCAAATTTGGATGCCTGGCCATCATCGATGGTGTGGATTTTGACAGAGATCCGAGCATTGCACAGCAGAGGGGGCCAACTATTGTTCCAGAGAAAAGGTTCAGTGTTAAGCTGCGTGGAGGTGTTCAGGTATCTGTGTGGAAGGCTGATCTTATCAACTATCAGGTGGATGCTGTTGTGAATGCTGCTAATGAGCATCTTCAGCATTATGGAGGCCTTGCTCTTGCTCTGTCCAACACCGGCGGTCCACAAATCCAAAAGGACAGTGAAGACTACATTAAGAGGCATGGCAGCTTGAAAACAGGAGATGCAGTTGTCTTTGATGCTGGGTTCCTACCATGCAAGAAGATAATTCATGCTGTGGGCCCGCGACTGCCACCATATCCTTCTACGCATGATGTTATGAGGTATGAGCCGCTGTTGGAGAGAGCCATCAAGAACATTCTTGACAGAGTTAAGGAAAACCAGCTGCAGTCTGTTGCCATTCCCGCAATAAGCTCTGGTCTGTTCCACTACCCCCTGCCAGAGTGTGCTAAAACCATAGTGACAGCTGTGAAACGCTACTGTGAAAATGCTTACTCTCCACATCTCCTGCCGAAAGAGATCCACCTCGTGAACCATGATGAGCCTACGGTCAAAGAAATGGAGAGGGCCTGCCATCAGATATTAGCTACCAGCAAACACAGAGGAGACACTAAAACCCCAACACAGACCGTCCAGCTTGGAAACGTCCATCTGACACTGAAGAGGGGTAAAATTGAGGAGCAGCAGGTAAGAATCTGTAATGTTTCTCCATTAATTAGTCAATCGGTTATTTACTTATGTTACACATTTAATGTGGATGGCTGTTTGCATAAAAAAAAATCATTGTATTTATTTTTCATATTTCCAGGATTATTCACCAATACGTTCTAACTACTCTTATCTTCACAAACATGCTCGTAGCCTGGTCCATAGTTGGAGTGACATGTGAAGAGCAACATTAACAGTTACTGTAGCTTAACAGTATAAGCTTCTCTACTATTTAAGGAAAATAAGTCTCAGCATGCGTGTGGTACTTGTCACAAGCTACATGCTTGCCTTCTCATGTACCAACTGTGTTTTCTCTCAGACAGATGTCATCGTAAACACTGCATCAGCACAGCGAAATTTGGACAACGGTGCAATCTCCAAGGCTATATTGCAGAAAGCTGGTAAAAAAATGCAAGAGGAAATTAAACATGCTCCTCGGCAAGGACATGTCATCGTCACACAGGCGTACCAGCTGCAATGTAAAAAGGTGTTTCATACTTTTTGCACGGAAAAGGGGATAGACCCAGCGGCACAGCAGGTACAGTATGAGTTTTATACCATATATTCTTAGTCTGATATATCCCAAATGGTAAAAAAAATAAAAATAAATCAAGATTAAACATGTCATGTTTCAAAAAACATATTGTTTCACGGAGTTATTTAGTTTAAACTTGTCTTTTTGATGACATCAAGAGACCATATAATCTAAGTAGCCGTAAACACAACTCATAAACCAAACCGAAAACCTAAAATGCATTCTGTCAATAATAATCTTACATTATAAACTGTTTAAGTTCTACTCTCATAAGATTCTGAATTTGTCTGTCTGTCCACTTATTCATTCATTACAGAAGCTTTTCAATTCAGTATCAGATTGCTTGTGGTTGGCAGGCACAAGTCGCCACAAGTCAATTGCCTTTCCTGCCATCGGCACAGGAGACCTTGGATTCAATAAAAAAGAAGTTGCCGACATCATGTCACAGGCTGTGGTCGACTTCGCCCAAAAGTTCTTAGAGAAGATAGAAGTTGACTTTGTCATATATCCCTCTGACAACAACACATTCAAGGTTGTATATCAAAGTACTGTCGTGATATTAGAGTAATATTGCTGTATTGGCCATATGTTTGCACAGTGGGTGGTTCCTTGACAATAATTAAAATAGAAAGACAGTTTCAACTGTTATGAATAAAAACCAAAACACTGAACAACAACAAAAAAGAGACCGAGGAATACAGATGGTTCCAATCAGTAAAAGACCAATCTGGAAATCCATCGGTAAAAAAATGTAGATTGCAGAATCTGTCTTGAGAGATTAGTAAAAGACAGACTTGAAAGGTGACACTTTGTATGAAGTAGCTATAATCTCAATCAGGGAGGTGCAATGTAATATCTATCTGTTAGATGGAATTATGTTTTTACTGTTGTGTGAGACACTCCCTACACCTGCTGTGAATTGCTAACTGGGTTTGTCTGGTCACACAAGTCGAGTTGCCAATGCTGTCTAACTTAATAACTCAAGGAAATGCAATTTATGCTTTGTGAATGTGTCTCATTAAAATAAATACATTAATTACCTTCTCTTTTTAGGCTTTTGAGGAACATATGGGATATCTCCAGCAAAAAGCATCTCATGGTAACACAATATTTCAGCTATCATTTCATGTACTCAAGGGTGAGCTTTGATGCAAGTACTGTACAACAGGAGTTGGTGGTCATCAAGCACTGCAGTGCAGAAAACCAGTTCTGATTCAGGCAACAAATATATATACTTATTGTTTTTGTAACATCTATGTCTGCATATGATTTGTCTTTATTGTAGAGGTTGCTGTAGAAACCTGTAAAGCTAATGTAGCACAGCAAATGTAAGCATGGTGGGAAAGCCTGTTTGACTGTACTGTTGCTGAAATGTTTAAAAAATAATATTAATTCTGAATTTCAGCAATGATGCTGTCTTCACCAGCATCTGAGCACAGAGCTGACTTCCATGGCAGCAGATCTCCCACTCCACAGATCAGCCTGAACGGCTCCTCTAATGAAACAACCCGAGAGGCTGAACAATGGCTCAGTTGTCTTCTCTTCAGGTCCAATGGCAAAGTTGTCATCTGCAACAACTTCATCCTGCACTTCGGCGAGAAACAACATCTGCAGCTGTCGCGTCTACTGAAAAGCGGTGTTTCCATTGAGGAGGTCTTTGAGAAAGGTCACGCAAGCATTGTTGTAAAAGGGGATTCAGATGAAGATGTTGTAGTTGCTGGGTTGCAGGTGGAGGCCATGCTCTGCAATGTCCAGAAGGAGTTTGTCATGGAGGAAGAGTGTGCCATGCTTCCTGCTGTGATGACTAAGAGTCTGTCCTTTGAAAGAAAGACAGTTGACAACTCAAACCAGGTGTTCTTAGACAGATTATCTGGCTACAAAAAGCACGGGCTGTTTATCGTAAAGGTACAGTATGTGTCAATGAAAAATGCTTAACATTGTGGGAAATTTTAAAGCTTTGTCATAAGGTTGATGTCAGTTAGATTTTTTTTTTTTTCACATTTCATGTATTAACATTAATCCTACTACACAGATGAGCCATTTCAAAGTGGACATATTACTAATTCAAATGGAGTTGTGTGTTTGTACTCATTTGTTTCAAATACTATTTATCAGTCAGCTTCAAGTATCTTATTTTGAATCACTGCTTAACCAGTAAAATATTTTCTTTTCAGGTGGACAGAGTGGAGAACCCTGCACTGAAGAAGCTCTTTGAACTCAAGAAAAAACAGCTCAGCTGCTCCACCCCTCCTCGAACAATGGTTCAACGCATACCTGCACAATTCTGTGAGATGGTTAGCCACATCGGATTCCATGCAGAGTACGCACCACCTGATGGTATGATAATATTTCAACAAACAGCATTTGATAATGCAAACAAATTCCTTGGGTCCGGTAAATGCTCATTTTCCTGGGTCTTGTATGGCAGCATTACAGATACAGAACATTTAAGTTAGAAAAGGAATGATAACAAATAAATATACAACCCCAGTACCAAAAAAAAGGGACAGGGTGTAAAACTTTAAGAGAAACAGAATTTAAGGATTTGAAAATCATTTTCAACATTTATTCAATTGAATTCAGTGCACAGAAAAGGTATTCAGTGTTCAGACTGATAAACTTTATTGTTTTTTTGTAAATACACACTTTCATGTCTGCAACATGTTCCAAAAAAGTTGGAACAGGAACATGTTTACCAATGTGTGACGTCACTTTTTCTGTCAACATCACTCAGTAAGTGTTTAGGAACTGAGGGCACTAATTCTTGAAGTTCTGAAAGTGAAATTCTTTCCCATTCTTGTCTGGGGTCTCCCTTGTCATATTTTGTTCTTCCTAATGCGCCACACATTTTCAATGGGAGTCAGGTGTGGATTGCAGACAGGTCTAGTACCTGCACTCTTTTACTACGAAGCCACGCTGTTGTAACACGTGCAGAATGGGTCTTTATGAGACGTATTAGAAATAGATAGCACCTGGATGGCAGCATATGTTGCACCAAAACCTGTATGTACCTTTCAGCATTCGTGGTGCCTTCACAGATATGAAAGTTACCCATGATGCCATGGGCACTAACACACCTTTATACCATCACAGATGCTGGCTTTGAACTTTGAGCCATTAACAATCTGGATGGTCCTTGTCCTCTTTAGCCCAGAGAACACAGCGTCCATGATTTCCAAAACAATATGAAATATGGACTCATCAGACCACAGCACACTTTTCCACTGTGTCAGTCCATCTCAGATGAGCTCGGGCCCAGAGAGGTCTGTGCCGTTTCCAGATGTTGATATATTGCTATTGTTAGTTATTGTCTTAACTTGAATTTATAGGTGCAGAGACGAAGTATGTCTACCAGCAGTAACTTTCTAAAGTGTTTCCAAGCCCATGTTGTAATATCCTTTTATATAATCACGTTGGTTTTTACTGCAGTGCCATCTGAGGGTCAAAGGTCACAGGCATTCAATATTGGTTTCAAGCCTCACCCCTTATGTACAGAGATTTCTCTGTATGCTCTGGATCTTTTGACGATATTGTGGATTGTAGATGGTGAAATCTCTTTGTGAATCTTATTAGCAACTGTGCTTTGAGAAACTTTGTTCTTAAACTGTTGGACTATTTGCCCTCGCATCATCTCACAAAGTGGTCATCCTTGTTACTGACATGCTTTCATACCCAGTCATACTTTAATTTGTTACCAATTAAACTGTTTACTTGTGAAATGTTTTGAATATTTCACAACTTGACCAGTCTTCTGTTGCACCTTGTTCCAAACTTTTTTGGAACATGTTAGAGTCATCAAATATCGAGTGTGTGTATATTAACAAAAAACATTAAGTTGATCAGGTAGAATATTAAATATCTTGTCTTTGTACTGTATTCAATTGAATATAGGCTGGGAAATATTCACAAAGCATTGGATTCTGTTTTTTATTTACGTTTCACAATGTCCCAACTTTTTTGTAATTGGGGATGTAAAAACAACTTTCTTTTTTATCTTCATCTGTATACAGATCCATCATTTGGAGAGGGCATCTACTTTGCTAGCAAAGTGAGGATAGCCATGGAAGTGTGGAAGGAGCAGAAGGGGCCAAAGGAGGAGTATCTGTACTTCGTCGAGGCTGAGGTGCTGACAGGAAACTCCACCCTTGGTAAACCAGGTCTCATTCTGCCACCTGCTGTGGGGACAGAGTCACAGACTGTGTACCACAGTGTGAGCGGAGGGCCTGACATCTCTGTCATATTTAGTGGTTATCAAGCTCTGCCCACGTACATTATCACCTGTAAGACGTGCTGAAGAGTGATTCCTTCACAGTTTATTCTGTTGTATGGGACAAATACAAATGTAAGAATGCTTCTAGTGCTCGAGGAAACTGGACAGTAACAAGTTAGATTGTTCTAAACAAGCTGAAGTACAGTCTTGATTAATGTATTTACTACTAGAAAGAAATGGCTATTTGCATTACTCCTTTAAATCATATAATGGAGACCATTATTACAATATGAGCTTATATGCAACTTGAGAAAGATGTCATTAGTTTTCAGTTTCTAATTTTTTCACTATGTGTTTGTTTCTTTTGAGTAATTACCATATAGTTTACATAGCAGCACAATCATTTGTATATCAATCAAAGATGCAACTTGTCTTATAGCAACAATCAAAGCTGGAATGATGGATTTGTTCGGTGGCATCACACGATACTTTATATACATATATGATATTTTATATGTACCAGTTAGTACAGACATAAAACTGACTTCATTTTGTTTAAAGGAAGATTATTGTAAGACTTCATATAAAAGGTGAAACGCTTTGGCTGCAAATACATGACTAATCTAATTATAAACTATTAATAACACATATTGACTACAGTGGGATGGATCAATGGGTGCAGCTGGTTCAAAGTGCCTGATGCTGATGTCAAAATTAAACAATGCTTTAAGAACAGTTTGGGTATTGTGTTGTTGTTGTTTTTTTTATGTTCAATGAATCAAGGCAATTTCGTTTGACACCTAATTTTAAGTCAACACCACCTCAGCCAATATTTAAACCCAGAGCCATTTTTTTAATATTTGACAATCCTTTTATGTAACTCGACAACAAAACCTGATCAGCTACTTGGATTTAATGAAATTAAATACAATTTACATTTTACAAACATGGACCATAACAATAAACAAAATGGAATACATGTACAGTATTAACATAAAGCTTTTAAACAGGACATGAAAGACAGGAAAATTCCCTCATATTCTTAAAGATACAGTAACAACTGTTAGAGATCACAGTCTATTGAGCATTAAAGTCCATCCTTGACCTTGTGAAAAATCTAAAAAAAAAAAAAAAACCTTAAAGGTCTAATGTGTAGGATTTGTAGCATAATGAGGCGAGGTCGCAGACCTGGAACTTCTCCGGTGTGCCAAGCATGTAGGAGAACTATGGTGGCCAACGCGAAAATGCTAATGGCCCTATCTAGAGCCAATACTTTGTTTGTCTGTTCTGGGCTGCTGTAGACCAACATGACAGAGTCCGTGAAAGAGGAGCTGCTACATATGTAGACATAAATGGCTCATTCTAAGGTAACAAAAACACAGTTCTTAGTTTCAGGTGATGATAAACTTGTGAAAATAAGTTAAGAAAATGTGTTCCCTTTCTGCAGATGGACGCCCTTAAATCCTACACACTGGACCTTTAACTCAAGGTCCATTTAGTAGCTTCTCCTGGAGCTTTTAGCTGCATCACGCAGTCATCAGCAGATGACTTTTACTCAGTTGTCATGAACATCTTGATGGACCTTGGATCAAGTCTTTTTTTTTTTATTGGTCAAAACACAAAATGTGTTAATGCAAAGTGTTTTCGCTCTATTTTACCAGTGCCCATCAATAGTAAATGCCTCTCTTTTCAAAATGTAAACAAGCATTTAAGATACACTGGAAAATAATCTTTAGTTTCTAATCATGACTTTATAAAAATGTTTAGCTTAACTTCTGTGAAACCACACCATCTGGCCTTTACACAAAAAAACAGACTAATAATTGACAGTACAACAGTTTGCCACACATCTCCGAGGATGACAGGGAGACTCCCAAGTATGTCTGGATATCAGCAAGTGATTTACGTCAGCTGAGTATGATTTATTACTGGCAATAATGTCACATCTGAATGATTGTCTATGAAACTGTCACAGCCATTAAATTGTAGACGGTGCAGCCTAGGATATTTTGACAAATCTACAGCAGTCTGCTAAAAGCTAATAACATATCACTGTAATATCGACTGGCTGAAGGAGTCATACAAAGACCATTTAACACGTTGCCACAGGACTAAACAAAGATCATTCCTGAACAGCACACACTGATATGATGCTACATTCAAGGAACAATATCCTGGTGTTAAATCCTCCTACTGCGTAATATTGAAAAATACAAGAAAGCAAGCATAGAAAGCAGGTTGAGTCTGGAGTTTATAGGTTATCTGTAAAATGTTATTTTCTACAAAATGTGCAGTGTATCTAAGAACACCTGGGCCCTGTTCTTCATACGTGGACAACCGAGTTATCCACATTAGTATGTAAACGATTTGACACAAGACTGGATTATTTGGCTTAATTTATATCTGGAACTGTTTTCATAGCAACAGGTCCTTAAGCCCAAACTTGCCAAAGGGCAGGCTTAATGTTAGCTGGCTGGATGACGACGAAGATGTTCTACTGCGAGCCATATTCATGAAGTTACTCAAATACAACTGTCTCACATTGTTATATTTATATGAAAGTGTTGATTATGGTTTTACGAGACAACATGCAGGTTATTGATAAATCAGTATTGCCTGTCATTAGTGTAATGATTCCAACAAAAAAATTCTCAATGAAGTTATGTGTACCTCTGCATGACGAAATATGAATGAAACAGAGGTCTGTACACAAAAAAAGAACCAATCCAAATGTAGTTTGAGATACTGTGAGCAAAAACACTTCAAACGTAACTAAAAGACTGTTAAAAGGTCAATGAAACCAGATTGGCATTTAATTGGACATGAAAATGTGTCGTTTGAACTCTAAAATGTTTTAAATTCTGAACTGCAGAACTCACTTTGCTGACAAATGTTCATCGGCTGCTTTTTAAGAGGTTTTAGTAAGGTTTCATTTTCATAGTTATAAAGCTATAAAGTGTCTTCAATGTCCATGATGGAGATCCTCACCTCATCATGCACCACCATCACCTAGTTCAACAACATTCACTGGTAATATATAATGTTTAACGGCCTGGAAAAAATGGAAACATGAAAACAATTAAAATGAGATTTGTGCCAATGAATCTATCGCCCTAGTGCATGCTGGGAAAGATCCCAACACACCTACCTCATAACTAATCACATGATCAGCAATCAAACGATCATATGGATGGTGATTATGTTTTCAAGTTGGGTTAATGAGATTACAAAATTAAATTCAAGGACTTTCAAGCACTTTTTTTATTACAAAGACTTCACATAAAGCAGGAGCTTAAGATTCATTTGACATTTTCTGTGCAGCTATTACATAAGCACATGGTTTAAGAGAGAGGATAATAAAGTCGGCTCATTAAGTTAAATCAAGTTATTGCTAAGTTTATGACAACATAAGTCTACTGGTTTTGCCGGGGTTTTAAGAGTGGAGCGGAAGTAAAAATAAACTATAATTTTTGGGTGGACATTGTGCATCAAAAAAGCTGAGCAATTTCTGATTCAGAGCAATTTCATTATAATGACTAATTTAAAAAAAAAAAGATCAATGTATAAGAAAGCACTGTGTGGTTCTGTTTAGAAGGGGACTATTTTCAAGGTTCTTTTTTCTCTCCCTCAAAACTGAGGTAAAGCACCTTGTACAAATCCTGAAGCCTCCACTAATTTTGCCTTTAATTCAAAATAATAGTCCAGTGTTTTTCAAGATAAGACCATCCATGATGAACAAATCAATCCTCAAACTGCTTTCGAAGAACTTGTTAGGCTTAATAAGTTGAGCCTCATTTGAAGAACAGGGCCCAGCTGCTTGTTTTAATGACCACAGGGCAAACTGAGCCAGGCTGAGTTAGGTACATATGGCACATCAGGCCTCTAATGCTGTAAGTGTTACTGAAATTTCTATTATGTATATCAATATAAAGTACAAGTTTATAACTCAATAAAGTTTTTTTCAGTGTGAAGTTAGTTACATTTCCAGACAGTAAATCCCTTTTTGTGGTGGAAATTTATGGCTGCACCCTCTTCTCTAAAACTACCCAGACTGAGGGTCCTGTCTTCAGCTCTTACTATATTAATTACAGAGCACCCCTTACAGTACCAATATATGGCCAATATACCCTCCAGAGGCCATGGCGTCCAAACGTAGGAGCGCATATTTTTGTCAGCTGGTCCCGACTCCAACAGCTTTAAATGACATTCGCCTTCACTACACCCTCTCCCAGTTTCACAGGTACAAAGTCACACATACAAACCTGATCTCTGCTTTCACACAAGTTTAAACGCACGCACACACACGATCACTCTGTGCACTCAGCTATCTCTGTGCCGTCCACAAGCAGCGTGTGAATGATCCCATCTCGCCTCTTCCCGCTGCTCACAGCCTTCACGCAGCAGTTGTGGTCTCCCAGTGTGAAATGTGTTTCTGTGCCATCGTCCACAAACTCCCCCTGCAGGTGCAAATCAGACAAGAGAGTGGGCAAGGAAAGCAATCCTTCAGTTTCATACTGTCGGCTGATGAACATATTCTTAATTTCAGCAGAGTATCCTTATTACAGAACAAATCACTATCAGCTACTGTTGTTATACTTACTGCAGTCTCAATGTTTTGTCCATTACACCAAACATCCATGGTGTCCTTCTCTGAAAGAAGTAAACACACACTGCATCAATAAAACATGTAACTGTTGGGCAATAAAAGTATGTGATGTGACTGCCAATTTAGATTTGCTAAACAAGTGGGCAGTATGTGTACAGCCAGGTCTGAGTCGTTGTTTGTTTCTAATCCTGTTAGGCAGTGGTGTGAGAATGGTTAAGTTTATCTGATCATCTTGTGGTGTCCCAGAACAACAAGCAAGGCAGCAATGTCCTGGTCAGTATCTGCTCTGTGTCTGTAAATTACCTACAGGCTTTTCTTGATAAATAGATCCCCTATGGAAAATCTATCCAAAACATCCACCCTCATTTGAAATACATACACACAATAGTTACAGTGGTAAATGCAATGATATAGTAGATAAAGCATAAAAGACAGTTAAAATTGGAACAACAAATGAAGTAGGAGGTACTGGGAACAAAATTAAGGAAAAATATGAATACAGTTTATTCAGATTCTTACAACAACTAAGTCTTTAATTTGTAGGGAGTGTGTTGGTCATTCCTCAGAGATTATGGGAAAAACATTACATTTTCAGTGGTGGAGACACTGTGGTCAAAGTAAAATTGTTCTACTGTAATTAAAATTTAGTTTCCTGTATTTCAATGTATGGACGATAATTTCAAAATGCCTCTGTATTTGAAAGCAAAGACTATTTGGATTGGAAAGCCTCCAAGAGAACTACTCTAAGTGAAGATAATGTATAAGATTTATTAAGAACCTTCTGAATCACAGCACCTTAATGTCTAGGGGTGTAACAATACATTGATTCAATGATCAACAATCTAATAGTATCAATGCAAAGTGAAAACATCAACACATATCCTCATCTTTAAGATACGCCTTTTTTTTTTTTTTATTTCCCATGCTACGTCCGTGTCGTCATTATCGTCCAAGCACACCTCTTTTGTAAAATTTCAAACAGTGCTAGCTGCGTAGCACAAGGCGGACAATGGCAAGCAGCCAAGGAAAAGACAATGAGGATATTTATCTACTAATATCGATCACGTGCAGCTGAATTGAATCAAATCTAAATCGTATTGTGGCAGACTTGGTGATTACAACAAATATTGTATCATTGTCTAGATAATCGATAATAATAATCATGATGAAAGTTTTGATTTAAACCCCTACTAATTTATTGAGGGAAATTTATATGTATGAACACTGAGTTTAGTTGTATATTTTTATTGTGAGAAGAATTTCTGCCAGTCCACTGAATTATTTAGTTTATTTCCCTGCTAATATTTATAGATAATTATTGCATGCTAATGTACAGTAGTTCGCATGTGTTGTGCATGCTTCAGGTAGCATGCTGCCTGATCAACGGTAATAAGTATAATTATAAGAAGGATTACCTTGCCCAGATAACAGAGGTGGCTGAAGATGGCGTGGGGCTTAAAGCTGTTAAAGAGCTTAACTTAAGCTCAACATAATATTACTGGGTAGTTCTGAAGGGGCGGAAATCACACTGTGCTAAATATCAATTCAATATCCATCCTGATTGATTATGTGAACCCAGACACTAATGACATATTAAAGTGGATTCACACAACATAATAACTACTGACATAATAACTAAGTGATGAGGACAGAAGGTGAATGATATACAAACACAGAGAGGCTCACCCAGGACCACCCTGCAGTCAGTGCCGTCCAAGTTGAGAACCCAGGTGCTGGTGACCTTCGATCTGTTCTCCATGTACTTCTTCAAGCTCTTCCCATTGATCTCCAATGTGTACTCATAGGCAAAACCACTGACTGCATCGATGTTGATGGTTGCTTTTGTGTCTGATTTACCCACACTGAATGTCTCCTTCCCCACAAGTTTAAACATCCAGTCCCGTCTCAGTATCTCCTGCAGTGTGATGTGAAATCAGACATTAACAGCTGCCATTCATAAAGAAATAAAACACGTTTACTCTAATATTACTTAAGATCGTGATTCATACCTTTCCATCCACGTAGATGACCCTCTTTCCGGTGGTCGTGCCATGTTCAAACTCTATCCTGTGGACTCCATCACTCAGTGCCACCTCCCACACACCAGCGAGATCATTAGACATCCTACCCTCTTCAGACTCTGCTGGAGACCAACAATAAAACAGCTGGACCGACTACTAACGTTAAACGTAGACGCAAAAGCATGACTAACGTTAAGCACTGCTCACCTTACTAACGTTAGCTAACAAACTGAGCTCACGGTGGTTAGCTTATAACAAAGACGTTAAACAAAAAATATTTCAGAGAAGGTTTAAGTGTATCTCTACCTGTAGACGCCACTACTTAAGTACAGCAATTAATGCGCATACTGTTAAAACATTAACAATAGTTTACTCATCATAAAACATGGCTGAAGAAGAGGTGGGAAGTTGCCGCTGTTTGTTGCATTACGACTTCCGGTATAACGGGTTGCCTTTCAAAATAACAGCAGGCAGTGATTCAAATAAATACTAGAGGTATCAGAAAACACAAGTTGCTCTCGTGTGCTAACAAAACACTTAATAACAAAGCTATTAACTTGTGCGAAACATATATAAGTCTGAGCAATATTCAACACGCCAGGGTTAGGGTTAGTTGCAAAAATACTCTGTGCAAGTATTCGACTGTACAATATTGCTACCGAACTGTCATAAGTAGAATTTTATTTTGAAAATAAAACGGAAGCATTACTGCGTCGGTCAAGTAACATGTCCATCTTTTCAGTAGCTCTGACCGCTAACGTTACCTTTTTTGTTATAAGAGGATACACTTACAAATAAACTCAGGAAAATCCTCCTTAATTAAACACTGGGATTACCTTAATGTTCCTGAAGTAAGCGCTCAAGCCCAGTGGTTAGTAAATGATCAGCAGGCCACTTTAGCGCAGTTCGGTCACAGCTAACAGTTAGCTACTGCAGAGTCAACAGACGGGCTGTGACTATGCTGTTACTATGGTAACATGATATCCGCCTACGTACAGGCTAGACCACGCCCACTGGAGGAAGAGTAAGTTTTCCCATTAGTGAATTGTAACAAGAAAAAGCTGTTATTAAATCTAAGCCAAGGGTACCAAATGTCAACATAACTGTAGGGTACACATTAATGTATCAAAATAATCTAGTAATATATGTAAAACACTCATATATAACACTCACATGGGCCATTTTCTCAACTAAGTCATCCTGCAAAAAGTCCTGTTATACTTCCTGCCCTCATAGGTGTTTTAAATTATCCTTGCTAATTAGACCTTGACTCAGGCTAAAGCTACTGGATTTATGCAGCATATTACTTGATGTCTCCAATTCTTATGTACTGTAGTAGTTGTAGCCTAAGTATTTTGGTTCAGTGTGCAGGATTTGTGGGGATACATTAGAAGACACAGAATATAAAAGGTATGTTTACTTAAGTGTATAAGTGTATAGGCCTAATCATTAGAAAAAACATAAGACTCGTTGTGTTTTCTTTACCTTAGAATTAGAACGAACCATTTATGTTTCCACAGAGACTGCCATGTTGCACAGTCTACAGTGGCCCAGAGCAGCAAACCAAACACTGGCTCTAGATAGGGCTTTTCCCATTTTCGCATTGGCCACAGTAGTCAGAAGCAGCTCCATGACAACAGTGTCAAAAAACACTGATGTGAAACTGCTTAATTTAGTGTTTTTATCAGTTCACTGGGTCATCTGCTGAGACCTTGGCAGATAATTCAGCTCCAGGTAAAAAGCTCCTGAACAATGAACACTGAGGGGATTCTCACCACGAGAAGTTTCATCTGGTTGCAGACTGAAAAAAAACTGTGTTCAACTGAGGCTGTTTTTAAATGTATATAAATAAATTTGAGTTGAGTTTAAATCCTTGCCTAGATGGTACCAAAGCCCCCTAAACTTTACACACTTCTTTTGAAAAATATGTTGTTCCAGTCTTGCAAGAAGAATGAGTCAGTGAGTGAGTGATTTGGTGGAAAACAGCTCCATCTTCTGGCTGAAGGGCCTTATGGGCTGGCCTCATCTCATTTAAGGACACAGTTTTTAAAAATAATTGTACTGGGAGGGAGTGGCAAAGTGGTGTAGTGGTTAGCACTGTCACCTCACAGCAAGAGGGTTCCTGGGAGGGAGCCCTTCTGTGCGGAGTTTGCATGTTCTCCCCGTGTCAGCGTTGGTTTTCTCCGGGTACTTCCTCCCACAGTCCAAAGACATGCAGGTTAATTGGTGACTCTAAACTGACCGTAGGTGTGAATGTGAGTGTGAATGGTTGTCTGTCTCTATGTGTCAGCCCTGCAATAGTCTGGCAACCCGTGGGTGTACCCTGCCTAAGAACATTATTATATAAATTAAAATGAATTCTCAAATAAGAGAACAATGAGCAGAATATGCTTACTAAGTACTGTACTTTCTCTATTTCTTTCTTCTTCTGTTCTGTTCTTCTTTGATGTCATCTTCTCCTTTCGATTTTCTTTGTGCAGGGCAGGCAAAGACAAAAATATATACTTTCTTCCCAAAGGGAAAACAAATACTGACCAACATGTAGTTAGAAGGCATTCATATTTGTATAGTGATTTAAGTAGTTAAATTGCTCTGTGTGTGTGTGTGTGGGGGGTGGGGGGGGGGCAACAGCACAACAACAGCCTCTCTGCTGTAACTGACAACCCCACAATATGTTGTAAGTACTGCATATTGCAATTTACTGACAAATGTTCAGAGAAGTTGTTGCATGCTATTTTAGAGGCCACTTGGCTAACTAAGTAATCCTGCTTGGTGCATAACCCCATGTGGACTCTAGTTTTCTGAAGTCTGACTGATGGGGTGTATTATCCTAGGTATATGACCTGTGAACAAGTTTTGTTTTGTTGTGTTTTTTGCTTGCATGTGACCTTTTGTGTTTTATTTTTTTATAATTTCTTATCACATGCACACTTTCCATTTTATATATATTTTTTACAAAGTAGTTTGAACTAATTTTTCTAAGTAACCTTAATTACTATATTTCACTAACAACTCTTTACCTATTGTTTGGACACTTTTTGCCACAGCAGAGGACCTCTTCCTCAGCCCAATTAGACTAATGTAACACATGGAGAGCAGAAATAATTTAATTTGATGAATGAAACACTTCAGTGTCACACAACAACTTGTCTGAGGAAGTATCACACATGGCTTAGGGGTGAACAATTTATTTTGACTCAAGTAATAAGTATACATTTCATCTGCATTTACAACCAGTACATTCTTTTATTTTATTTCATTTTATTACTCTAGACTGTTAGATACACGGGAATTTGTAAGTACACTACACATAGGCTACATGTTGGGTCACAAATCTTGAAACTGCATGTCAGACAAACATTTAAAATAACTCTGAATAATTCATATGATTAGACAATGTAAGAGGATCTCATCCCTTCTATGTAAATTGTGTTGCAATCATGGCGGCTGCACAATTTCTCATGAAAAACACGTTCTCCCTTCTTCTCCTTTACATCAGCCGCCGACACAAGTACACACAACACACCCACATGTACACACACCATATCATCATGTATTGCCTGCACATACACCAATGTGTAGAGGGAAATATTCTGAATAACATAAAATATATCTCACATATGCAAGAAACAAGTTTCTGGACAGTGGGAAATACAGCATTTTAAGATTACAGGCAGCATTGATTAAAGGAATATTGTCATGTTTGTACAGACTCCATAGTGCGCCTAAATGGAAAGCATTCATCAAAGAGAAAGACAGAACTTGTCTCTGAGAACAGAGAGCTGATTTCACAACTTGTTCTTGTTTTGAGAGATTAAGGTATTTGATCGTGAGAACATTTTCCGTTTTGTCTGAGGACAAAAACCTTAGTTCACAGGGTTCAAATTAAAAGACTGCACTCCGCTCATGTCCATAATGTCTCGGAATAAAACACACAGTCAAGGACTTAAAGGACTTTTTTCATGGAAAACCACACAAGCTTTGGAAAACATATATTAACAACAACAAAATCTCAATAACTGCGTCACTTCTCAAAGTATGGTAAACCATCAAAGTAGTCAACAGCTGTGAAGCTTCCTCATTGACTACTTTGATAGTGTGCCACATTTTCCTCCACTGACAACTGATTTATATTTTTCAAGTTGAGTTGCCTGTTTTCTTTCTCTGAACCTTGTTGAACTCAATAACACTTTAAATGAAGTTAAATCTCTCAGCATCAAAAGATATAAAGGCAAGATTTTTTTAAAATGCCCTCTTAATCTATATGTTACACATTTTTGGAAATAAGCTGGTTCACTTTCTTGCAGAGAGTTATTTGAGGAAATACCACTCTCATGTCTATTCAACATAAGGATGCAATTAACAGCTGGTTAGCTTAGCATAAAGACTGGGGGAAACAGCTAGCCTGGCTCTGTCCAGTGGGACAGGCTGTTTCGCACTGTTCGTATGTATACCTACGAAAAGTAATGCACCGCAATTCGCATTTAACCCACGTAATCATGAGCCTGTAATTTGAATAACCCACAAAATGTGGAAGGCTGAACTCACGTGATCAATGCGCTGACAGGAGTAAAGAGTGAAGTTGTATAAGGAGTAAAAGTCCATGTAACAACACAAGTTGGAGTGATGAATGGGTAAAACAAACATAGGACTCTCCCCCAGGAGATTGGTGATTGTGTCCTGTATGAAACCAAATGAACTGTGAAGTTTTTGAAAGTAAGTCGTCACCATGTTTCTTTTCCTAAACTTGACCTGTGTCTTTATTTTCATAAACCTAACCTGCATATCTAGCTTTATTTTCCTAAACCTAACCAACTTCCCTTTACTTGCCTGAACCTAACGTGCAACTTAATTGTCTTAAATCTAACCTATTAAACTTTACCTTCCTAACCCCAACCTGTGGAATTAACTTAACTTTCTTAAACCTAACTTTGTATGTTACTTTACTTTCCTACACCTAACCTGTGTCTTTATTTTCGTAAACCTATTCTACATAACTTTACTTACTTAAACCCATCCTAGTAACGTCATTCACGTGGCACTAATTTGTAACATATCATACGAACTATTGTATGAGGATACATCGAATGGGAGTGTTCCTACCAGTACTTCTAAAGTTAAGAAAGAAATACTTTATACTTCAGTTTTTGTACAGACTTAACAAACAAGAAATGGCATGTTAATTTGTGACCTTTAGAGCAGTTTGTAGGTGGATTTTATGACTACTGGACAGAGTGAGGCTAGCAGTTTACCCCTAATATTTACATGGTAGCAGAGGTGATTCTAGATCTTATGCTCCCTGCACTGCTGACTGAGCCCTTCCTGAAAGCCATCTGGAGCCTCTTGCTGATGAGGCCATGTTTGTAAAGAGCCGAGAGCAGCTGATTACGGAACTTCTCCCCAATGAAGGCGTACAGCACTGGATTCACCGCACAGTGCATGAAGGCCAACACTTCAGTCAATCTTAGCATCACTTCCAGTGCGTAGCGAGTATCGCACACCTCCACTGTGATTGATCCCCCTCTTCTGAGTGTGTCAATGAGCACAGTGATGTTATGAGGCAGCCAGCACAGAACGAATGCCAACACCACTGCCAGGATGACGCGCATGGCCTTGTGCTTCTGTTGATTACGTGTGTGATACAGCGTCACCACAATCCAGCCGTAGCAGACAGCCATCACCACCAGTGGCAGGAAAAAGCCCACCGTGTGGCGCAGGATGCGCACACCAACACGCCAGTGGTTGCTGCTTTCACCTGTAAGGTTTTGATAGCAAATGAACTGACCCAGGTCTGCAGCATATCTGCTCTCCCTCTGAATCGCCACAGGTAAGGACAACACTCCAGCTACAAGCCACACCACACTGCACACCACCTTAACCAACAGATGATGGGAAGGCAGGACACGCGTAGCTCTCACAATGGCAAAGTGACGGTCCACACTGATGCACGCCAGCAGGAAGACACCACTGTATACGGACGCCTCCTGGAAGCCCGAAAGGAGTTTGCACATGAAGTTGCCGAAGACCCAACCAGAATGAATTTTGACGGCCCAGAACGGGAGGGTAAAACAGAAGAGAAGGTCTGCCATCGCCAGGTGCATCAGGTAGATATCTGTGCTGGCTCTGCCTCTCTCCATGTAGCAAACCACATAGACAACAACACTGTTGCCTACCATGCTGAGCACAAACACAATAATGTAGGTGATCATCAGGCCCAAGCTATTAAATCCAGGCACGGTTACACTGCAAGGAGCAGATGACTCATTGTCATCGATAGGAAGTGTGGAATTGAGAATGGAAATGAAGTAGTATTCATCAAACGTAAATCCAGGAGTCGACAGCATCTACATAAAGACAAAATCATTACAGTTTGTACAAGTAGCAGTTTAAGAAATACCAGTCGCAGAAAAGGTCAGTGTTGCCATAGTGGCACATTATTTTAACAACTTTTAACATTTTCTCAAAAAAAAAAAAAAACCAACACAGATTATGCAAATTGAAACAAAAATTCAGAAAGTTCCATTGTTTACCTGATTTTCTTCTTCTTGATTGGTTAGAACCAAATACATCAAAACACAAATGATCAAATGTTGTAGCTTCATCCTGCCTCTCTTGTTGCACACAGGTTAAGAAGAATAAAGCTATTTGGCAAGGGGTGTTGAATGTACAGTGAAATGTAGTAGAGGTCCTTGTGTAATGTGTTTGCTGGGGGTGGTTTTGCTCATGCTCTATTAGCATGCTCTATCACTTTGAAGGAAGTAGGCAAAACCGCAGATATTATCTGTCTTAAGCAAGCTGCATGATTAAGACAGTCTCGACAACAGGTTATTTTCTTTCAAATCCTTCATGTGTGATCTTAGATGTTGGATGTTGATAAGTTTAACCTGCAGAGCAAAGCTGACGAAAACAGGAAATACCTTGATTAGATGATATGATATGATTTGATGGTGTTATAAAATGTTCTTTTGTCTAACCAGTAAGATGCTCTGCTATGTAATAAAGCAGTTTATGGAGTCAAAAATAACCATTTTGCTACCATAATCACAACAACAGTACAACAAAGCTACTCTCATTTGTATTGTTTAAAGAGTACATGATGTTTTTCAGTCTGTTTTCAGGTTTAACATCGCACCGAAATAACCCTTATCAGTGAAGAAGATAAAAGGTGAAATGTTTCCATTTGATATTCCCTTACATTGCTGCTGCCTTTTACAAAGTTGATCATTTTATTCAGTTGCGCTTTCAAGACCTGTTCTTCGCATTGTTTTTTTAACTGTACGTCATGGACAGGTGCTTCAGTGTTTCCATTCATGGTTTAAAATTAGTCAAAATGAAATTTATAAAAAAAACAAGTAAAATGTAAACTTTTCGATTTCTCAGGCTAGTGGCTGTGTGTACGTGAGCATCAGCGTTTCTAATTTCCCTTTTTTAAAATTTTGTTATGCAAAATGCATTTTGTTGTACTTTAAGATATTCCTCAGTACATGCAACTTGCCGTATGCATTGCTATGCAATGTAAAGCATATGAAGTTAACCTACAATGAAATGTGCTATATAAATAACATTTCTTTGCCTCTCCTTTGTTTCATTGCCTGAAACATTGATCAAAACTAACTGTTATATTTTTGTATTGCACTGTGTTAACCTATGCCACAAAACTGAGACATTGGTGCTGGCCCTTTCATAATGTGGCTTTCTTAAATGTGACTTCTTGATATATTGCATGACCTCTGTATTTTGATTATACTGATGACAACAGAATCTAATTTAGATTCATGAAGCATTTGAACATGAAGCAAGGGATGCACCTTGTAGTCGGAGTGTTAATGAACTCATTGAAAAGTTGAACAGAAGCTGAGCAGAAAACAAGTAAGCCTTCAAAAAAAGACATCGCATCTTCAAATGCTGTTTGACAAACCTGCCAATTTATTCCAGAGAGAAGTCCTAAAAGGCTGACAAGATAATACCAGAAAGATGCAGCCACAAAACACTGTGTTTTGGAAATGTAATGAGCAATCATATAATATGAAGGTATATCTGGTATTTTATGCCAAGGTATTACATCTTGATGAACACCTTTTGAAAGATCCTTGCCTGTTTCATTTTTGATGTTCCACTGTGACTGAATAGTGTTCATTCAGGGTTGTGACAGACTTCAAAAAGCAGAACATTTGCAATTTGTATTGCTTCATATATGATGACGAACACTATGACAGTCACTCAAAAACATGTTTATAGAGGTGAATGCTCAGTGACCTCAAAAAGCTTCCGCTATCCAACCAGCTGCCTCCAGAGCTCTCTTGAATTTAAGCATATTTTAAGAAAAATGATAAAAGTAAAAGAAAAAAGGATCAAGACTTTTCATCCAATGATTATATTATTATCATATTTATATGTTTAAGTAGCATTAAAAGCGAAGGATTTTAATAATCTTTAACTTTTAGTAATTTGATGAATACAGACCTCGATTCTCAGAATAGATCCAGACTCACACAATGGACGTGCATTGGCATATTTTTCTATTCTTGGATAATCATCCCTATCTTTTGTAATATGGCTGTTAACGATGTGTCCAGCAGAGGGCAGCAGTAGTCCTTATCTATGTGTTTACTGCTGCAGACCTTCTCTGGGACATACTTTCAAAAAGATTTTTTTATTTAAATCAAAGTTTTTATGACTTTTCAAAAGAGCAATTAAATGGTCACTCCACCAATTACACACATGAAGATCAGTTATCTCATCACAATGAGAGGACCTGCAGTACAGTCTGTAAAAGCAGATGTATAATGTCTTAAGTGGCTTTGGAGGAGCTGCACTGTTTTTTTCTGGGATTTTTTTTTCTGTTTTTACCAGAATATCTGCATAAGAGACTGGATGTTTGGGGTTTGAAAGAACTGAGCATTTAGGAAGGAGGGGTGAAATATAAGATGCTATTGCAATATGGAAAATGTGAGTTCCAATGTTTCTGGAGCTTTACCCAGAAAAGTCAGGACCACTCAACCTCTGCTGACTCTGCTGTCTCTGCTGACTCTGCGAGTCCCCAAACTTTATGGGAGTGCAACACTAAACTGCCAAACATAATAAGACAAGAAAATGATATGTGAAATAATCCTCAACAAATATGAAATAATTCAATAAAAAAAGCAACGACAAAAACACAGTTACAGAAATCACAAATTAGATAGCAATGACATGCACATTAGCACATAATAAAAAATAATATTTATGACTGTAAAAGCACTTACAATGAAGAAAGCACAGCAAGAGAAAGGTAAGGCACTATAAGCACTGAAAACATTTAACATGGAAAGTATGTAGCACAATGTACCTTATTTTCGTGTGTAGTTCATCATAAACTTAGAACCTAATACTTTTTAATGAGTACTTTAATAAGTAAGCCATTGAAAAGTAGGAGCCTAATCACATTTATTTACTAAATACTCATAACCTACTAACTGATACTGATCATAAATCTCCTCTAAGATATATTATCAAAATTCTGACTGCATCACAAATGTCTCAACATGATCTGAATTTGGCAGTCATCCATAAAAATTAGAGAACCACTCCAGCTGGATGAGAGAGCAGGAATGTCATCATTGTTATCAAGTAGGCACCTCCCACCACAGATGTTAAAGTGACTTCGGCCGACATCACCATCACAAGGCTCCCTTACTAATGAATCCTAGCGAACCTGCACCACCTTTCTACTACCTGCTCTCAGCACTAACTTAAAGCAAATGTTTCCAAATATAACTCTGACCTGTCCATTTAAAGACATTATTATCTTCTTCCATCTGTCAGACTCAGGCCACAGGCTGCTCTAATCAGCACATTGTAGCCTGAAGGATAGGGCAGGGGTCAAATGTCATCCCTTGTTCCTCTGCCATTCCTGTGCTCTAAGGGACCAGTACAGACAAAATTTGAAAAGTTATAAAATTAGATAGTCAAGAAAACAGTTAAAGGTCCTATACTGTAAAGGGTATATTTCCATTTTTTTTAATTTAAAAGCAGGCATAGGTGCTTTATAAATACTGTAAAGTATCAAAAGTGCTTAAGCCACAGAGAAATGCACACAGGCTGTTGTGAGCATTCATACCTGTGCAGTGGTGTGTTTGTGTCACTCTGCAATTACACCACCAAACCACTAGTTGACAGTGGGATTTCTGTGAAGTGCAACAATTCGGCTTCATTAAAATTTGCAGCATTGACAGACAAAGTACTTGTCTTTATCTGGACACATTTACCCCATAAATACAACATGCTATTGTTATTAGCACAAGCCTATGGCATTTTACATTGTATATATTAGCTTTGCAACTAGCAGACTTTACTCATATGAAGCCAGGAACAACACCAACATTCAACAAACATAACGTTACAAAACTAGGCTCCATTACAGCTCAAAAGTTTCACTGACAAAAAAATTGTTTTATGCTAAACATGTAATACAACACGCTAACATTATTAGCAGAAGCCTATGGCATTTTACATTGTATAAATTAGCTTAGCAACTAGCAGAGATTTCCTTTACTCATATGACGCCAAGATGAATCACACACAAGACATAAAATGCTATTTTGTGGGGGCTTTATTGTCTCCACAATTTATTGTTTGTTTTCTGTGAAATAAAAGTAAATAAAAGCTTTGCTTTCACTGAGGGAAATGGTTTCAGCTCACAAGAAATAGGAAGTTTCCACACCATGTAGTTAGATTTCTGAGGAGATGCATGGTCAGGCTACAGCATAGAGTGACGGCATAGGCTCTACGTCAATGCACAGCCTACGCCATAGGTAAGGCATTGAGTCAACGCAGGAGCATTCTCACAACCCATCAGCTGTATTCAGCGTCTGACTTCCGGCAGACGGCGATACAGCCTCTGGGGGCAGACCCCTGATTTTTTGGCATTTCGGTTTGATTTGGGCGGAGGAGGCGAATTTCCGTTTCCGACTTCCATTTATATATAAGTAAATATGCTGAACCATTGCGATGGATTCAGAGTTTGCAGTGACGCCAATTATGTTCCACCTCGTTAGTTCACCGCACGGACCGTTTAACCTGGCAACAACTGCAGCTGGCTCAAACGTGATTGGTCAATATCACACAGACTACAAACAGCCTACAACCGGAAACCAGGGCTCTTCCACTCTTCTTCCGGAGGCAAGATCTCCAGGGTTTGCCTACAGACTCTACATTCACTGAATGTAGAGTCTGTATATAGAGACTAACGCAGGAGTATAACTCCCCCTTCAGTCATTCCACAACACCAGTGATGGTGCAAAGAGGCTGAGAGCACAGATGTGAAAAACCTGGAAATGCTGATGAATCAGGGCAAACTGTTTTTTTTGGGAGACAGGTGCTAAAACAGGGCATTTCAGACAGGTGAATATATA